ATGCGAACCCCGATGAGCAGGTACGCAAAGCCCCCAAACCAGCCAATTCCAGCCTCGAAACCACCTAGGTAGCTAACGGCTCTACTCCATCTGACAACAGATTCGCCCAAATCCCGCAAAAACCCAGCACACCCTCCACAATGCTCTCATCCCGATCTTTCTCCTCCCTCCTCTCCACGCCAACCCGCTTCCAACCCTCGCGAACGCTCGGCGCCCGCCTCTCCTCGCCAACCACAACCTCAACCGCCTCCGCTTTCTCACCTCTGTCATCCCTCCTATCCCAGAAAGCACCATCGCAGTCCCGCTCGTTCTCCGCAAGTGCCTCCTTAGGCGTGCGCCGTGTGACGTTCCGCCCGTCACGACGGGTTCAAAAGCGCCGCCATGGATATCTAGCGCGCAAGAAGGACAGGAATGGGCGCAAGACTCTTATTCGGAGGACTCTTAAGGGCCGAAAGGAGTTGAGTTGGTAATCCTATTCGTTTCAGGTGTGACCTTTGAATTGTTTGGGGGTTGGCGTGGAAGATGGTGGGATTTATACCACAATGGACTGGTGTGGGTTAGATTGATTAGAACCCATACAGTCTCACAGTGATGGTGGTAAGAAATTAGGGGGAAATCACCGATTTATTCATTCTTGAAACTATTATAGTCCTCAAGACTGGTTTCGGGTTCAGGCAAGACGGTTGCTGGCGGGTCTTGTTTGGCGTGTACCATATTTACCTTTCCTGAGGATGTGTGTGACTACATTTATAGTGCGAATTTTTCAGCTTTGTTTGTTTCAGTCGAGAGTTCGGTGTTTATACTGGGTTGCAGCATGTTTGCAACAAGTAAAAGAGTAGATTAATCACGGTCTAGGTCATGTAGAGTCTCTCGACACCACAATTCCGTCTATGTGATCCTCCCCGCTACCCATGTAGAGATCGTTCATCAAACATATCACTCGTCGTCGCTTCCATCATCGCTATCCTCCGATCCGGTCTCGGAGTCCTCGTCATCATCTTCGTCATCTTCATCATCGTCCTCGTCTTCTTCCTCATCGCCAACCTTCAAACCATAGTCGTCCTCGAATTCCTTAAGAGGCTGAACTGTAGGAGTGAAGCCGGAAGTTTCGAAGCCCTGCTTAATAGTCTGTTCGCAATCAAAAGTTAGCAATTCATATCTTCAAAGAAAAGTCTGGGGAATAACTCACCTCTTCCAACACAGTCGCACAGGTGACAACCAAGTTTGCGGTCTTCGGATCAAACAACGGCAAAATGATATCACGCAGAGCTCCCTTGATCTGGTCGGTGGTGATTGTGCGCACACTCTTGAGCATCTTCTCCTTATAGTCGCTAGGCAAATTGCGAATGACCTGGCGGATAAAACTGCCCTGGGCAGCACTGGCGGCAGTCATCTGCTCATTGGCATAGTTGACCACGATGCTGCTGATAGCACCCTCCATCATCAAAGGATCAAAAGGCGTAGCACCGGACAGATAGTTCTCAACAATCTGTTTGCTAGAATCGAATGCCTTGTGTGCGTTCGGGGATCGGTACACATCGAAGTTGACAAAGCCCGTGTCGATGTTGTAACTGAAATTAGTGCCGTACGCCAGACCAGTGCCGCGGACTGCAACCCAGAGGGGACCCTCGACTGCGTTCATATATGAAATCGCGACCAGTAGTGCGGGCAGATCCGGGGAATCATACGATTCCAGACCACGGGCGGTGGCATAGGCAAAAGACGAGTCGACAGTCGGCATGGGGACAATGTAAGACTTGCCGCCAATGTTCTTGCCGGCATCGCTCAGCCGGGATCGCCGGTTAGTGATCGGCTGCAAATCAGTGCTGCTGCCCATGGTATCGGCGAAGGGCTTCCAGGCGGAGACGGGGTTCTGGAGTTTCTCGAGATCGGCAATGACAATGATACGCACGTTGTTGGGCTTGAAGAGCGTTTTGCGGATCTCCTCCATGCGGCTCACGATTTCTTCGGGCTTCTCAGCGAGCAGACGCTTGACACGCTTGAGGTAGCGAGCCTTCACCAAGGTGGAACGGGAACGGGTGATCGACTCCTGTGCGTAGTGAACCATCACGTGTGCAGCGGCAAGCATGTCTTCACCACTGCGCTTGGAGTCGGGCACATCGGCCAAGAGACGAGAGTTGATAGCGCGGAGTCTCTCGACATCGAAGACGGAGTTCCAACACAGCTCCTGCAGCCAGGCGACGGCGTTCTCATACTTCTCCAGCTCGACTTGGAAGGAGACACGGAGCATCTCTGAGTTTCCAAGGTCACGAGCAGTCTCCATCGAGTATCCAACGGTGTCTCTCTCTAATTCAACTACAACCTGTTCAAAGTCAATTGTCTTGCCATCGCGCTGCACCGGAATGTTAAAGAACGCTTCGGTGTAGATGGACAGCAATGGACGCAACTGAACGGGCACGGAATCAGCTGAGATGAGAACTGAGAGCTGGACAAAGCTACTAGGGATGTGCTCGAAGTGGATGAAGAGGGACTGGTCAGACTTGTCGGCATCAACAAGCGTTTGGATCTTGTTGTCGGGACGTCCAGCCTTCAGGGCAGCACCCGAACGAGCCGTACTGGTCTCCATAAAGTGGATTGACTCAGTTCCGGGAATAGCGAAATTTTCCAGCAATTCCTGCGGAATCTCCTTATCATTCTCTGCCTTGGCCTTTTCGAGTTTGTCGGCAAGCTCCTTCAGGCCCTTCTCGCCAAGACGCTCCTTCTGAGCAGCGACCCGGTCCTCCTCGTCCTTTTTCAGCGTGGCGGACATCTTCTGGGATGGGACACCCAAGATAGTGACATGGGCCGCATCCGAGATCCATTTCTTGATGAAAGTGCGCCACTGGTCCTCGGACCAGGTCTCAAGGACATCATATTCCTTCAGAGTTGCGACATCCATCAAAGTCGAGCCATCGCGCTTTCCGAATAGGAAATCAGAGATAACGTACTCTGCGAACGAAGAAGCAGAAGACTCAGTCGAGAACTTCCAGGTTCGGCGCTGTCGGGCGATACACTCTTTCAAATACTTCAAATCCAGTTCCTTGGCCATCGCATCTTGGAGGATCTCAAAGAATCTCTTCTCCACACTTTCCAGCTTCTCTGTTTCCACGCTGGTCAATGTGAAACGAACCTCCATGCTAGGGTGGTCCTCAGTTGCATAGTAAATGGCACTGGCGAGCTGTTCTTTTTCAACAAGGATGTTCTCTAGCAGGGCTGCAGATGAACCGGCCAGGTACAAAAGCGATACATTGAGAGCTCCGGCTATGATATTATAAGTATTATCTCAAATGTCTGGGGGAAGGTTGAATCTCACATAAGATGGTATCAGTGCAGTCGGGTCCCATGAATCGAATTTCGATTTCACCAAATGATTCATCCTCCTCGGGGAACTCAACCTTCTGAACAGTGGACTTCTCTAAGTAGGGAGCCTGCTTAGAATCCACCCAGGGTCTCTTGAATGGTGCATCTGGGCTAGGAATGACATCCAAGATAGTGTCTTCAAACTTATCCAAGATATCCAGCATGTTTTCCTTGTTGACCTCTCCAGTGAGGATCAGGCACAGGTTCTTGGGCTGATACATCTCACGGTGGAACTCACGAATTCGTTCCGCAGACAAGACACGAAGCTGTTCCATCATACCTCCTGTCTCATAGCGGAAGCCAACACCAGGCGGGTATGTCAATCGCCGGGCTGCCAGGTCAATCAGCTCAGCAGCATTGTTCTGTACACCCTGCATCTCGGAATACACGACACCGGCATCATTTCCAGAGCCATCGACGTGGTGAACTTCAGTATAGCAGCCTTCGTCAGTCAGAGTAGGAGCAATCACATGCTCCAGATAGACTGGCAGGATACGAGCAAAGCCTTCCCAGCCTGCCGTATCCAGCGTGTAGGCAGTGTGATCAGTTGCCGTCCAGGCATTGGTGCTGGAGTACACACGGGTAGCCAGCTTGTCCAGGAAGCCCTTGTAGCGGTAATTGCGGGAACCCATGAAGCACAAGTGCTCCAGAGTATGAGGAGCACCCGAGTCATCGTGGATTTCAGTAGCAAGTACAAAATAACCGTTCACTTTAGGACCTGGCTGGTCGATAACGACCACTCTCATGCCGGTGCGCTGTGATTCATACTGAGTGAACTCGCTCGGCGAATAATCAGGCTTGAACTGCTGGAGCAGTTTGAAGTGACTGTTCTGCACCGAGGGCGACATATTGATCAATGGGGCAGACCCAGTGAAGATATTTCGCCGTAAGCTTGACAGTCTAGTTATTTGAGTTAGCAACTCGTGTCCTTTAGCTAGGAATTTGGTACAACGAGTACATAAATATGTTCACGATGAGGAATAGTCTGATAACAAGTACAAAAGTCGGATGAGAAAAGTATATTCACCCCGAGCTGGGTTCCAATAGGATAGGGACAAAAGCAACAAGCAGATCCTTTCCAAATTATGTCCTTTCAGGACAAACCAAGCAGGCCTGCAACATATTGCCAAGGATAAGGGACATAGGTGGGGTGGCGAGCAAAAAATTTGGGGATAGAAGGTTGATACACTTGACCGTTCGATAGGCAATAAGGAGTAAGAACGGAATTCACATTGACTTACAGAAAACAGGTACTTCTCCGGCTCAGGGGGAGAATTCGAGACACGGTGAGTCTGAGATGTCTTTAAAAGTGTGTTGGACCGGGAGTTTCCAAAGGTTGGGGGAGAACCTCCCGTTTTCCTTACAAAGCGGGCGACTGAAAGAATTGATATAACAAAGAGAGAAATATTAGATTTCGAATTATTTGCAACCAGTCAAATTCAAAAGATATAAAGTATTTAATTTTCTAATGAATTTAGACCTCTAGAGCGAAAGCATACAGCATACACCACGTGGGGGCGGTGACGCCCAAGGTCACGGGTTGTTGATAGCTTGACTCTCTACGTGTCCCATCTATTTCAGAAGCTCCGAGGCTCGTGTCCCCCGATAGCTTGAACTTCATTTCAAAAGAAGTTTGCGTCATGCCAGGAAATACCGAGGAGCTGTGCCAGGCGGTGCTAGACTTCGTCACCGAGGGCACGTATCCCGAGGAGAGTGTAGTTGCTGGTAAGTTCCCGGCAGCTGCTCTTGCCAGGGAACTCGAGCTTATATCGAAGGCACGTGAGCAGGTAGAGGTATGGGGTCTCCAATGTCCATCCACGCATGTCGGTGATTACTGATCGGCGCTGCTTTACTTGTTTAGAATGAGATTAGCTACTTGAGTCGCGAGAACACCTTCGATGCCGATGACTGGATTATCCAAGCGAAACAACTTCATGCCGACATAGAACGCTCAAGATTGACTGCGCGAGAAATAGTCGCTCAACATGAGCATACCGAACCCCTGCAGGCGAAGGTGGAAGATGCGAGGGCAAAAGTCGCTTTGGTTGAGACGGAGATTGCCTTCAACCAGGCCGTAGCGGGGACCCTGGAGGAGGTGCACCGTCTGTGCCAGCAGCTGGAAACTGGACGAGCTGCCCTCAGAAATGGCCAGATCACCACCGCCATTGAGCAATTGGAGTCTACCGATGCAGCTGTTGGAAAGGATGCCTTCTTTACCAATACAAATGTGATGGGCATACTCTCTGACGAGGTGTCGCTGTTGCGATCTGAGATTGTCGAGGCGCTTCGTTCGCGCTGGGCTGATCAATTGAAAGTTGACCGACAAAAAGGCGAATTCTATGTCTGCGGCACAGATGCAGGTGCAGATTCTCTTGAGAGCACCATCACGTCGCTGGCCCGACTTGATATACTCGCATCTGCTAATGAGAAGCTACAAAAGGATCTCTTTTCTGTGATCATAAATCCGATCTTGCTACCTCGCCCTGATGGAACTAGCCATGGTGTGGTGGTGACGGAGACCAGCATTCGCATTGAGCCTGAGGCGTCAAAAACAACCGCGATGGAGACCTTGGATCGTCTTTCCAGCGTTCTGCGCTACTTGAGAGAAAACCTACCGCCATCGGTGTCTGCAAATTTCTCAGAATCATTCATTGTGACTATTTCCTCAAAGGCGATATCCGGGTGGTTGTCATCTGCTATTCCCACCAATCTAGGTGGCCTCGCCGAGTTTGAGAACATTCTGAACCATGTTTTACAGTTCGCTAAGAAGATAGACTCTTGGGGTTGGACTGGCCAAGAAGAACTCGTCTCGTGGGCCAACCAAGCTCCACGCCTGTGGTTGACTCGGCGTAGAGTCGACTCGCTCGATAGCGTTCGCAAAGTCCTTGCCGCTAGCCAGGGAACAACGAAACAGGTCGAAAGGATTGAAAAGGAAAAGGTTTCTCGGGCTGAGGGTGCTATATTGGAGAGTGCTGGCAATGATGACTGGGATGCGGACTGGGATGACGATAAAGAAGATGAGCCTAAGAAAGCAGAAACGGCAAAGCCTGAGGAAGATGAGGAAGACGTTAGTGCGTGGGGCCTTGATGAGGAGGAGACTGAGGAGACTCCCGACACCGCAAAACTACATGCAGCTGCTTCTACTGAAGATGATGACCCCGATGATGCTTGGGGCTGGGGCGATGAGGATGAAGATGACCAAGAAGTCGATAATAAGCCTTTGCAACCCAAGAACGCAGTAGCGGCGAAACCAACCGACAAGAAGGACGTAACTGGATCTATATCACCAAAGGAGGTCACGCTAAAGGAAGTCTTCACAATCACCGATATTCCTGAGTCTGTTCTAGGGGTGGTGCGGCAGCAAATCACCGATTCAAAGGATATTTCGCAGCCTGCGTAAGTCATGCCATCCTACTCATGTCTGCTTTTTTTGGGGGGTGTATCAAACTGACAAGAGCTCAGCTATTCCAATTCCAGTGTCGCTTCTTCTGGTGCTGGTCTTCTTGCACTGCCAACCTTGATCCTGGCCATGTTCAAAGCTACATCGTCCACATTCTACTCGCTGAAGCTTAATTCAGGGCAGATGTACCTCTATAATGATAGCCTGTACCTTGCCGATGAAATCCGGAAACTCGTCGAGGAACATGAACTGCCCAGACTTCAGCCCGACGTTGAAGCTTTGGAGAAATTTGGCAAACTTGCGTATAGCAAAGAAATGCAGACACAGCGCACGATCGTCATGGATCTGCTTGACGGTGCCCAAGGATTTGGACAATGCTCTGAGCAGCCATTCCAAACAGACTGCGAGACTTCTGTTAGCGCAACTGTCGACAGAATTCGCGATGTTTACAAGGAATGGCAACCTATACTGTCTCATTCTGCGCTGCTCCAATCAATTGGATCTCTCTTGTCTACTGTGATCAACAAGGTGGTTATCGACATCGAAGATCTGGGTGATATCTCGGAGGATCAGTCAAGGCAACTGGTCTCCTTCTGTAACCAACTCTCAAAATTGGAGGACCTCTTCATGCATGAGACAGATGGTGATGCCGAGGCATTGCCCGTCACTGCTATCTATGTTCCGAGTTGGCTCCGGTTCCAATACATGATCAATATTCTGGAGAGCTCCCTTGCCGATATCAAATTCCTTTGGCTCGAAGGAGAGTTGGGCTTGGAGTTCTCAGCTGACGAGGTGATTGACTTGATTGAGGCCCTGTTTGCAGAGTCTGATTACCGGCGACGTGCTATTTCGGAGATTCGAAGAGCACCCAGAGGATAAATCACACCTACGCAATAGAAATACTATATATTCCTCAGATATCTTAAAGCTGTAGTGTATTGAAATCAAACTACATGTATGTACATAGACTGAGTGGAGCCATCTCCGCGCTCTGCGCAAGTGTGCCGCACGGGTCACCGTATTTTTTCCTCACCCGCCGAAAATGCGACAGCCACCAAAAAAGATTCCATTTACAACATCAACAGCAATTTGAACGATTTTACAATGAGTGAAGATTTGATCACTGCTGATGCAGCAGAGTCTGCGCAGATACAAGTTCGAGTGCAGCTTATCAGCCAGCAGGAGGATATTGCTCTGCCTGAAAGCACCGGCCCAATCCTCGTTCCTACTGGTAAGACCCATTGCTGATCAAAAATTATAAACAGCAGCATTAAGTACTAACTCTTCCTTCAAAAAGGCCTTCGACGATATGCGCTGTCGACACTGGTGAACAACCTTCTCTCAAGTGAAAAGCCCATCCCATTCGAGTTTTTGATCAATGGAACTTTTTTGCGGACCTCGATTGATGAATATTTGGTCGACAATGGTATCTCTGCTGAGACGACCCTCGAGATTGAATATGTCCGAGCTTTGATCCCTCCCCTGCACATCGCCTCGTTCCAGCACGATGATTGGGTTAGCGCGACAGACGTCCTTTCCACGACCTCGCCTGCTGCATCTTGGGCCTCAGGTGCGACTTTCACCAAGGGCCAAGAAAGAATCTTATCAGGAAGCTACGACGGTCTGCTTCGGATCTGGAATATGTCGTCTGAGACTATCGCGACCTCTCCTGCCGCCGCCGATGGTGGCCATACCGCCTCTATCAGAGCCGCCAAGTTCGTTTCTCCCAACCAGATTGCATCGGCAGGTCTTGATCGCACGGTCCGATTGTGGAAATATACCGAGGGTGAAGGTGGTTTCACTGGAAAAATTTCTCCTCAACTGGAGTTGTACGGCCACAAGGCTGGAATCGAGTCACTAGCAGTTCATGCCAAGTCCAACCGTCTGTTGACTGGTTCGGCAGACAACACCGTTGGTTTCTGGTCAACCAAAAAGGCTGATGCCCCGGCAGCACCTGAGAACCTGCTTCCTTCCAGCAATGCTCGGAACACGAAGCGCCGCAAATTGAACACGTCCGTCAGCACACCACAGCGTGGTCCTCTGACCCTTCTATCAGCTCACACGGCACCTGTTTCTGCAGCTATTTTCGACGGAAAAGATGCTACCGTTGGTTACTCGGCTTCATGGGATCACTCCCTGCGGACCTGGGATTTGGTCACCGGTTCTCTGGTTGATACTCGCACCACATCACACTCGCTCCTCTCGCTCGAGCACCTCCCTGAACTCAGCCTCTTGGCTGCCGGTACTGCCGCCCGCCATATCACTCTGATTGACCCCCGTGCATCTGCCACGACTGTGGCTGCTATGACTCTCCGAGGCCACACCAACGCTGTCGTGAGCTTGGCCCGTGACCCCCACAGTACATACGGTCTCATTAGCGGTAGCCACGATGGCACGTGCAGAATTTGGGATATTCGGTCTACCAAGACTGACAAGGAAGGTGTTGTTGGTGAGAGCGTTTACTCGATTACCCGGAAGAGCCTTGAGGAGGAGGGTAAGTCGGATAGCAAGCGTGTTGGCGGTGAAGGTGTCAAGGTGTTCAGCGTGTGCTGGGACAAGACGGTGGGCATTGTTAGCGCGGGTGAGGATAAGCGGATCCAAATCAACCGCGGCGAAGGCGTACTGTCTTCGGAGGCATGATTGCACGCACATATGGGCCTGGCGTTTAACACTTGGTTGAGGGTAAAAGTTTAGATTTACATATATTTTTTCCACCTTACTTTTCCACCTTCGCGTATATCTTTAGCTCCCAATTGAATACATATCAAAATCGCAACCTGATAGTCACTACGACTTTTCCGTACATATAGTGTTGTTTTGAAGCTTCCATTCACCTCTGATTTATGTCTAGCCTATAATACATCCACAGAGGGGTTCCATTCACATACAAGCTGGCAAATGTCGAGTGCCAGGAATCAATAAAACGCCAAATCCATGCCTCTCGCGCAAAATAGTGAGACAATCCCATAAAAGTAACAATCGAACACAACACCACCAAGTTTATAGTCTCCGCTCCATGCGGTTCAACTTGACAGGAGTTTTGATCTGTTGAGATTTTGTTAGCCATGAACTCGCATAGCGTCGTTGATATATGGCAGCGCAGGCGAAGATATGAATAGAGCACGAGGGGGAGAAGGGAAACCCACTTGAGTCCGTGTCCGCTGTCCCCTCACAGGCAAGCCCAGCGCATGACGTCGGCCGCGATAAGTTCCGGTCTCTTTCATGCGCTTGATATCGTTCAGAACTTCTCTGCGCAGATCATTCTCAATTTTCATATCGGACAGCACGGCTGTGAGGTCGAGGACCTGCTTGTTGGCCAGTTCGCCGACGCGGCAGGTCGGGTGGATGTTGAAGCGGGCCATGAGGCGGCCGGAGCTGTTGCCGCCAATTCCGAAGAAGGTCTCGAGGGATTTCTGTTGTGCTCAATGCACGTTAGTTGAAGATCAATGGGGCTGGGATATCGAGGTTGCGGGCGCAATCGTCAGGGTTGGCTTGCCTTGAGCAGGTTCCGCTCGGGGAAATTGACACCAAGAATGAAAACCTAAGAGTTATTAGTGGGGTTTCTTTGAGGAATATATCGTACATGGTGTCTATGGTACCATCTTGAGCTGTGTTGGCTGGCTGGTGTCCTGACAATTGTATGGAGCCGTCACTTGTTACTCTCGTTGAACTCCGGGAGAAATCCTCCCGTCAACGTTAACGTTTTTCCGTAGTCGATTGGTGCCTGAATTACATGGCGTTAATTTGTGTATTCTCCGCACGGCATTGCAAGCTGGCCTTCTTCCCCTCCCAATTGCTGCATTTTCCCCCTTTCACTGTATCCTACCAGAGCAGTGGCAATTAGCAAGCATGTTTTTCCGGAATCTTTTCTTGTCCCTTTTCTTTGTCTTCGCCGTTGGCTTCGCGCTCGTTCAGGCCCAAGAGTCCAAGGAGCCTCGTGGCCCTAAGATTACCACCAAGGTGATTGACATTGATGCTCTGGCTCAGTCTATATGCAAGCGGTACTGATTTTTGGTGACAGGTCTACTTCGACATTCAGCATGGAGATGAGCCTCTCGGTCGCATTGTGATGGGCTTGTACGGCAAGACTGTCCCTGAGGTTCGTCGAACTATATCCCCATGGAACAATTAGCAATTGAGGATTATTGCTGACATTTTCGTTTTTATAGACCGCTGAGAACTTCCGGTATGATAGACTTGCTATATCACCGACTGAAACGTTTATTCTGCATATGCTAACCCACCTCCAGCGCTCTGGCTACTGGCGAGAAGGGCTTTGGCTATCAGGACTCTACCTTCCACCGTGTTATCAAAGATTTCATGATTCAGGGTGGTGATTTCACCAAGGGCGATGGTTTGTGAACCTCCAAGCAGGTTATATTGCATTATGCTAAGTGTATACAGGCACTGGCGGAAAGTCGATCTACGGCAACAAGTTCAAGGATGAGAACTTCAAGCTGCGTCACACCAAGAAGGGCCAACTGAGTAGGCATTTCCACCTCTTTTATTCAATGTCTCAGGTATCTGATCATTCTTAGGCATGGCCAACGCCGGCAAGGATACCAACGGCTCTCAGTTCTTTATCACCACCGCTATCACCTCGTTCGTATACCTTGCAATGTTTCTTTTGGTGCAATAACTGACTCAAACCACGCAGTTGGCTCGATGGCCGCCATGTCGTCTTCGGTGAGGTCCTCGAGGGTTACGAGATTGTTGACAAAATCCAAAACGTTCCCAAGGGTCCCAGCGACAGACCCAAGCTGGCAGTTAAGATCGTAAAGAGCGGTGAGCTCGAGTTTGTGCCCGAGACCGAGGACAAAGGTAGCCGCGATGAGCTCTAGACAGGTGACTGTCTGCGCGATGTTTCCTCTGCTGCTGGTCGGAAGTGGCTGATGATGTTGGATATATTAAGAACTCGACGAAGCGCCCCAGGCTCCCAATGCTCCCGAGGCCACTACGCCATCTTACTCCCTGCAACTGGTCATGATTTTCTTCGTCCTAGTTGCTATTGTGGGTATCTGGATTGCCCGTCGGCGTGGCCAGCAGCAACACCAAGAGAAAGAACAGTACGATGCGTAAGAGATTATGTTAGATCAATTATCTATTATTTTTGTACCTTTTCTCCCCATCCTAAAGCCCTGGATTTTGACGTCAGATGACTCTCATACATCATAACTAATAGATCGGCCATCGACGTTACGTTGGTCACGTAGGTGGTGATATACTTTGGTGGACTGTAGATCCAGTCAGATCACTCGCCTCTCGTCTTAGTCAGAAAGTCATCCAGACCGCCCGCGAGCAGCAACTGGCGGGTAGAAATTTCTTCAGTGGCGGTGAGTACTTGAACAGTACTTCTGGTAGGCAGGAACTTACACTATTAAGTTAGGTTCCCTCAAGGTACCTACAATAGCCACACAGGAGCCCCAACTCTCCAACTTTTGTTGCCTCCTTCCCACAGACTTCATCCACCCGTTCTCTTCTTCTCTTGATTCAACCCCCCTCCATCATCCCTTTTTTCTCACTACTCTCTCTCTCTTTTCTTCTCTCTAGAGTTCTTAGATTCCGGAGATTTGCATTTTCATCTTCTCTGTGGTTTTTCTGAGCTTTCTTGTTTGCTACTCGATCTTTTTTTTTTTTCTTATCGAGTGAAACAGAAAAGCGATTTGATCTTTTCACCGTCTCTCTCTCTATCTTCTTTCTAAAGATACACTTTACGTGGATTTATTATTCTCTGCAAGTATCTTTTCCAGATTACTTGCGCTTTATCTACGACGAATCTTTTCCGGTGAAGCAGAAAAAACTGTACGCAATATCCTTTACCTGCTCCGGTCGACATATTGAGCAGCTTCTAATTCTTGCTTTTAATAGACATTTCCAATAACCGCAAAAATGGCCGACGGTTTGCAAATGGGAAACCTTTCCCTTAACGAGTCTCAGCACGCCCCCCAGGGTAACGCCCCTGTTGGCCGTGCCGCCTATATTCCTCCTCACCTTCGCCAGCGTGGTCCCGGTTCTGGTCCCGCCCCCGGCCCCAATGTTAGCGCTGATGCTGCTGCTCCTGGACCTGGCTTCGGTGGTCCTCGGTACAGTACCCAAAAGACTAAATTTCATGAAGCGGCAACTGATTTTCTGCTTTCTAGTGATGCTGGTGGCAACTGGGCCAACGCTAATGCTCCTAACTTCAGCCCTCGTGGCCCTGCAACCGGTATGACCAGCTGGAACCCCGATGGAACACTCCGACCTTTCAATCCCAATGCTTACGGAAACCCAGGATCTTCTTACGGTGGTGGCAGCAGCGGTGGCGGCGGCAGCAGCAGCTACAGCGGTGGTGGTAGCTCTGCGCAAGGTCGTGGCTCAGGCGATGGCCAGTGGCGCGATGGCAAGCACGTTCCCGGTCCCGCCAATGCTCGCCTAGAGCGCGAGCTGTTTGGTGTTCCTAACGACCCCACCAAGCAGCAGACTGGAATCAACTTCTCCAATTACGATGATATTCCCGTCGAGGCCTCCGGAAATGATGTCCCAGAGCCTGTCACCCAGTTCACTAACCCTCCTCTGGACGACCACCTGATTGCCAACATTAAGCTCGCCAGCTATGTCATTCCTACCCCCGTTCAGAAGTACTCAGTCCCCATTGTCATGAATGGCCGTGATCTTATGGCCTGTGCCCAGACTGGTTCCGGAAAGACTGGTGGTTTCCTTTTCCCTATCCTCTCTCAGGCTTTCCAGAACGGTCCTTCTGCTGCCCCTGCCCAGGGTGGTGGCGGTGGTCAGTTCAGCTACGGCCGCCAGCGCAAGGCTTACCCCACCTCCCTCATTCTTGCCCCCACTCGTGAGCTTGTTTCTCAGATTTTCGAGGAATCCCGCAAGTTCGCTTACCGTTCGTGGGTTCGCCCCTGCGTCGTGTACGGTGGTGCAGATATCGGATCCCAGCTTCGTCAGATTGAGCGTGGTTGCGATCTCCTCGTTGCCACCCCCGGTCGCCTGGTTGATCTGATTGAGCGTGGCCGTATCTCCCTGGCTAACATCAAGTACCTCGTTCTTGACGAGGCTGATCGCATGCTGGACATGGGTTTCGAGCCCCAAATTCGCCGCATTGTCGAGGGTGAGGATATGCCCGGTGTTGATGATCGCCAGACACTCATGTTCTCGGCCACCTTCCCCCGCGATATCCAAATGCTCGCTCGTGATTTCCTCAAGGACTACATTTTCTTGTCTGTTGGTCGTGTCGGAAGTACTTCGGAGAACATCACTCAGAAGGTCGAGTATGTCGAGGATGCTGACAAGCGCTCTGTCCTGCTGGATATTCTCCACACCCATGGCAGCACTGGCCTGACTTTGATTTTCGTCGAGACCAAGCGCATGGCTGACTCGCTCTCCGATTTCCTCATTAACCAGCGTTTCCCTGCGACTGCCATTCACGGCGATCGTACCCAACGTGAGCGTGAACGTGCTCTGGAGCTCTTCCGTAACGGTCGTTGCCCTATTCTGGTTGCCACTGCCGTTGCTGCTCGTGGTCTCGATATTCCTAACGTGACCCACGTCATCAACTACGATCTCCCCACTGACATTGATGACTACGTTCACCGTATTGGTCGTACTGGTCGTGCCGGCAACACCGGTATCGCCACTGCTTTCTTCAACCGTGGCAACCGTGGTGTTGTTCGTGACTTGCTCGAGCTCCTCAAGGAAGCCCACCAGGAGATTCCTGCTTTCCTGGAGAGTATCGCCCGCGAAGGTAGCGGATTCAGCAGTGGTCGTGGCCGCGGTGGTGGTGGCCGTGGCCGTGGCGCTGCTGCCACTCGTGATGTGCGTCGTATTCCTGGCGGCATGGGTGGTGGCTTCGGTGGTGCTGGCAGCTACGGCGGCTCTGGTGGTGCTGCTCCCTCTTACGGCGGTAGCGGCTATGGCGGCGGTGCCGCCCCCTCCTACGGCGGCGGTGGTGGTGCTGGCTACGGCGGTGGCGGTGGTGGCAGCTACGGCAACCCCTCCGGCTCCTCCGGCCCATCCTCCTGGTGGTAAATCAGTCGTGGTCCTTTGACGATGCCCTCGGGTCTGATTGGCTCCCTTGCTTTATTTTCTTTTGTCTCTCTTTGACGGATACGATCAGATTGAGTCCCTGAGTTCTTTTCTACCTGTGCTCTCTCTCAGGGACGGCTTTGTCATGACTGCACGACTTTCCTACGCTTGTTTTAGATTCATATTTTTCCTGTTTGCGCATGTTTTAATCTGCTTTCCTTTGTTGTTCTTCTCGTGTCTCTCCTATCTATTATAGTCATGGCGTTCCAATGTCGCCCTGTCTGGATACGAGGCATTCGCGCAGTCCGGTCTTCTTTTTTTTGCCCTTGGGGAACATCGCTTCTCCCTTCGAGCAACCTGTGATCGAAACTGCATGGACATCATAGAACGCGTTGTTTTTTTTTTTTTCTATGTCCGCTCTCGTCAGATACCCCTTATGTTCGAGCATCCCCACTGGGGACACGTTCGAGTGACGCGCGTGCGCCGAGCGGAGATTGATGACTTTTTATCATCTCGAAAAGTTCTCTTTTTCTCTTCGCATTCATCTTCTCGGTGTTGTTATGGCTGCATTCATCATGTGCAGCATAGACTTTTTACAGCGTCGGTATCTCATGGCGGACATTTGTTTCTGTTGCTGCCCTCATGCGTTCTGCAGTCGGTTTTTCTTTCGAAAACAAAACGTGCGCTTCCTTTCTCCGGGCTTCTCGGATACTGGATATCTTGCCGTTGCACCTCACGGCGCGGCTGGTGTGTTTCGAACCAACAAAATGGTATTCTTTGCATTCTGTATGGCGTTGGCTTGACCTGCAACTGCATGTCCTCTACTTTCGGGTCCGTGGAGGCTGATTTTCTCCGAATAGGAGCAGCTCGCTTCATTTGTCTATTTCTGATTAATTTTTCTCGGACCTCGGAAGATAGAACGCTGTCGCCTCTGAAAGAATGGGTATACTTAGGAATTCTCGGGTTCGAATTGGGAGGGAATAAAACGAACCAAGGGCCCTGAGATGGCTACGAGAAGGAAAGTTCTCATATTCAATGCAATGTCGAAAAAGTGTTTCCAATTATGTTGGTGCAGGTTGCGTAGGATTTATCTGTAGGATCCCAGTAGGGTAGTAACTATGTATCGTATTCGTGTAGGATGAATGTGGGATTGATTCATATCGATTAATATGCATCAATACATGAGTTACTCCGTAGTTGGGTAATTAGTTAATCTATTTTGAACTTATTCACTCCGTAAATGGTACTTTTTATTACCTTCGCTTACTCTATAAATTTGAAATCCGAATGCGTGGCATTAGCCGCATATTAAACGCGTGAGGTCTCTGATACGGGTAGATATCACACCAGCTATACCTTCATGGGCCACTCGGCTCTGCTTTCTTCCTCGATTTTCCGGCCTTTGAACTTCATTTTCCCTTTTCCCTATTTTTACTTGGCACTCCTTTTCACCTTTTATTTCTCTTTTCTTTTCCTTTAGTGCTCTTATACTACTTCTGCCTCTTTCATCGGCCGCCTCCTAGGGGGCATCTTCACATTACCAATCTGCGATTCCCCCGTCAGAATCTGATCGCGGACCAGCTGTTCCAATAACCTAAGATGGCCGATTTCGAAAATAGCATGATGGACGAGTCCTTTGCGGCGTCCGAAGCTGCGGATGAGTCTCACGGCATGACCGCCAGCGCAACGGTCGGTACAAGGCGGCAAGCGAACGGCACAATTGGCTCTGTCTACTCCGGCAACAAGATTCGACACCTGAAGAAAGATGATGGTATACCTCTATGGCGCAAAGATATCCAGTACCAATTCCTGAAGCTGGTCTTTGAGGACAAGACGCCTGTTTTCACGCGGTATCCCGACGGACAGAAAGGAATGGACTTTGCGGATGTCTACATCAATGCAATGGCCCGGAGCAGCAAGACCAGCAAGATTCTAAAGGATAAACTACAGAATGACAAACCTGCAGCTATCAATATGGCTATGGTCTGCCTGCTGGTCAATTTTGGTCGCATGAACACTACCCTAAACTGTACGCATGCAGCTATGCCACAGCCAAATCTATCTCTTCTATGCTAATTGCTATTGTCCTGGCTTCTAGTCTTTCCCGAAATGCGTGCTCAACTACGAACCTACCACTCGATTCCTTCACTACAAGCGCATCAGGACTCGAATGCCTACAAACAGCTGCAAGATGCTCCTCGTCTCAAGTCCATTCTTAAGGGCGCCTCGGAGGATGTAGATCAACCGAATACCTTGGAAAAGATTAAGCGACAGAATATACCTCGGACAAACCCAGTAAACTTGATTTTTGTTCTGGCGCAATACGCCCCCAAAGTGTCGGAAATACACTTCTTTCCTCCGCGAGACTTCTTCGACCTGGTCATGAGATCTACACTTAGCAGCCAAAGTCGCGCTAGAGCCTTCCTCTGGCTGATGTGGTGGTATCTAGAAAGTGATTTCAGTCGCGAGGCTGCTCTGAACAATCCATTCGGCCCGGGCGTGGAAGGCGAGGGAACCGAGGGTCTTCCTTTGAAAGTACCTCCCTTTGATATCCTGACAGAGGAACAAGCCACTGAAGAGAACTTGGATACACCCGAGGAACAGGAATACGGGGAGTCCAAAAGATTGGAACGCAAACGTACGTGTGCCTAGTGCTGACTACAGTTGAAGATTGGACTTGACTGACATTTGGTGCAGGCATCCTAGAAGAAGAGGAGCCACTGGCGCGCATTCCCAAGCGACCCAAGAAAGGTGGGCTCGGCATTTTGAATTGCTATCATATACATGCCAGAACGCTAACCTTCCCTGACTACAGAATATGGCCTTGACGAAGAATCATTCGCAGGAGACTACTCTGGTATGGGAGGTCGTGGCTCTGCTATGTCCACCCCTCTCCATCCTTCTGCTAAACGCAGCTTGGATGATGACGAAGATGACATGACCCCTGGTCATTCTCGCCCGCGCCCTAAGCAGGCTAAGCGAGAGTCATCACTTAATCGAGCTGTGGGCCAACAACGACTTATCTTGAAAACGAGGATGGAACATACTCCCGATGCTTCCCCTGCTCCTCCGGGACCCAACCATCCAGTACTTAACCGCTTTATTACCGAGCCTTCGCTTTCCTCAGCACCTACCATGCGTCGGATGCGGCCACTTACACAACATCAGATAGCGGTCGAGCAAAATCGTCGGCAGAGGATTGATTATCTGCTGGCCAAACGCAAATCAAATGCATACCGTGTTCTCCGTGCTAAACGGGAGAGTGAGATTCCTTTCGGGCGCTACGGTCGCTTGCTTCAGGGTCTGCCCGAGGGCTACGATACTGATGATGAAGAACGCTCGTGGGGCAAGGGTGGTCTCTTCCCAAACCCGGAAGAAGAGGATGACTTTGGAGAATGTGCAAGCGTCTTTCTCTCTGTAGTGCGAAAAGCCGCCCGCCGCCTCGATCGCTGGGATTACACCGAAGCCAATGGTCCCAAGAAGGATCGCAAGAGGGAGCGCGAGGAGCGATACCAGGCCAAGGCGGCCCTAGAAGCTGACGTGCGAAGCTCCAACAACAGGTCACGTCCGCGTCCTCGTCCTAGTGCTGCTGCCAAGCGCAAGTCTGCGGGTGTAACAGGCACTCCCAGCACTAACAAAAAAGCTGCAACTTCTCAGCCCAAGGGAAGTCACGGTCACCCTGATGGTTTGGGGGCTGTGCCATCAGCTATGGGTACCCCGACCTGGGAGCACGGACCCGATGACTACATGGAAGGAGAGTTGGACGATCTTGACCGCGAACTCCTTGGCGAAGTGTCTGGCGAAGAAGATGATGGAGGTGCCCCCCGAGCCGATGAGGAAGGGGACTTCTCTGACGATCAGGACGACGAAGACGACGTGGACGGTGACGAAAATTCCTCTACCTATGAAGGCGCCAATGGTTACGCACGACACGAAGCCTCGTCTCCTCTCCCCGAGGGGTCTACCAGGCCCACGCGGGGAAGGTTATGGAGATGATGCGATGGAAGACTAATAGGGTTGGCGTTTTGCTTTTTTTTTTTTTTTTTTTTTTTTTTGAAATCTTGTGTATCACGATCTACTGTTTTCTTTTGTCTCTCTTGTTTTCTAGGCGTATCATTCCCTTTCGGAATGGTTGTATTCCAGTCAATTTCACCCAAGCCCTTGATATAAGCGGCTAGTACTACTCCGTACTTGAACATCCGATGTGCACGGCATGTGATAATGACCCCCTCTTTCTCCTCTTATACATCTGTTCACTTCCATACCTTTGGATTTCTTTTCACAACTTTTACAATTCTCAAATATTTTATACTCATTCAACATACAAAGCTCGAAGATCATACGAGAACGGGTGTTCGGTTTCGGAGTGGATACGGAGACTGTCACAAGCTGTGTGGCCAACAGTACAGAGCGGATTCCCAAGGCAAATTTGTTGAGACTCGTGTACTTTTCCCTTTTCCTCAACATCATTTACCCCGAGTTAAACTAAGAGATATAGCAAGGTAACCCTTGCTGCCCAATTGCTCCGAGGAAGTTTATCTTCCCTTTTACCGGTAAGCGTCATATCCCGCTAAGCTCGATGTTCTCTCCTTTCCCCATATTTACACATTTCGCCTCTGACACTTCACAGACGCGCACAAAGCATCTTCTACAATATATTACAGCTCTACCTATGAAATAGGGAAATACGTGGGACAACCAAATCTAGTTTGTCTTTTTGTCACGACAATCCCTCTGTTTTCCCCAGAGAACCCAACAAAACTGAGCCTTAAACTTACCACACGACACAACTCATCCATCTACCCATCATGACCGAACAGCCCCGCATCCTCCGTCCACGCCCGAGACGTCCATTCGAAATAACGCCTGCTTCTACGGAGTCATCTGGACCTCCAACACCGGCCGAGTCAACAGGCACGGAGTACCTAAACCCGCAAGCAGACACCACGTCAAACTCAACCGGCGTGAGCCGTACAGGATCGGTGATGAACCTGACCGCTTCGACCCTGTACGGGATCTACTCTCCGACGGCGTTCGAGGGATACCGCGATGAGTCCAGTCCCTGGGGCACAGAAGCCAACAGCCCATCGGCAGAGTTCCCTCCCGAGCCATTGCAGCGCGTAGCAGAGAAATCGGCCATCGAGCCGCGGCGGAAGGCGCTGCGGAGGACTCGGTCTCGATTGAGTCTAGGTCTGTTCCGGGGCGTGATCTTGCCGCAGGCGTTGAGCAGCGTGCTGCTCTTTGGCTTTGGTGTTGCTTACGGTGTTATCACGGTTCATCTTCATGAGAACCATTGGATTACGCCTGTCAAGCTGGAAAATATTCATTACTACGATTCATGGCAATACTTGGGTGTCTGGGGATTGGCGGGTATTGCTTTGGGTAATCTGCTTCCTTGGTTGGATAACTGGCGTGAGGATGACCTTGAGGAGTCTGATTCGAAGCTTGCAAATACCGATGAGGAAGAGAGCGAGGATCGCACCCCATCTTGGGTTGCTGTTGCTCGCAGTGTCGGAGCGTTTGTCGGAATTGCATTTGCTATGGTAAGTGAACATGTGTTGTTCTGCGCTTCCAGTTTCTTTCTTTCTCTACTTCTATGAGACAATACTGACATCTCTTTTTTTATAGCGGAAACTTCCTTGGGAATCTACCACGCAAGCATCATTGACCCTCGCGCTCGCAAATCCCGTTCTCTGGTACCTGATTGACCGCACCACCACCGGCTTCGTCCTCTCGACCACCGTTGGATTGACTGGAATGGGAGTTGTTCTTGGCCTCAAGCCAGAGCTTGTGCCTACGTCGACCGGTATCAATCTTCTGAATGGAACAGGACTGGAGAATGTGCTGGGTGCAGGTATCACACAGGAGAGCATTGCGGTCGGTACTTGGATTGCCAGTGTCATTTTCTGCGCATGCGTGTGCTTTGGAAATGTTGGCCGTCAGCTTGCTACCGGAGCTGGCGCCAGAGATATTTTGAAGCCCTGAAGTTCAAAAAGCACTGGGTTTTTCTCGGTTCAGGATTGTGGACTTCAGCTTTGCTGGAGAATGGCCTTATGAGGGCACGGAACGTTTTATGTACATCTGAAATAATTTATGGCTCTGTAAAGAATTGTAATAGAACTCGGCTCGCTCCAACTTCCAAGTTGTTGCTACGCCAAATAAAATATCGAGATTAAACTAGGGAGAACTTCAGTTTACGATGAGTTACGAACAGCGAATATACCGAAGCACAAAAAGATTCAATGAATTTGGTTATTTTATATTGGGATGTAGAATCAATCATTGCAATCCCTGCTAATTGACCAGAAGTCAAGCAGGCACTGCACCCAAGATCGACACCTTTGCCAGTTGGCACTTGGTCTCCATTCTCTATACGATTTCCTTACTTCATCAGACGAATCTTCGTAGGAACGCTTTTTGAGTAGAATGTGAGTTTTGCGTTGTTCATGAAGAAGAAAAAAAGGAAGAGCAGAGGGCGCCTGTGAGAAATCTCTTATATATTCCAATATCACGTGTCACGCTAATGTCTTCTCCATAATACTGGTCTTTTATTGGCCAACGCCACAGTGGGCTGGTGGTCGATCACGTAATACAACTTTTGCTATCAAGCCCCTCCGCCGTAATCGGTCAGGACCCCGCGAGTCATAATTTCTTCTCTTTTTTCTTCTGTTAGCCATTTTTATACCCTCTTCGCTTCGTTTTAGGTATGTCATTTGATTCATTATATCAATTGGGCTCAATTGCGGATTGTATTTGGGAATTTCTTCTCTAACTGATCCAGTGTAGACTGTCGGATTCACCATGTCTCAACAAAAGTCCGGTATGTCTAGTTCCCCGGACTATAATATTATTTATCCCAAGCAGTTCAAGCTCAATTCTAATATCTTTTTTTGGAATTGAATAGCTATCATCTCCGTCTATGACAAGACTGGTCTGCTTGACCTGGCCAAGGGTCTGGTCAAGCAGGAAGTCCGCCTTCTTGCGTCCGGCGGTACCGCCAAGATGATCCGTGAAGCTGGATTCCCTGTCGAGTGAGTCACCTCTATTTTCAATGGTTCAACGACATACAAAAAGCGTTAGAATCAATATACATCCCAGGAACTGACAATTAATCCCAGGGATGTCTCCGCCATCACTCACGCTCCCGAAATGCTCGGTGGCCGTGTCAAGACCCTCCACCCCGCCGTGCACGGTGGTATCCTCGCCCGTGATATCGAGTCCGATGAGAAGGACCTCGCAGAGCAGAAGATCTCCAAGGTCGACTACGTCGTCTGCAACCTGTACCCCTTCAAGGAGACCGTCGCCAAGGTCAACGTCACTATCGATGAAGCTGTGGAGGAGATTGATATTGGTGGTGTGACTTTGCTCCGCGCTGCGGCCAAGAACCACAAGCGTGTGACCATCCTGTCTGACCCGCGCGACTACTCCGACTTCCTTAAGGAGCTCGAGGCTGGCGAGATCACCGAGGCTAGCCGCAAGCAGTACGCCCTCAAGGCCTTCGAGCAGACTGCCGACTACGACTCTGCCATCTCTGGCTTTTTCCGCAAGGAGTATGCCGGCAACGGTGTGCAGCAGATTTCGCTGCGCTACGGTACCAACCCTCACCAGAAGCCCGCCTCTGCCTACATGGCTCAGGGCAAGCTGCCCTTCAAGGTCCTCAACGGATCTCCTGGCTATGTTAACCTGCTCGATGCCCTGAACGCCTGGCCCCTGGTTAAGGAGCTCAAGCAAGCTCTTGGCTTCCCCGCCGCTGCCAGCTTCAAGCACGTCTCCCCCGCTGGCGCTGCTATCGGTGTGCCCCTGAACGAGAAGGAGCGCAAGGTGTACATGGTTGACGATATCAAGGATATCGAGACCTCCGGTCTGGCTCAGGCTTACGCTCGTGCCCGTGGTGCCGACCGCATGTCCAGCTTCGGTGACATTCTGGCCCTCAGTGACATCGTCGATGTCCCCACAGCCAAGATCATCTCCCGTGAGGTGTCCGACGGTGTCATCGCCGCTGGCTACGAACCCGAGGCTCTGGCCATCCTCTCCAAGAAGAAGAGCGGCAAGTACCTTGTCCTTCAGATGGACGAGGATTACACCCCTGCACCTGAGGAGACTCGCACTCTGTTCGGCGTCCAGCTGACCCAGCACCGCAACGACGTTGTTATCTCCCCCAGCAAGACCTTCAACACCGTCATCACCCCCAAGAACACCACCCCCCTCCCCGAGGCTGCTCTTCGTGACTTGACTGTCGCCACCATTGCCCTCAAGTACACCCAGTCCAACTCCGTCTGCTACGCCCTGAACGGCCAGATCATCGGTCTGGGCGCTGGCCAGCAGAGCCGTATCCACTGCACCCGTCTGGCCGGCGACAAGGCCGACAACTGGTGGATGCGCTTCCACGAGCGCGTCATCAACATTAAGTGGAAGCAGGGCACCAAGCGTGCTGATAAGTCTAACGCCATCGATCTGCTCTGCTCGGGCCAGACCCCCCGCACTGACGCTGAGACCGTCGAGTACGAGCGTGTCTTCGAGGAGGTCCCCGCTCCCTTCACCCAGGAGGAGCGTGAGGCTTGGCTCGAGAAGCTCGGCGAGGTTGCTGTCTCGTCCGATGCCTTCGTAAGCATTCCCCTTCATTCTCTTTTCATTGGTAAATACTAATTGTCTCCACTAGTTCCCCTTCATCGATAACGTCTTCCGTGCCGCCCGCTCAGGCGTCAAGTACATTGCCGCCCCCACTGGCAGCCAGAACGACACCCCTGTCTTCGAGACTGCCGAGAAGCTGGGCATCACCTTCGTCGAGCAGGGCACCCGTCTCTTCCACCACTAGATTATTCTATTGGTTGTTGCGTTGGTGTCTTGTTCCCCTCTATTCCCATCTTCCCCTCTTCCTTTCCCCTCGTAAAAAAAAGATGCCCTTTATGTGGTTCCCGCTGTGATGGATATTCGATATGATCATGATGTCAGGTTTTTCCTTTATGATTTAGATAAATTTATACATATTTTAAGTATTTATTTCTAGAATTGGTTGCCTTAATACCCCCAATAACTCTGTAGGTGCCGAGAAACGTCCTTTTGTTTTCGCCCCGACTCCCCAGGATCTTCGCCCTACTAGTATGTCGTATTTAGGGTTTGATACCCGGAACCGATGCTTGTTCTCTTTTTCAGGATCCTGAAGTCTGAACAACTTTTACATCTTCTCGCAATTGGATCTCCTGACTTCTCGCCAAGTTCAACCCAAAATGAGCCGTCGTCACATCGATGTATTGTGCTCCGTCGGAGCTCCGCTGCAGCGAGGGGGTACTCATCAGACTAGCGGCATCCTGATAAGACAAGCAACAACCAAGCGAACCAAGCTAACCAAGCAACGATCCACAACATTGGCGGAAGAAGCCCCCAAAATTGCGATGGTTACCTTCATTTCAGCCCAGACTTGCCACTGTGCTATTGCGCTATACCGTGCAAAGATACCGAGGTCAGCATCCCTGCCTCCAGGGATTTTGAGCTCCAGTGCCGGACGTTCAATCCGGATCTAGTGTCTCAAACGTCCTGCAGATACTGCGGACTATATCCAATCAGATCTGCCAAACTCAATTGGTACTTTTTCGCCATCGCAGATGGGGGAAATTAGGGTTGCAATCATACCATTGTGTCATTGTGTTTGGCTGCCCCCGCGTGTATATCAAGGGGGTCATTCCCCTCTCCCGGCAGGATGACCGGGGTATTATCACATCTCTGTTGTTTCTCGAGATGTTCATACGTCAGGTTTATGTCGCTCTGGCGATCGCAGCTCTTTCTGGAGCTATCCCAGCACCTGTGAAGCATGTATTGCATGAGAAGCGAAGCGCACATGTGGATTGGGTGAAAGGTGAGCGCATTAAGCGCGATTCCGTGCTGCCTGTGCGCATTGGTCTTACTCAGAACAATTTGGAGAATGGTGATGAGTATCTCATGGCTGTGTAAGTTGTTTTCTTATGTGTTATGTCTTCATGGTCCACGGCTGAATCACTAATACGTGAATAGTTCTGACCCAAGCTCTGCCAAATATGGACAGTATTGGTCTGCAGATGAAGTTCATGCTATGTTCGCTCCTTCGAAAGAGTCTGTTGACTCTGTTCGTCAGTGGCTTGAGTCTTCTGGCATTCATAAGTCCCGGATTGTCCACTCCGATAACAAGGGATGGTTGGCTTTTGATGCCTATGCGCATGAAGTAGAAAGTTTGTTCAAGGCTGAGTTCTATGAGCATGAGCATGCTAGCACTTCCAGCATGAAGATTGGCTGCGAGGAGTAAGTGTTCTTGCTGCTTTTTAACCTACTTTGGACTCTTTGATTGACAGTGTTACTAGGTACCACGTCCCCCAGCATATCCAGGCACACATTGACTATATTACTCCTGGAGTCAAGCTCAGCCCCATTGTCAAGAAGAGCACTAAGGCGAAGCGGATGTCGCATTTGGCTCACTCCAAGGGCGTGGTGGAATCCGATGACTCTGTCAACACCGCCGTTATTTCCGAGAAGGCGAAGTCACTTCCTGCGGAACTCCAGAAATGCGGAACTGATATGACTCCGGCCTGCATCAAGGCCTTGTACAATATCCCAGATGCCACCAAGGCACACAAGGGCAATTCGCTTGGTCTCTACGAGCAGGGTGACTACTTCGCCAAGTCGGATCTTGATCTCTACTATAAGGCCTATGCTCCTTGGATCCCTCAGGGCACTTACCCCATTCCTGCCTTGATTGATGGAGCCAACTTCTCAGTGCCTGATTACAGCCCGCTGAATACCGGTGAATCAGATATTGACATTGACATGGCGTAAGTACAATGTTTTTTTTTTTCCTAATTGCTTCTCTATTATTCACTAACAACTCCAGTTATGCGCTTATCTACCCCCAGTCCGTGACTCTTTACCAGGTTGATGACCAGATTTATGAACCGGAAGAGGTTGCGACTACCAACCTGTTCAACACTTTCCTCGACGCTCTCGATGGCGTATGTTATATTCTCCCGAAACCCAAATGTATCTTGCTAACAACCCCAGTCTTACTGCACGTACAGTGCCTTCGGTGAAACAGGCAACAACCCTGATATCGACGCAGTCTATCCCAACCCGCGTCCTGGCGGCTACAAAGGTACCATACGATTTCCACTAACCAGACTGATATTCTCACTCACATAAAAACAGGCGAGCTTCAGTGCGGTGTATACAAGCCCACAAACGTCATCAGTGCCTCCTACGGCCAGGCCGAAGCCGATCTGCCCGTCGCCTACACCAAGCGTCAATGCAATGAGTTCCTGAAGCTCGGTCTGCAGGGCCACTCCATCCTCTTCTCCTCCGGCGACTACGGTGTCGCCTCTTTCCACGGCGACGGATCCGCCAACGGATGCCTGGGACCCGAGGAAAAGATCTTCAACCCCCAGTACCCCTCGAACTGCCCCTACGTGACCTCCGTCGGAGGCACCATGCTCTACGCCGACCAGACTGTCGAGGATGCCGAGAGTGTGATGCACGCTAACTTGGGTGGACTTTCCGCAAACTTCAGCAGCGCAGGCGGCTTCTCCAACTACTTCCCCCAGCCTTTGTACCAGCGAAAGGCTGTGGAGAAGTACTTCAAGAAGGCCAAGCTGACTTACCCGTACTACTCCCAGATGGAGGCCAACCTGAACAAGACAAAGGGTCTTTACAACCGTATTGGTCGTGCTTATCCTGACGTTGCGGCTAATGGCGCCATGTTCCCTGCTTACAGTGGTGGAGCGCTGCACCACTTCTACGGCGCTAGCTTGTCGTCGCCGTTGTTCGCTTCGGTTCTGACTTTGGTAAGTTGAGACTTTAGATTACTTTATTAACTGTGCTAATGGCTCTTTCCTGTTGGTAGCTTAACGAGGAACGTCTTGCCAAGGGCAAGGGCCCTGTTGGTTTCATTAACCCTGTGCTTTATGCTCACCCGGAGGTTCTTAATGATATCACCAACGGTACCAGTGCTGGATGTAACTCGGATGGCTTCAGTGCTATTCCAGGGTGAGTGCAATCTTCGATCCTGGCTATGGAATATTTTTACTGACGTGCCATGCAGATGGGATCCGGCTACCGGATTGGGCACACCTAACTATCCTAAGATGAAGAAGCTGTTCCTGTCTCTACCTTGAGATGGATAAGGGCAGAGCTTGTGTGACAGACTTGCATACCAGGTGCTATCAAGGATTGCCTTGGTGAGCACCAAGTACATAGTTACTCTGGGCGGCTGTTATGTTGAGGTTTCTCTATGATTCTCATGTTCAGATTTACAATTCTTCTATTTATTTTTGATGACTATATCTATATACAATGTGAGATGTTTTTCTAAGACAAACTTGGATCACAGGTGCTTGAGCAGATTGGTTGTGTGACTCGGCTGTCTCGTATATACAACTGCTGAGGTTTCCTAACAAAGTAACTTCAGTTCTTAAAGAAAGTCTCCTTGTCGTATTCCTATTATTGAATAAATAGTATTTGACTAGCACATAGAGAACTGATGCAGCTCTGCGGTAGGCTGTGATCAGAGTCCTTGTGTTGTACAGTATTTAGAACAAAGATGGTAAACAAAATATGTCTCGCACTAGTCCACCATGCACATGTCGCCATATACATGGTTTCAGCACCTGAAAGAGTACAAGTTATTTATTGTCTTTCTAATAATAATGTCTCTCGTAAAATATACAGTCCCTAAATGTTACTATATGCTTGTGCCAAAGTGTCACAAATATCAGACTATAGATCATTCTAGTCTACTAGCTGGAGCCAATCGGCAATCCTGATTGAAATCTAATTCTCTGAGCTAATTCTCATTTTTCTCTCATCTACTAATCTGATCTAATATATTATATTATTCATTTTGCTTGGCTTCGGCCCTTTATGGTTGAAAATCAAGGGGTCGTCGCTACCCTCGAACTATACGCCAGGATGGTCCGTGCGTGAGAATTTGTATACCATCAAAATATCTATAAAATCGAGATATAAACTTGCAAACAGTAGAATTTTCTTCGGCACGGTTGTCAATGGCTGGAGTTTTCTCATAGCCATTTTAGGCAGGCACCAATGAGTAGATTTCCATAAAAGAATGATACCCAGGCGGTAACGTAGAAAAGGCCAAAGCTGTTAAGGGCTCTCAAGAGCCCGATCGGAGAAAAGCAGGTAAACAAAACCTTGATCAATTCCGACCGCACAACTACCCGTGCAAATCCTCAAGCGCAATGACGCTGCATTCAACTGGACTTCCCGTAAGTCCAATCCTTCAAAACTGAATCCCAAAAGAGCGATTAACAAGAGCTCTACACATAGATCAGCGATGCCCCCATCGACCGCGGAGCCAGCTCTGTTTCCCCACCCACAGACACCTACCAACTATTCCTGGCCCTCTATCACCGCGGCGAGTTTTCTCTCGGCGAGTACCGACTGCGTCTCGGCTTCTCCGCATACCACTGGGCGATCCTGGTATTAGATTCCAAGCACGACCGGTACCACGCCTACGACGTGACCGACGGATCCTCTCCAGACCCGCTGATCCGACGCGACCTCAACCCGGACTTCCAATGGACCTACCGTGTCAAGAGCAACGTGCGTCCGGAGTCGTGCGACTCTCTTCTCATCCGAATGGCCATCGGCGAAGTCAGCGATGGAATCGGTCCGGAGACTATCAAGATCCTCCTTCAGTCTGTTCAGCTGCCGATTAAGGGTGCTTATCCGCCCCAGAACTGCGTTAACTGGATCAGGGCTGTTCTTCACAAGCTTCATTTCCATGGTTATGCGAGAAGATTGCAGGATGTTGAGATGACTATTGATCGGGCTCTTGCTTATGCGGATCTTCGTTTGTTGGATCCTGTGAATTCGGTCACCCTGGTTGATCACCTTGGGAATGAAATCTTGCAGCCTTTTTGCATGCAATGAGATATCTTGAAGGGATGTGCGATGTCGCTGGCTGATGAGTCTTTGAAGGGTTGTGTTTTGCTGGAGTCTATGGTGTTAACTGGGTGCCCTGGGTGTCATTTTATCAACTGTTTGTTAATCTGAACTTGGAGAATTGAGCATGGATTAATTCTATTTCTTTCAAGGTCTACACGTGTTTATTCACGTGCACTGTTCTAGACGATGCAAGGTGGTTAGATATAGATTGACGACAGTATCACGTGGCTTCATTATCACATATCAATGGATAGGCGACCTCGGAATCTTCACGGGGGCGAATAGGCCAGAGATTGATCAGAGCGCCAATCTTGCCCGGGAAGTCTGTTTCCCGGTTTGTTTTCAACCCCTACACCTGCCTGTTTAGTTTCTTCGTTCCGATGAACTACACACGATACACACGATATTCATTTGCTTGCAGGCTGGGGATGATCAAGTCACGATCTATCAAATTATTTATTCGATAACTAACCATGAGGTATACGTCAGCAGGCAACTCCAAGACTTGAATAGATCTTGACAAATCTAATCTCCGTGGGCGCAAGGTCAGGAGTTCAACATACATCATTTTCGCGATAACACAAAACTCAAAAAAATGACCAGGGTACTTCGGATGCTCATATGAGTCACGAGGAACTATAACGAGTAATATCGAATCCACACGGACGATTTCATCCGAGCCCCATAGAAAATGTGCCGTATACCCATCAACCCGCATCTAACCTCGATCTGGTCATAAACGACGATCAGTCCCGACTGCGAGGTTCCGAGCTTGAGTCACGTTCGTCTTTCTTGCACGTGTCGATCACCCGTAAACGATAGCGAGAGCCGACGTGCACTAAACCCAGAGCTTCCAGCCCTGGAGGGTAAGGGGGGTCTAATGTGGATTCGGAATATGTAGGTGGGAATTGCATATTAGCATAAAGTGTGCACAGTGCACGATCCGCACGGAACTACGGAGCTCGGACACGGACTGATGGGCGGATGGATTTAAGGCCGAGGATCGGAGGAATATATCTGCGAGTCCTAAGTAGGTAAGCATTCAAGGGTGGCCAGGTTAGATAGACAAGGGGATTTTATGTTAGCCTATTAATGTGAAACTAAGTGCATAAGCTGGGGCCATGTTATACATGATTATCAGCCTCAAGATACACCACGTTGCCTTTTTGGGTGCTTAGTAAAATTGTCGCCTATTCTTCCTCCGCCTCATCATGCCTCACATCATGCCTCATCATGCCATGTAGTAATATGTCGTCCACATCATCTCTTCCCAATGAGGCCATTGATAACCCACCTAAGGTATTTTCGCAATCCACCACTTGGAGACATGAAAAAAGAATCCATCTCTCGGCCAACGGCAGCAAATAACAAATGGCCGCTAAGTCCTTGATGTCATACCTGTCACGCAGAGTGGATCCCCGAGAGATATCAAATTATTGGATCAATGAAATGGCCGACAACCAGCCATGGCGTTGGGCGATTATTGTAGTTATCTCCGCATGGTCCTTACTTTGTACTTTGTATTCCGTAGACCCTGAATTGAATTGTTCTGGACTGTGGATCTCTGTTGACATCATCTATTTTCCTAATCGGGCATACTACTCGTATTTGAGATGGAAGATAGAAGAAGCTTACTTCGGAGATCAACGGTGAGAGAAGCCTAAATAGTGTCATAGAGATACCTAAATAGTTGAGACATTTCATATTAGCATTTCGTATTCGGTAGGGCTATGAAGTGGAGATTAAATGGGTTTCTAAAAGGAAAGCCAAAGAACCCTGGCCCCGGTATTTTGAGTGCTTATGTCATCTCAAAGCCACAGTGCCCGGACCTTGGAACCTTCCAAGGTTCCAAGGTTCCAGAGGTCGGCGATATCCGTATGAGACTTACTAATACGCCAAGATGCCCAAGCTGACCTCGGGAACACATCTGAATAATAGGAGAACCTCCCGAGGTCAGCTTGGAAGGTTTGAAGTATGTGACGTATGTCAAACACGTTACTATTGAAGAATGCAGTAAGGATTGTACATTGTACCTGTATCGCGAGAAACACCTAATCTAACCCTCCTTGCAGGGCGCCGTGTCAGGTTCTCTTTCTGCTTTGAGCACATTTATTTTCATGTGGGGACCAATAAGATGCGCCAATGTCCCCATTGTGTTTTAACTGTGGAATGAACGGTACAACGGAGATCGTGTGTCCGTAGGCAACGCTGTAGAACTGCAAGTAGTGGCCCACAGGGATGTCAAAGAACTATGCTGCCTCATGGGGTTTCATGTAGTCAAGAGGATATATCCTAAATACGGACTAGAGTCAAGACTCTCTGCTTGGGCATTCTCCACCTCACAGCCTACGTATGCATGGGTTCCTGGTTCAATCTTGAATTTCTGGGGAATGCTAGTCTGTCAATCCTGCCAAGGCTGGGCACTGGTCGTATTCGTCTAGGTAGTAATGAAGGATGGTACAGAGTACAAGCGAGGGGTAAATGAGAAAGTGTTGCATAATCACAGGAAATATAATATAGAAATACATACTCTGTACGCATGTAGTAATTCTAGTCCAAGGTGGCTTGGCTAAGGTTCCAAGAGCCTCCAAGCTGACATGCCAACTCATTGGATATAGGGATTTGCGGACACGTAGACATGTCAAAGCAATTAGGATAATCTAGACGGAATCTTTATAATGATGTGATTTGATATCCATGGATTGGAAATCGAGTAATCATCTAGAGCTGAGATCTCTTCTAAGCTTTTGGAAGCTTAAAGATCGTATCAGTAATCAATTAATAAGGTAATCCAAGTAAAAGGAAATACAAACTGATTACTACCAAGGTAGTAATATGGAATTAGGAATTAAGGAAAAAAAGAATAAAGACGGAACTGTTGCGACCGACAGTCCGATCGGTTTTTATCCTCCGACGCGGACCACGGCACGGCGGATTGGTCATCCGAGTGCCGCTTTTAAGTGACTCACTACCTTTTTTTTTTTACTATGAAATCTACATTGGATAGTATTGAATAGTAGTAGATCTGTATATATAGCTAAGTAGTTAAGTATCTAAGTATCTAAGTATCTATATGTGTAACGTAGCGGTGAAGATCTAAAGATGAGAACCTTAGAAGCGAACAGTGCATAACTCGGGCTCGGCGTATACAACATAATCCCAGGCTTTTTTTTTTCTTTATTTCCGGTGGATCTGTATCCGTAAAGTCCGTTTCGGGTCGAAAAAAAAGAAATAAAAAATAAACTTATTAAATATAACCCTCTCTTCCTACCATTTCTGATATCTCATCTACACTTTTCCAATCTTACTATCTGGGATAATTCGATCTAGTACATTTAATATACTTGGATGTATATCAAACTTGTTCTCTTATCACACCGCCCCGGGACGATCCACTGTGACTGGGTGACGCCTAATTGAGTCACGAAAAAAAAAAAAAGAGTCATACCCAATAATATTCGAATCTTCAAAAAGGCCCTTTTCGCCCACCATGGACTCTTCTTCCATTACCTCCCCCAAATCCTCCCCCTACTTCGATTCTCTCACCCGTCGCCGCCAACAAAAGAAAATGAGCATCACGCAAACATACTACCTCGCCCACACCGCCCGGAAGAAGCTCACTCGTGAAGCTTCCCGGGCAGATCACGATCTGCGCCTGCTCGTTGGCCACGCAAATCTTCTCGATTCGCTGATGTATGACCTCGCCGATGCCGAGCGTGAACAAGAACGCTGGTTCAACCAGACCGTCAACGGAGCCACCAAGACTTCAGCTGCTTCTTCTCGCCAACACATCCAATGGGCTTCAACGGTTGTCGAAGAGCCCGAAGACGACTGGGACCCGGAGGATGCATCCGATCTGGACTCCGAACTCAGCGATAGCGATAGCGACGACTACGATGAGACTGAATTCGTCATTAACACACCTCCCACCCGCCGCCGCGCCCCATCACCCGCAGCGCACTTCCACGATGATCTACTATCGGAAGACGATGAAGGCGACGACACAGATTCCGACTTTGAATACGACGATGCAGACGAGCTGAGCTTGACTCGCTCGCCATCGCGACAATCACCACCTGAACTCCTTGCCGATTCGGACGGGGAGTCGGAGGACGAGGCGACACCGCCCTCCCCGCCCCAGCCTACGCTGGAGGCATTTCATGAGAAGCCTGCTACAACGGCTATTGCTTTGGCGGGCTCTGATCAACCCCATCTCTTTGATCAAGGGTATTTTGGTACACAAGAGCAGACCATCATCGAAGCTTATTGATTAAGCTACATATCCCACTTTACGACTCCGACTATTACTTCTCTACTCTTACCTCTGCCTTGTGTACCATCATTCAGCGATACATCCGTGATACCCTGATGCTTTTTTTATGACGTTTCTGGAGCGACCGTTTATTTACCCATCTCTCATCTTCTATTTTCTGGCGTTTTTTGGTCGCATTTGGGAATATCCATTTTGGACATTTCATCATGTCATATGGGCATTTATTACATATTCCTCTCATCTCTGGCTATCACAGATAGCGGCCCAACATTCAGCTCTCCCTTTAAAGGTCGAGACTGTCCATTGGAGCGTTGAAACACGGGGGAAGACATTGTGATTCAAACCGATATATACTTCCCCTAAAGAAAAAAAAAGACACAATCCAATCAAAAAAAAATTCTAAATTCTCTCAATATTTTTCCAACGTAGTATGTACATACTAGTACAGTCAATAGTAACCTCAAAAATCGGCAGAATAAAATAGCCAACGGCGCATGTGACCCGTCGATCCGCGCCCTGAGCGTCCGTTCCCAGCCAAATGGAAGTGCAGCTCGCCAGCACGCCATGATCTTCACCGCCGGATAAGATAGATAGATCAGAGCCAAGGGTAGATAGTGCGAGATCACCGCGGCTAGGTCGGCATAGGACGCCGCTATGGATAGTCAGCTGAAGGGTTTTACTAGTTTCATTCTTTACGTGTTCGGACATTCCGCGGAGTGGGTTATGGATATGGTTATGGAAGGGGGGGGGGGGGGTGGTTGGGAAGGGTTTTTCTCTTCCTTCGCTTCTTTTTGCTTCGAGTGGATTGCCTTGGCTTTGTTAGAGGTAAGGTAGGGCGGGATACAGATTGGGCTAGTGGGTGAAAATCTTGAGGCTGGGGAGGGGGGCGTTGGAGGTTTTGGGTATTTGTTGCGATGTTGGGCGATTTGAAGTGGATGTGTTATTGGCTCGGCTTTCGTTTATTGGCAATGAATATTGGCATGATTATACGGAGTACGAAATAAGTAATACATATTCTAATGTTCTAATGTTCCCCTATCTGGTCATTTCTTCCCGCTTTCTAGTTTACCCGTAACTCCAGAGATCCTTCAGGGCTGAAATATGAAGTTAGTCATATTTTATATGCATAAGTATCATAAACTACGTGGGTCCTGTGGCTTACGGAGTTCTCCGTACGTTTCTGATTTTTGAGATGTCGAGATATGCTAATTTGTGCTTCGTTTATGTATCACGTACTTTGTGTTATCACTTCGAATTGATTCTACACAATATACTCCGTACTCCGTACTCCGTTGGCTTGATATACTAGATTGAACTTCTTCCTCTTGTCCTCAAACGAACCCTGTTCTGCATCGGGACAGAATTATATTGATACTATTGTACTCCGTAGTTCGGACTCTTATTGAATATTGTATTGGTGTTATAAGTGTATCTAGATCATTAGTAGCAGCTACGCTGCTTAATGTCAAGTCTCGCGTACTTTTCCATTTCTTGCTTCATAATGAGATATATATACTCCGTACTTACTACTGACAAGATAGGGTTCTTTCATTTTTGACATTCCAATCTAAATCTAGTACCCAAATTAAAAATTTATATATAGACCATTTATACTATATATGTATTTTAATAGCTTCTTCCTCATGTGAACGAGCTAACACAAATGAGGCTCAATTATATAGAGTTGCGTCAATCACTGGACGGTGCCCAGGTGGTGCCCCTGATGACATTACATAATCATAGTTAAGCTCCCGATCCGCTATCGATAAGATCACCGCTTTGGCCAACCGACCCCTCGCTGCATCCGTCACTCCCCAGCTCGAACAAGATGACGCGTGACCATCAATCTTCCTAGTTTTTATTGCAAGAACCCTCTAAAAACATGATACCAAAACCACGATTGGTCCAGTGGAACCCTCAACAACCCCGTGGCCGCTGATACGTGGACACTCGTTATTTTACGCCAAAACACGGCCCAGGAGACCTATCATAGCCCCTGTTCATTTGCTTCATCGCCGAATATCAACTTCCTAATGTCTGCACCGGCTTCTCCTAGACGCTCGTCTGAGTCTGCAGCCAGACCCGAATTCAAAGATCATACGATCCCACCTGTGGGGTCCGGCCACACCCGAAGCCTTTCCGGCGAGGTTAAGCCCAGAAGCCATCGGAGATCGATTCAATTTAGCGTCGACTCCGCAGAAGCTCAGTTGCCCACTCGTTCGTCGAGCTTCAAGGAAAAGCGCCTGTCATATGGAGACACCCCGACGAGGGAATTGGAAGAAAGGGAACGGGAACGGGAAAATAAAGCTGCCCAGTTAAACCGAGGACCGTCTCCGCCACCGCCGAAGTACGTTCTCCCCCCCCAAAAGGCTGTGTGTGAAATGGAGTATACTGATATATAGTAGAACCTATGAGCGAGGCGTCTCTTTCGACACTTTCGACAACTTCGATGCTACTGATTTCTCCCTCACATTAAACTACAAACACAAAGGCTACCAGAGCACACGTCGCAGCAGGACCTTCTTGTGCGGAACCGATCAGAACGACTACTCCGAATTCGCCCTTGAATGGCTCATTGACGAGCTGGTGGACGACGGGGATGAGATCGTCTGTCTTCGAGCCGTAGAGAAAGATTCGCGTATTGCTAGCGATGCCGCAATCGAAGAGCGAAAGTACCGCGAGGAGGCCGAAAAGCTATTTGAGCAGGTGATCCAGAAGAACAGCCAAGATGAGAAAGCTATCAGCTTGGTCCTGGAACTTGCCGTGGGCAAGGTTGAGAGCATCATCCAACGCATGGTGAGCTTCCCAGGAACCCCATTTCTACCCACCAACCTAACACCCACTAGATCCGCATATACGAGCCTGCAATGCTTGTAGTCGGTACACGAGGACGCAACCTGAAAGGAGTGCACAGTCTGCTCCCAGGCTCCGTCTCCAAATACTGTCTTCAGCAATCACCCATCCCAGTTATAGTCGTTCGACCGTCACCAAAGCGCGAGAAGAAAAAGAAAAAGCGCCGCGCAGACCCAACACGCCGTAGCTACAACCATATCCTGGAAATGAGCGAGCGGCGCGGCAGTCAGATATTCGGCGCCAGCCCCAGCACCGATAGCAGCACCTCGAAGCTGCCAGACGAGGAGGCTGCAGTGGCAGAGGCACTCGGACTGCCCGCAACATACTCGAACGCAGCCTCGCGCAGTTCTTTGTCGGTCTCGGACCGCAGTAGCATCAGCCACGATGATTCAGACACCACCTACCGCAACTCACTGGATGCAATGGTTATGTCGAGTCCGGGGATCGGAAGTCCGGCAGATAGCTCCCAGGAGAGCGTCATTATTGGCGGTGGTGCTCAGCCGTCTCCTTTGGTGGGCAGGACTGCGCACTCGCCTGCTCCTTCTGATCGGCTCGATTCTCCTGTGTCGGACTCCTCTACTGCGGTTGAGAGGCCATATGAGTTGAAAGAGTCTTTTGAATCAACCAGGAATCCCGTGGCTATTCCGATGATTGAAGTGTCGGATAACAATGATAAAAACGACAACATCAAGGAATATGCATCTTGAATGCATGGCTTGCCCTCTTTGTATCGAACAGCATAAACGTCAGATATCTCGTTGCTCTGCGACGGGACTGACAGTTATACCCCCAGCTCAATACCCTCATCGCTTATTGTCTTCAGATGCGTTCTGACCTGGTTCAACATTTCATATGTTTTGGCCATGTGTATTTCTCTCCTCTCTTGTGCCTACAGTGAGAACTCACTGAATGAATGCTATGCATATTCACGGATGTTTAGATATTGGTTGCTTGATCTCCCGTAGATGTGTAGGTCTCCTGTAACTATTTGTTTAGTAGCAGCATACCATATACCAGGTCTAGCTCTACCTAGGGGTACATACTGGTCCATGTTATGTTATTGGCTGAGATTTCCACAAGTCGATAGTCATGTAAAGTACATTCAAACGGATCTGATACAATACAAGAAGATCCCATTCATAAAGGAAAAGATTAGACGTAGCCAGAAGGCGAAGCATTCATTCAATAACATTAAAGCCGAGTGGTGCTCCGGGTATTGAGAAAAGGACAAGGACGAGGACATGCGAAGAGCAAGAGCAAGGACAAGAGCAAGACGATATGCAAAGCACAAGGAAGAAAGCGAAAAAGAACAAGACAAACATCAACACCTTCATCACTCATAATCATCTCTTCATATTGTTAGTTTCCACTTCCATCCACAGTAACAAACCCTCCTTACTAAATTTGCATATGAAAGACAGGAATATGAAATAGAAAAGCGATTCAGCAAGTCCAATTGCAAGCAAAGTCCTACTCTCAAACATAGCTCTCCACATCCATCTCTTAAGTAACTGAAAGGAGAAGGGGGTGGAAAAAGAAGAAAGAAGAAACAAGAAACAATAAGAATTGAAAAGATGTCAAGATTGTACACTATGAAGAAGGTCTCTTTTTCGAAAGAAGTTCAAAAAAGTAAAGACCAGCGTTGATAAAATCGTGAAAAAAGAGTCCTAGGGGAAGAAACCGACCAGTCGGGACAATGCAAAGGACTGTCGATTAAAAACAAAGGCGCAGCGCTTTCCTCACGGGAAAACAAGATGGAAATGACGAAAATGAAGAAATCTTTTTGTGAACCAAGAAAATGGAAAACGTTGATCATTAACTCCTAAGGACTTTCTATGCTGTGAATTCGCCATCCTTAACAGACGGGGTTTTTGAGGGACGACGTTCCGTCGCCGCGGGCTGAGACTTGGTGAGCACCGGGGAAGTAGGGTTTGACGGTGGCGAGGTAGCCATGTTATCCCGATCTTCAAGGGCAGCGAGCGCGCTGGGGAGGTATTAGCATGGGGGATTCCGTAGGGGGGGAACGTTTGGGAAATGCGTACCTGAAAGCATTCATGGAAGAGTTGTCTTCCTTCTTGCTGCCGGTAGGAGTGCCGGTGCGGCTGCTGGCGGCGCTATCGTCGCTACCACGGACCAGGTTACCGCCGGGACCGAGGTTCTTACGGCCGCTGTTAGTGCGTGAGCCGAGAAGGCTGGACGGACCGAATGACATGGGCTGGTTGGTGTTGCGAGTCGCACGTAGGCGGCGGAGATCGTCACTGCCAACCTTGCTAGAGGCGTAGTCGGGGGGAGGAGCTTGGTTGTATCCGAAGCCGCGGGCGTCACCGCGACCCATGGGGATGCGGCCACCGCCTCCGCGGTTGCTGGACTGGCGCTGGCGCTCAGCCTCAGCTGCTTGCTGTGCACGGGCAGCCTGTTTCAAAGAGTTAGAGATCAGACAGAATGGATCATGGCAATGGAGGTTAACTTACAGCCTCGCGAATCTCAACAATGGTCTGAGGGCCCTTATCGGAATCCTTGGAGTTCCAGTGTGCGGCACGCAGATCAACAATATCCTGGAAATCATGTTAGTTTTTTTCTTTCACCTGAAGGCGAAGAGCTAGAGAGAAACTTACTAGAAGCATGAAACGAAGACGGCTGGGCAGGTTGGGTGTCTCAATCATCAGGTGGATGCGAGCGAAGTAAGCATCCATCATGGCAGGTCCCTTTTCGGAGGCATCGAGGCTGCCACCGATAGTGCGCAGCAGACTGGTCAAACTCTCGACCTCGGCTTCATCGGGAATACCCTCGTAGTCAACAAGCTTCTTAACACACTCGTGCATGATACGCTCTGTAAGCATGTTAAGCTTGTAAAGTTCACCAATGAACTTGACGAGACCAAGACCGCGACGCTTAGCGGCGGCAGCGATATAGTATTCGTCAGACAGCATTTGAACCTGTGATCGATTATTAGTACAGGGGAGAAACAATGGGTTGGATGTAGATTGACATACCTCTTCAGTAGTGCCCTCGGGCTTCTCAGGCAGGTTAGTCTTCCAGCCACGCTCGAATTCTTCTTGGCAACGGTTAAGCAGGTACTTGCGGAAGAGACTTCCACCAGCAACAACGGTGCCATTTCGGTCACGAATGTTTTCATCCTTGATTTCTGGGCTCATACTCTCTAGCATGCTCTTACAGAACTTGGCGTACATAGGGGCCCAGTGAGCCTCATCGGTAGCCTTCTCGAAGGTGAGTTGGATGACTTGGCGCAGGGTACGACCATCGGACTCATCCTTGGACTGGGAGACAATATCGAGGATCTGACCAGAGATACGGTCGAACTTCTCCGGGGTCATCTTGTTGAGCGCAGCCTTGACCTTGCGCTGAACGACATCCGGTGCCAGGTAGCCGTCACCACCAGGGGCGGGACCAGCACCAGCAGCTTGGCCAACACTGCGAGGCTTCCAGCCAGTTGCACTGGTTTGGATTGCCTTCAAATCCATGCCAGCAGTAAGAGGCATCGACTTGTCCTGCGCGCCGGTGTCCTGTCGGCCACCGTGCTTCTTGTTCTGTCGGCTGTCGGTGCGGGGACCCTTGCTCGAGTTACCACGAGGAGGAACACCGGCAGAGTTCTGGCGAATATTTCCAATAGGACCCATGCCACCAGGGCCTTGCCCGAATCTAAAGCCGGACGCATTGCGGCTGCCCATCTGCCCGCTACCCATAGGGGGCAGCTGACCAGGTCGACCACCAGGTGTGTTGATAAAGCTGCCCATGGAGTTTCCACCGAAGGCAGGAGGACCCATGGCGCTGTTGCGAGAGCCAGCACGGCTACCCATGCTAGGAGTACGGGCAGACTGGGGGCGGGAAGAGTCTGTGGCATCGCCAACTGTGTCCCGCAGACGAGCGTCCCAGTCCACGGAAATCTTGTCCTTGAATGCGGCCTGGAATTGCAGCAGGAAGTTCCGGTCGTAGTGGAACTTGCGGCCTTCGGGCGCAGCATCATTCATAGTGGAGTCGGGAGGGGTGACGGTGGATGGGTAAGTAACCTTGCTGAGGTCTTCCAAGAACTTGGCTTTCTGCAAAGACTTCATGCCTGCAGTTGCTTGCTGGGGCTCAGTGGGCTTGGGGGTATCAATCTTGAGGCCAGCGGGCTTCTTGGGGATAGCACTGGCAGGCTTGGCTGGAGGACCCATGTCAGACGAAACAGGGGTGGCAGCACCGCTGTCGCCAGGTGTGGAAGACTCAGTGGCAGTATATCCACCCTTCTTGAGTGAGGCGAACGCATCCTTGCTGTCGTCTTGGACGGTTGCTTCGCCGCCTCCGGCACGAGCGTTCTCGCGGGCAATCTCGCGGGCCTCAGCCTCGGCCTCGGCCTTCTTCATATTGGCCTCGTAGTTCTCAAGCTCCTCGCGCTCCTTGCGTTCAGCTTCCTCCTTCTTGGCTTGCTTTGCGCGGTAGTAGTCTTCCTCGGCGGCGCGCTCCTTGGCTTCAATCTCGGCCATTTCACGCTCGATGGCATCATAGTCGGGCTCATCGTCATCAACGGGAGCGGGGGCGGGAGTGGGAGCGGGGGCTGGAGCAGCAGCCTTCTTAGGCTCTTCGGCAGGGGCGGCTTCCTTCGATTCTTCAACAGCCTCAGTCTTCTTGGGCTCCTCAACAGGTGCGGCCTTATCCTTGATGCTGAGATCTTCAATGGCAGCCCGGACAGACTCAGTCTCATCCTTCTTGGCATCGGTCGACGCGGCTTCAGCGGCCTTGCGAGAGGCCTCATCGGCCAGACGCTGCTTCTGAGCAGCCTCGTCCTGTTGGATCTTCAGGCGAACGGCGTCCTTCAGCTCTTGCTTCTTCTCCTCGTCGGTCTTCGTGGCATTCGGCTTGCTCTCAGTACGAGTGTGCTCAGACGCACTGGCAGTGCGAGGAGGGGGAGTGGATGTGGGAGGAGGAGTAAACTTCACGGGTGAAGGGGTGGCACGAGCAGGGGATGCGGGGTTCTTTTCGAAGGTCTTGACTGAGCCGCTGTTAGGGTCTTTGATGATGATCGGGCTCTTCTTTGCGGACGGGATGATGAAGTGCGGCTTGGGAGCGGGGCTGTTAGATGCGCGGCTGCCAGTGTGGGTGTGGCTTGCGACAGCAGGACCAGTAGGTGCCGGTCCTTGGCCGAGGCTCGAACCTGGACGATCAGTAGATACCTGCGAGGGAGTACGTGAAAGTGGCGTTGCCTGAGGCATAGGGTTAGGGAATTGCTGTCCCATGTACTGAGGGTTGTAGGGCATGCCAGCAGCGCGAGGTTGGGGCGACGGCGGTCCCATGTAGTAACCACCATTGGGATTGTAATAGCCAGCGTAGTTGGGATCGTAAGCGTTGGGGAAAGACTGTTGAAATTTAACCATTGTTAGAATCTGTTCGAACTGGCCACTTTCAGGCGCAAGATCCACGGGACACTCGGGAGAGTATGTAGGATTGTCTCTGCGCCTCCAAGAGCTGTTAAGGTTCCTTTGGGGACGACGCCAGGGATCCTGGGAAAAACGAGAAGGGGGGGATCTCACAGCTTGAGGGCCCATATGTTGACCGTAACCGTAAGGTTGCTGAGGCATCTGGGGGTGTGCCATCGGAACCTGGTTCATCTGAGGAGTAGTAGGGTTAACGTTGGCCAGGGCAGGGCTGCGGTTGGCTTGGTGAGGCGAGTTCGGGTAGGGAGCCAAAGGACGGCCCTGGTTCGAGCCGTGAAATTGGGGGCCCATGTTGTGACCGCCTCGGGGCTGATTGGGAGTCTGTCGGAAACCGGGGTTAGGAGAGTAGGGCATCTGCTGTCCCTGATAGCCGGGCTGGGAGTATCCGCGACCGCGGCCACCCTGGTAACCTGAGCGTCCGGGACCATTGCCCATGTGGTTGCTCATATCGCTGTGGGTGGATTGGGAAGATTCGCGACGCAAGTGCTGAGGACCGTGTGCCTGTGAAATCGAATGCATTGTGAGCAAAAGCAAGTTTCAAAAATAATGAGGGCTTGGAAAAAAATAAAATAAAAAAATCGCACACAGACGTGCCACGCTCCATACAAATTTGCGCACCAAGACTACTCAAAAGGGAAGGATTTGAAACACTGACATCAACAGATTCTCCGAAGCTACCGAAGTTCGGCACATTTCCTTGCGCCTGGTAAGTCGATGGAGGTGGGCGTCCGCCGCTGGATGCAGGCTGAGGAATAGGCGAAGGAGAGGTCTGAGGAGACGTCACACGGGGGTTTGTCGAAGGGGCACCAAGTCCAGCCTGGGCCTGGTTGGAGGCAGGCACAGCAGGAGCACCCATGTTGGGAGAACTCTGCTGGAATCCGAACTGAAGACTGTTGGGCCGACTGGCCGGGCCACCGCCGTTGGGCATGTAGCCGGAGGTACCGCTCGAAGTGATCGTTACAGATGGCTTGCGAGAGTGATCGCCGGAGGGAGCAGCCGAAGCAGTGGGTGCTCCATTGACAATGGTCACGCCGGAGGAGGCTGACTGTTGAGATTGATTTTGCATGGGTTTGCCGTTCACAGATACGGAGCTCGACTGCCCATGTTGCGCTGAACCGCCCACGGTGACGGGTGCGGCGGTGGAGTCCGTCGCGGACTTCTTAGTTGCGTTGGCGTAAGATCTGGCTGGCGCCTGGGTGGCAGCCAGGGGGGTAGAGGATGCGGGCTGGGTCGAAGCGGCGGGAGTAGCGGTGCTTTGTCCTTGATTGCCCGACTGAGGAGGGTTCGAGCTCATTAGACAGGTTGTACGTCTAAACGCGCGAATATGGCGAGGGAGGAAGGTTCGTGAAAAAAGACGTAGGTGATGTCAGTACGCGGAGGCGTAACAAGGCCACATCCAAACCTAGCTGCGGTAGGTTGTCAAAGGGATGAAACGATGAAAAAAAAAGGGAAAACGAGTTTCCGAATTACACAGAAGACCAGGTACGCAGCAAGAGCAGCGTTTTGGTCGACAGTGTTAGTTTTAAAAGGGTTGATTCAAAGGGTAAAAGGGTGGTGGGAGGGAAAAAATTCAAGGAAAAAAAATATTCGGGTTTGTGGAAAACGAAAGGGCAGAACGAGAGTGTTGCGTTTCGGATCGACCAACGTACCTTTGAATGTATTTTATGGGATGGATTCTCTTGAGAATCTCTGGCAAATATGAAAATAATGAAATTTTTGAAAGAGAAGTGAGAGTAAAATAGACAAGATCGAAAGTAACTATGTCTATAATCTACAGTGTCCGCCACCCACATGTTACAAAGAAATCTACAAGAGTACGGAATACATAGGATAGTGCTGAATAGTGGGTTATCAGCTACATTAATGTACATAAAATGAGTTCTAATGTTAAATATATATGTGACTCTATTCATACTATCACTCTTGAGTCTTCTTTATTCATCTGGAACCTGATAGACCCTTAGATGCCCACCAAATGCCCCATTTCCCCGTTTGCCACAATGGTGACCCCATACTATACCGGCTACATCTACCCATCTATACAAGATACTTGTAAGGTACACTGTATATGTTATATTGCGATATAACCCGTGTTACTTTGTCAATGCACTATTGACTCAATAACAATTCAATAATAACCATCGAGGCATGGGGATATACATATAACTTCCCTATCTCCCCGTCCTTGCAGTGCATCTGCGTGAACTCTTTCATGCAAGGCTATTCCTCCGACCGGAGGGATTCGGGTTGACACCCTCGATTGTTCTTGTGTTTGAGCTAGCATTCAATTCAACTTTGGTTTAACAGTTATTTAGCAAGGCTAAACCTCCATGGATAGGCTCACTCCCATTCCCTCTCACCCAGCAAGAACAAAATCTATTTTGGTTTTCTTGTTCTACTCTACTCCCCCTGTTAAAAGCGGAACATCTCCGCGTATTCAAGATCGATCGTACCCAGTTGCGCGCGACCGAGCAATCTCATCGACAGCCCGCGCCGCAAAGTCAGTACCAGACGAGCCAGAAGAATCTTGCTCGTTGTTGAACCAACCAGATGCCCATCCACCACTAGTCTTTCGTTCCGGGCGACGTTTTACGTCCTCATCATCAACCACCTCGAAGGAGTTTTCACTGCGATTCTTGCGTAGGGGCACACCGTAGGCAAGATCATTAGCCTCGAGCCCACCCTGAGTGTGGCTCTGTTCCTCTTCTGCTAGGGTTGACCGGAGGTGATCTAGCAGCTCTCGCTGCGAGGAAATGAAGTGAGCCTTCTCGGCTCCAGACATAGACTGCATCTGGCGTTGGAGGAGATTGCCACTGGCTGAAAGCTCCTTGTCCCGCACTTCTCGAGACTTTCCAGATGCAACTGAGCCCACGGCAGCACTGAGCACAGAATACCAATCATTTGCGTTGGCAGGCGTCCCGGATGCTCCACCAGCAACGGGGATGTTGAAGCGCGATAGCAGGGACTGCGCGTAGGAGGCGGCACTTGGCTGAGGAGGCGTGGCGGGGCGCTGCGGGGGTAGACCCAAGACTTTCTCTCGGATGAAATCGATGGCTTGGTAGAAGTATTGAAGACCCAGTGCCTTGGCCCGCTCATGAGTTTGGCCGATCATCTCTTCGATCCCCCGCTCATGGTGTGTCAAGAACGGATCCACATAGTCTTGGTACAATAAGCGAGCCCCTTGCGTCTGGGGGAGGACGAGATAAGCCATGAAACCGAGGCGTATCCAGCTGTAGAATGGGAACCTGGAGAATAATTCATGATTAGCTTGTGATCCTGTTAAGTGGAGCAGGGTTAAACTATACCATCCTATGATAAAAACTGTCCAGGATTCAATCAGTAGAATGATTGAAAGCACCACCCAGTACATCAGCCATGGTGCGAGTTGTGAGGGGTCAGAGGAACGGAGAGCTTTGTAGGAAGCGAAAACGGGGAAGAAGATCGTGATGACCGAGCTATAGGATAGATCTGGGTTAGCTTGCGGCTCCATTCAGAGGTATATTATTTGAACTTACGAGATCAAATCCGCAAAGATTCCAAACATGATGAGGCCTGGGTGAATTGCAGATGTGAAAAAAGTAACTGCCTGGGGATTTTTAGTCTTCAGTCAGCCCCGCTGGTCTGAGACGAACACCCAAGCTGGACAAAAAAAGGAGTGAACAAGGCAACAAAGATAGTTCAGGGGTACATGATTGAATGCAGAAATAAAAATAGTAACTGTAGAAATAGTAGACATCGATTCACATCATGATAACTCCATATTAAGAGACGTGCATTCTCCCAAGAATGAACGGATGTGTCTTGACGTCACGCGAGACACTGGACTTTTGCTTTGCATTGTTAATGATTCAGTCATTCATGTGTGTTTAAGACAATCTATGTCTTGAGATCTTTTTGAAGGTCTTTTTTGAAGACTCATATGTTCAAAGTTGCTTATCTTGACTTTGGTACAAGAGGTACGAGGGACAAGGTACACGTCGCTAAGGAAGTGGCCCAATCACCCGAGATGCCTTAACTAGTTCCTTTCTGCGTATTATCGCCCGTTCCGATTCCTCCTCTAAGACTTCCTCTTTCCCTAGAGCCCTTGCGTCTACCCCATCCTATATACACCATTGTTAAGTTTGTTAATCCTGCATTGTTATCTCCCCACTCGTTCAACTACGGGGACCTCGGAACACAAAACATGTGTATCGCATTGATCTCAACTGCCCACCCGCAATACTCGTTGATCATAATCAACAACAGAGATGTAAATCCCACTCTTTGATTTGAGGAAAATCATAGTCTAATATATCTAGGAATTTCTCCATCGTCCAACTTCATCGCCAGACTGGTGGCCGGAGCCATCCTCACACGTCCTTGGCTCACGAGACCTAGCCCGATCTACACATGGCACTTGGATGGGGGTCACCAAGCATGGCAAGGTGGCAGTTCTTACCAACTACCGCGAGGACTCGACCAGTGCTGCCATCGGAGTCTACAGCCGGGGTGTCATCGTCAACAGTTGGTTGATCGGGTCCACCGACAAGTCAGAGGATACCACGGAATTTGTGCAAGGCATTGTCGCCAGCCCAGAAGCAAAGCAGGTGGGAGGATTCAGTCTTGTGTGTGGACATATCAATGAGCCCTTAGCCATCGTCTCCAACCGTTCCGCGGATATGGATCAGATCACCTGGGTGGCAACAGAGAAGAATCAGACGCGTGGGCTTAGCAACACAAGTTTTGATGACAGAAGCTGGCCAAAGATCATTGATGGGGAGCAGTTGATGGAGGCTGCTATTGACGAGCACGTGCAAAGCGGAGATGGGGAGGACGAAGATGCATTGATTGGCCGGCTGCTGCAGGTTCTCAATACCGATACCCTACCACGACTGTCAGAAGAGAAGGCCACAATTGAGACGTATATCCATCATCTGCGCAAGAGCATCTTCATTCCTCTCATCGGCGCTGCAAATGATCGTGATCAAGCTGCAGAGAGAAGCGCTGCAGCTCGGGTTGAGGATGAGACCTACAGCACAACAAATGGACCCCCTGACCAGAGTTATACCTGTGGATCATATGGAACACAGAAACAAACCATTCTCTTGGCACGACCGGATGGACGGGTTCGATATTTTGAAAGAACGCTGTATGACAATGATGCGAAGGCTGTACCTGTTGGGCAAGGCGATCATTCATTTGAATTCAACATCACAGAATAGCTTCTTATAAGCTTAGTCGATACGCGTAGACCCTATACCTGATTAATGAATGCATACTGCGTACTGTTTAAGAACTTCACACTCAAACCCACCACTTCACGTGATAAGAAAGCCACCCGAACTGCCAATCACAATCTGAGACATTTAGTGACGAAACAAGTAGGCGGTACTTTTCTGCCAAAATATGCGGTTATATTGAACTTTAAGGGTGTCCTTTCGCCCTTCGGGGCATATGGTCAAATGAAAATATACAGAGAAGATTAGCATGGCCCCTGCACTAAGGATGACACGCTCAATCAAAGAGAAGCTACCTATTTTTTTTTTCCTTCGAGATCATTTATTAGACATAGAGAGTGAGCGTTTATACTACTGTACGGCAGATCTTTTTTGCCTATTACGGTTACGTGAAAGTCACGTGCCGTGTACCTACAAGCCGGGGTTCGAATCCCATGTGACGCGAACGCAGTTTCGAATTCCAAATCGGGCGAGTGCACCTCTCGATAGCTTCAAATTCTATACCTTCTCGTTATGTATTAGGGGCAAAAAAAGGATGGTTAAATGGAGGTCGGAATTTTACATAGTATTGTTCCTTCGGGAACCTGTTGGAGACTGAGTTACGGTTTGTACCATCCCTAAACTTCCACTATTTCAAAAAATAGGCGCTGACTTTTTTTTGCCGTTTTTTTCATGTTTTGGCGGGCCGAATTGGCCGAGATACGGTGCCACGAAAAGAGGCAATAGAATCCACTCTCTATCTGGAATTGCATCGGAGTACGAAACTCGCTGTCGACGAATTGATTTATATAGATCTACTGAGGTCTGCCCATGTTTCCTCAGATCGGTTACCGTCCTCATATTCTGCCGGTACTGCTGCTCATAAAATGGCATGTACATAGTTAACTAAATTTGATTGAATTACTAACCTACTTAGGAGTAATTTGGAGTTTTGAGTCTACCTTGTTGGAATGGTATTTGCTCTTATTAAAATTTAGGATGTGTTTCAATATTCTGGTTAAAAAGTATTAAAAGATATACTACCGAACGGAGTATACCAATCTTGGAAGACGGTAGACGGGCGGTGTCCAATTTTTGTCAATATCTGTTCATTCTATGCCATTCACCACTCTCCTTAATGTGCTCTGTTTTCTAATAGGGGTGACCGCTCCAAGGTCCCAATATAAAAACATATGAATTCCAGTCCTCCGGGTTATAAGTTATGTCCGAGACTAATTAGGGACGAAGATGTGGATAATGGCTTCAATATTGGCTCAATATTATACTAACCTGCCTTACAGGTTTGCGAAGGAGTTTCCGAGTTTGTTTTGGCAAATTATGCCGGGGATCTAACGGTTGTCAACCTAAACGCCACATGATGTTTCATCTTGAGCATCTTTCATTTTCTCTGGTTTTCTTTGGCACTTCATTTTCGGCCGCTACACCCAAGACGGGTTAGTTGATCCCGCAAGTGTATCAGAACAATTTCCTTTAAATTGCCTGTCTTTAAGGGCGAGACTCGTCTAAACTAGCCAAATGGAAGCTGACCTGAATTTTACGCCCTTTAATGATCTCATCTCCACAAATCATGAGACTATGGAGCCAAGCGTTAACTGCCAATCTCCCATAGATTGAGTTGATTATGGATATCATTGGACTATACACATTTTGAGCCATTCTTGCTCACTCGCGCTTGAACCAGTGGCTCTCGAGCAATTTGTTATTTATCCGGTCACCTCGGTTGTGGAGAGACCCGCCGTCTAGAAGGGACATCTGCGGCCCTCAGGGTTAGTGTTTCCCGGTATCCCGGTCATAATTGAGCCGAATGATCTTCCGAGTGGCTCTACGACAGGTCTTGGATGATGAATCCACTCTGTTTAGGATTGCCTGTTGGTCCACACCAAGCGCCATTCGACGCCTCCGTGCAGGAGAGAATATGGCTATATAACAGACGGCCTCCGCAGTTTTCTCGCTGCGTCCAGTACATTCATTCATTCATTCATTCTCTCTCATTCAGGCTTCAAGACTGGTCTCTTGATTTCCCTTCTTTTCTATTCCCTCACATTCTTTATCGTCAAACTCGACACTCACTCTCTTTACATTTCACTATGAAGTTCACCAACATTGTTCTGGCTGCTAGCGCCGCAACTGTGGCCTGCGCCTACCCCCGAGGACGGGACGTTATTCCCACTAAGCAGACCGCTGATATCAAGAAGCGTGGGAATGGATTCACTTGGGTCGGTGTGAGCGAGTCTGGTGCCGAATTCGGCCCAGGCAACGTTCCCGGTACTCTGGAGAAGGACTACGTCTGGCCCAAGACCTCCCAGATTCAGATCCTGAGAGATGCCGGCATGAACATCTTCCGTGTTCCCTTCTTGATGGAGCGCCTGGTGCCCTCCAGCATGACCGGATCCCCGGATGCGACTTACCTGGCCGCCCTTAAGTCGGTACGTGACATGTTTATGGCTATTAATTCTCCTACAGGATCTAACAGTTCCGTTTCGTAGACTGTCAAGTTCATTACCGACAGCGGTGCCTATGCCGTCCTTGATCCCCACAACTACGGAAGATAGTAAGTGCACTCAAACTTGAATTGGGCCACCGTTATTTGTATGATATTAACATTCTATCTATAGCAATGGCAACATCATCACCTCCACCTCCGACTTCAAGGCCTTCTGGAAGACCGTTGCTACCCAGTTCGCCTCCAACGAGAAGGTCGTCTTCGATACTAGTAAGCTACTACTCCACAGTTAAGTTCACACCATGAAACCATCCACTAATACCATCTTCCTAGACAACGAGTACCACGATCTTGACCAGACCCTCGTCCTGAACCTGAACCAGGCCGCTATTGACGCTATCCGTGCCGCTGGTGCCACCAGCCAGTACATCTTTGTTGAGGGCAACTCCTGGAGCGGCGCCCACTCCTGGACCGCTAACAACGACAACCTGAAGGCCCTGACCGATTCCGAGGACAAGATCGTCTACGAGATGCACCAGTACCTTGATGGCGACAGCTCCGGCACCTCTGAGTCTTGCGTCAGCGCTACCATTGGTAAGGAGCGTCTCGAATCCGCCACCGCCTGGTTGCAGGACAACAACAAGCGTGGTTTCATCGGTGAGTTCGCCGGTGGTGTTAACAGCGTCTGCGAGTCTGCCGTCGAGAACATGCTCTCCTACATGGCCGACAACAGCGACGTCTGGATGGGCGCCGAGTGGTGGGCTGCCGGTCCCTGGTGGGGATCTTACATGTACAGCTTGGAGCCCGCTGACGGCCCTGCTTACGCTACCTACCTTCCCATCCTTGAGAAGTACTTCGTCGATGGTTCTTCCACCCCTACCAAGCCCTCTGCTACTTCCACCACCACCAAGGCCGCCCCCAAGACCACCACCACCACCGCTGCTAAGACTACCACCACCGCCAAGGCACCCACCACCACCACTGCCGAGGTTAAGGTCACCACCACCGCCAACCCCAACGTCCAGGTCCCCACCTCGTCTTCCAGCTCATCTTCCAGCTCTACCACCACCGCTGCCGCTAAGACTACCGTTGTTGTTGCTCCTATTGTCCCCACCACCACCACCGCCCCGACTACCTTCGTCACTGCCACCACCACTGCCAAGGCCACTGCCACGACTGCTGCTACAACCACTGTCAAGAGCTACGAACAGGTACCTACGGACAGCCCCTCTACTGGAAACATTGCTAAGCACTATTACCAGTGCGGTGGCATCAACTGGACTGGACCCACTGTTTGTGAGGCTGGAACCACCTGTGTTGTTCAGAACCCCTACTACCACCAGTGCGTTAGCGCTCTTTAAGCGGTTGATCTCGTATAGATCAAAGCAAAAGGGGAGATTTTATTGACAGGGTGGTTTGGTGTGAGCGATGTTTTTTTCAGGGTTGACTTGTTACTACACTACATACTTCTTATATACTACTTTCTTCTCGATTTAGTTCGAGTATACTATAAATTTCAATTCGAATGTCTCGCAAATATTGTGTGTTTTGTTCTAGATTTTGATGTAGCTATAGAACCATATTTCTATTTCTATCTTCTAGGAATGAGTGTTCTTTTTGCAGGTTTTTTATCGTCTTATTTCCGTCTGCGGAGTACGGATATAGACTCAAGACAAAAAGAGAAATGCAAAGGATACTTGTCTACCTATCCAACCAATCTTGATTTGATGAATGCTACTAATGCCTATTATCTATAGCTGTACCCCACTTCCCCTAACCTGCTAATGTAGTGTCAATAAAATACAAAAAATCACAGTGGAGAAATCGAACTCTTGAGTAGAGGTGTCCTAATTAGGAAATTGGTACTATAGCAATTAATCTCAGTGGCTCAGCGGATGGGAGTGCATGGTTGAATAATTAGCGCGGGGGTCCAACATACTTGGGATATCCTCGCCCCAAGCTACTTTATATGTAGTGTTAAGGAAGCGTGGTCTTCACACCCTGTGTGACTGGTACCCTGTATCCTTGGGGGCGGTTTTGTGCGCTCTCCCTATCTCTTTTTGCTTACACTTCATACCGCGTGAACAATTTTGGCGCATCTTTTGCACTGGTATGTAGAACGAAATAAAGTGTTTCTTTCTATGCCTAAAGCTATGCCTGTTGATGCCTATATCCACAAGAAGTTTAACACATAATGCATTTCTGCTTGGAAATAAATAGCGAAGATTCATTGGCTATCAATAAACTAGTCATACATGCTGCGAACCGTGAAAATATAACAAAAATTGCATCATAAGCAAAGATGTCATTGTCATCATCATTAAAGACACATACCCCGAAAAAAAACTCTGCTGTCGTGGAAGAAACCGCCATAACTCACCCGCACTAAAGCAGATCTCCGCCCTTGTCGGGAAAACCCGACACCGCAAAGAACTGTAGAAAGATAACACAAGTGTTGAAGAGTAAAAAAAACGCGCAGGGGCAGATCAAAGGCAACGCTAACCACATCAAGCATCCTCAGCCTGGTGCAAGCGCACAGTAACCAGATCAGCAGGCGCACTAGTCAAAGTAATAGCATATCGAATCTTCTGATCGGGATACGCATCCTCAATGCGATCGAAGCGCTGTAAAAGTCTCACAATAACATATCCGGCCTCAGTAAGCGCAAACTGCTGTCCAATACAGATCCGCGGCCCACCATTGAAGGGAATATACTCCCAGCCAACCCTACGATCCGTCCAGCGCTCAGGCTTGAACTCGTCGACGTCAGGGCCCCACAGGTCCTTCCGACGGTGCATGACGTGCGTCGTGTAGAGGACTGCCTGACCCTTGCGGATGTAGACTGGGTCTAGGCCGTCTGGGCCGCCACCGCGCGGGATACTTGTGTCATGGACTGCAGTACGGCGGTTGAATGGGACAACTGGGTATAGACGTAAGACTTCGTTCATCACGTGCTGTAGGTACTGGCAGGATTTCATGGAGGCAAAGGTGATGTTCTTGGGGTTGGAGAAGGTGCCGAAGTTAGAGATGATTGTTTCGCGGAGCTTGGTGAAGACGTCTGGGTGGCGGGCGAGCATGAGGGTTGTCCAGCTCAGGAGGGAGGCTGTTGTGTCACGGCCAGCGAGGAGGATGTTGAGGAGTTGGGAACGAAGTTCAATTGGGTCGCGCGTTACTTCGAGTAAGGCTTCAAGGAAGACATATGATGACTTCTCGTCGGGGGAGGCTTTCTTCTCGGCCTGGGAGGCCGAGAGAGCGTTTGAGACGACTTTGTCCACGAAGGCGTGCACTTGCTTGTCGCAGAACCTGCTCTCCTTGCTCTCGGCGAGGAAGGAAAGCTTCTCGAAGCGGGTTCGCTGCGCGCAGACCCATTGGGACTTGTCGAAGTAGCCGGCGAAGGTGTCTTCGGGTCTGTCTAGGCCCTTCAGAGCGCCGAGCTGGCTCTCGACGCTTTCACCGAATAGGAATTCTGTGGCAGAGTCGATGGTCAAGCGGAAGAAGATGGACTGGATGTCTGTTGTGGCAGTCCATCTGTTGGCCGCGATAGGCAGAGCCTGCATGGCCTTTTGCACATGCTCCTCTTCTAGTTCCAATTGACTGATCTGCTCACGGGTGAACTGAGGCCGGAGTAGGCCACGGGACCGGCTCCATTGCTCTCCATCGGCGGTGAACTATAAAGAGTCAATACCTATATAGAGCATGTAAAGAACGTATAGCAACTCACAATACCAGTGCCCAGCAGCGGATGTACGCTACGCCGACGCATAGAGCCAAGCTCGAAGTCCTTGAACTGTGTAGCTAGGATAGCCTGGATGTTCTTAGGGTCGACAGTGAGGATATGGGTGCGACCGAGGTTACGGATGGCGAATGTAGAGACATAACGGTTCTCTTGGTCACTGATGATCTTGACCCTCTCCTCGGTCAACTGAGGTACCAGTTTGGCCTTGTCTGCTATCAAGGACTGTCTCAGGGTATCAATTCCAAAAGGGTCCTTGCATGGGTACATTGGTACATCCCTACAGCCCAGTCTCTTAGCATTGCGCGAGTGTTGCCATAAGTTGAATGCTAGACGGATGGCCTGTAGCACGATGGCTGCGGCTGCAAAAACCAAGACGAATGATAGAGTCATGGTCCTGCTCTGTTAAAGGGAGTTGGATTTTGCAAAAGAATCCATCGGGCAGAATCAACGGGTTTTTATAAAATTCTAAGTTCGGGTCGAAGCATGAGTGGAGAAAAGTGCCCATAGCAAGGATTAGGCATGATCGTCACGAAGCCAGGGGTCAACAGCCAATAACAGACGTAGTCGATGTCATATTCGATCGGTCGTTCGGATCCCACGCCCCATGCAATTTCTTCACCGATGTGAATATCGGAGGTATTACTTTGTGTTTAGATCCGACTTCGTCCCGGCGTTCACCGTGTTATGACCATTATATTCTTGTCAAGGTCCCATATTCCCATATCACATTCCCGTATGGAACATTCTCTCGAGGGATATTCTCATATGGGGATAATTGCCAATTCTAGGTTCCTTTCCATCCGAGTGTATCACCCGACTTGTGAGCCATGGAGGTCCGTGGATCTCTCTGGGGAGAAGAAAGGCCAGTGCCAGAATAAAACGGGTTCCGCGTGTGACTTCATTTTGCATAACTTGGATAATATTTCAAGACTTGTACTCCTACAAGGACATGATACAAATATCTGCAGCTGCGGGGGACCCTTGTCCGCATTAGCGTAGTTCCCAGGATTAGGCCGAGGTCCCGCAGGCCCTGCCCAACATTATTTGATGAGTGATCAATTAATTGTTACGGGGCCAACATCAGCGTCAGCACTAACGTCAGCATTAAAGTCAACCTCAACGTCAAAGTTAACCTAAACATCATAGTCAACGTCAGCATCGCCAATTCAGATCTCTGATATTCTGGTCAATTGGACTATTACTATTTCAGCAAAGACTGCAGATGCAGGGACCCGGGAATCCCCCAATGCTATTATTGGACATGTTATCGTCAAGATCCTACCTGGAACTGTCACAAGAAGCAGACATATCCAAAAACACCTCGTCCAGGGATCTGAGTCCCGAGATTAAAAATGAGTCAGAGCGTCGTTTAAGACCTCGAAAAGGACCCTCGGCCCAAGCACCGGGAATCCCCCAACAAGTGCCCGACAGAAACTCGGCAGCCGTGGATCGTCCCGTGCGGAAAAGAGGCCGGCCGAGATTACAGACAGGCAAAGATGCCACTGCCATTGAGGTAGATCCCGGTTAGCCCACATGTAATACATAGATGCATCCAGTGTTGACTTGTTCCACAGGAACGCCGCCTGCAGATCCGACGGGCACAGCGTACCTATCGTCTCAAAAAGGAGAATACAATCCAGGCTCTCAGATCACGCGTCAACGTACTAGAGCGGACACTAGAGAATGTATCAGATCTTCTAGGTAGTGCTCACCGCAATGCAATCGATCACCTCAACGGCGATCCGACTCTGCAGCCAAGGGTTGACTATCTCGCTCGCACACGAGAACTCATTCTAGCAGAAATAAACCAGACCCGATCTACCTCCTTAAACGACGATGAACTCCAACTCGAACAGGCCAACAGCTCATCTCAGGGCGCATGTGGCTACGAAATTACGCACACACGTCCCCAGAAGACGAACTCCAACGTCTCCTGTTTATATCCACAATACACCCGAGCCCGCTCCCCATCCCCACTCCTAAACCGCATCCTCCCAACATCAACAATCTACACCTACAGCCACCAAGAATCCAGCCTCTCCCGCCGTCTCCACAGATTCAGCCTCGAGCACACCTACCGCTGGCTTACAGACCCACGCACCGAGCCCGCCCTTCTAGGCCGCGTCTTCGGACTAGTCCCTTGCATCCATGATATGCCAGGTATTAGACGCCATTTACGACGCACGCTGCAATCCGAGATCGGAAGCGTGCTTGAATTAGCCAAGATGCCTTTCTACACGCTCGGCGGGGCGGGGAAGCACTTCCCGCGCGTGGACGCGGACGGAAACTCTGTATACCCGGAGAACATTCGGAGACCGGGGAAGATTTTACGGCGGATGGTGCGGATTTTGCAGCGGGGTGGGATCCAGGATTGGGATGAGGACTGGAGTGGGGAGCGGGAGCCGGTTGCTGTTACTTTGGACGGATTGGTGGATGAGACACAGGTGCAGATGAGTGAGGAGGAGAGGATCCACTCGCTTGATCTTGATGGTGAGTGGTTTGATTGTCATGATGTGCAGGGGTATTTGGAGCATCGGGGTCTGGTGCTTGATGGGTCGGCGGTTAGGCTCGGTGTTTCTGAGGCTTTGGTTGGGGCTTTGTATGGTTATTCGCCGGACCGGTCGACTGTTTCTAGTCTCTATGGTTCGTCGAATGGGACTACTCCTGCCAATAAGACGGGGTCAGAGTCCTCGACCTCGCTATCGTATACTTTGGATGTTGAGTGTTTCTTTGACTGTGAGTTAACCGTCGATACATTTGCTCCTTGTGTTTTATTTGTCAATATGACTGACATGAGCCCAGTACTCCTCGAAAACATCAGGATTCTCGGCCGTGCGCCAGGATTTCGAGTATGGGATGTAGATGCCGCATTGCGATCAACGATTTCCCGTCGGCTAGCCACGACACAAGACTGAACAACTGACCTGTCCTTTCATGGATATAATGACTACTTGACGAGCCACGACCAGAATGGTCATCTACATGTATCAAAGCGAGTCCAATCAAACACAATCATCTGAAAATTGAACTCCATCACTGGCATTGTTCTGGGGTATAGCGTAGAAACATCCGACATAGCGCAAAAAAAGCAAGTCCATCAATCAAATCACATCACGTCACATCCAAGAACGCCGAGGCTACGCGGTAGACGACATATCCAGCCCAAGGGTCCAAGAGTAGAGTTAGCCTGAGCTAAGCTAAGTTCATCGACGGTCTCATCACATGAGCGCATCGGTCACATTCCCGATCTCATCTGACCGTCTAGCAGCAGATCTCACAGCACTCGAAGCAGGCAATACCCGCGCAACTGGAATAAATTAGTTTCTGGAATTTCAATTGAGCGCATGACCGAATTTTCTTCTGGTCCGATTGGATTCAAGGGATAGAAACGTACACTCCACAGCAGACACCACCGCCACCACCACCGCGCAGCTGCATTTGTTCTTGACTGGCCTAATGTGATAAAATGTTAATCTTTGGTCTGAAAATATGGGTAACTTGAGGTATATTGACATACTGGCTGCTCAGAGATGACGTTCTGGTTGCTTGAAAGGGGAGCGGGGCTGGTAGGCTGCATGGTGACGGTGTTGGCGTTCCAGCCGTCAGTGGCGGGTTCGGTGGCCGGGGCGGACTTGAAGAAGTTGAAGTTGAACATTGTGGTAGTCGGTACTGTGTATGTTGGGTGTATAAAGATGAGGATAGGAAGGTGTATTTCGGGCGATGGAGGATATTGAGGAGAACAAAGGAAAAAAGAGAAAAAGAGGACAGGCTACTATATGTAGTTTTTCCACTAATGTGGAGGATCGGCCGAAAATCAGCAAAAGAAGTAATGAAACAACTAGCGCCCGGTAAAAGAAATTAAACGCTTACATATTTCATTCCTATAGAGGTACGCGTTGCTAAGTATAGCTGAACTAATCATATGTAACGATGCTGCCTGTTGTCCTGTAGGGGACATTGAGGCTTTGCAGTATACGTAGGATTCCATGGGTTTCAATGCTTTTTTCATTCTATATTTACTTCTAGAACTGTGGCTATGTATATATGGTAGACATGTATGGATTGCACAGCCTCTTCTAGAGCTCTCACGGAAAGCCGTGGAACTGAAAATTAGAATCCAAGCCCTTCAGCCCTGTGAGGCCAGTTTGCCAAGCCCTTGGCAAAACTTGTATTGGACGGGTACGAGTCTACGGGTATTGTGGCAGCTGACAATCTTATGCATTGGATATGTATGAACTGACCTCGTATCCTTCCATGGAAGATCGAAGAACTGTAGATGCATAATGGAAAGTGAGACCTGTCGATCCTGGAAGAAAAGTATAGCCGAAATATGTATCAGCTTCGAGAGGACCCTGTTTGGCTGCAGAACAGAATGATAACACTTTAGAATTTCGCTGATCGTTCGGCATCTTCTTCCGATTGGAATTTTTATTCTTTTTATGCATTCAACAGTATTTACCCGGCCAATGCTATGGTAATCTGCAGCTCTTGGCGGAGAATCTGAATCGCCAATTCGACCCTTGTCCGCTATACTACAGTGTATTATTAGTCAGTCGCAAAAAGAGTAAAAAGTAAACAAAGAAGCAGAAATACATACAGTCAACCCCTAGAACGGGATCCTTCCCACAAAACAGAAGCTAGCCCCCAATGCTAAAGCTTTGAAGATATGTCCCCATCCACCGGGATTTGATCCTTGGCTACTGGGGCTTAGACCCGCAACGCATCCACTGTCGACGGCCACCGTGGTTCGAAATAACAACACTGTCAATGCCATATTTGATCGCCAGCTCTATATCTTCGGGGGATGCTACTGCCGTATCATCGCCAATGGAACTGTGAGCTGTTCTACTTTTTGATTCACTCGACAATAACGAAAGCCTACCCCCCTTAAACCATATTTTTAGATATTTATATTGTCCCAACTAAGGAATCGAATTCTCCTAGCCTAGACTGGGGGCTGCAAGCATCGGCAGATTCTCTACCACTTCACACCAACTTCACAAATCAGCTTTTCAGCAAGAACATATTGTACTCAGTACGGTCCGGGTGATCTCCTCCGTGGCTAAGGGTATTCGGCCACGACTTATCATGCGGAATGGTATACTCATTCCGGTATTCGTTGATACGCTTGCCTAGTACATGTACATCAACGGATAGGAACAGAGCCTTGTACCCCACCTCTATGGAAGGAATTTAGCTCATCCCAATTAATGAACCATGGAAAATTAGTATCTAAGCTACGACATACTCTCCGCCTGCTCTAACAACTGAAGAGTAATCGCAGCACACACATTTGCATCGCATACATATTACCGGTCCCCTGTGTGGCGACATCCTCGAGTGGATAGTTCGAGTGAGAGGATAGACCCATGCAGAGAGCGTATTTTGCAGCTGCGCGTGATATAGCGAGCTCGCCGTCTGGACGGGCGAGTTTCATTGACGCGGCAGGGCTGAGGCCGAATGGAAGTGAGACCTTTCAGTTATTAGAGTCGGCATTCGTGCGTTGGTTTCTGCATGGAAAGTAGAAGGATATAACATACCTTGCCGCTGAGGAAGTCAGTGCTTGTGTTGAGTTTGCTGACGTTGATTAATATCTGCGGGTGGATCTTGTAGCACTACACTATCGTGTAGGCTACTGGACCAATTATTGAATTTCATCAGAAGGTCTGAAGTCCATCCGACGAAGTTTCTTCGCTGGGTTGGTTGGAGTCCTAGAGCCGGACCGCTTTGAAGACAGTGTAATAGCGTCTCTTCTTTGGAGTATTTTGACAATGTCTTGATGGCTCCTAAATGAGGCAGTCTGGAGAGCATTGCCGTAGTACCCGCTCTGCGCGTTGATATCCGCTCCTTTATCTATAAGAAGTTTGAAAATCACCCTAGGCAGATATTAAAGCAGCAGGGCGGCAAGAGACAAAATACTATTGGTAGCAGGTTGCCTCTCAAATAGAAGGTGGGTCGTGTCGTTCCCAACCCTCGAAAGCATCGTTTCTGTCCACACGGACAGTGGGTATACCCACTAGAGGTATGCAAGGGGCGTTATAGGTGGGCGTCCGAAAATCCTAATTCTAAGTCAAAGGGATCTCTTATCAGCTGAAAACATATATTTGCGCGCTTCCGATTTTGGAGGGGTTATAACTTCGACTTTCCATTTTCTATTATGTAGATGAATCTGTATATGACTTTGTCCGAAAACGGTGACATCTAAACGATTCAGAAGTCGCCGATCCCATGTGCTAGGAAGGTGCAGCATCTGCATGCGCCAATATGTAAAATGCGATCAGAAACGGCCTATTTGCCGTACCAGCCGGGCCTTAGGTGTGGAATGTGAGGGGTATTCCGATCAGGTCTTGTCTTCTGTAAAGGGGCTGATTAGGGCTACCATGGTTTCATGGACGGAGGCCATATTGGAGGTTGTAGAGAGGTATAGAGTGACAGATGTTTAGGAAATTTGGTGAATACGGGAGGATTGGATGGAGCGGTCGTGATCTAGATATATTCGGGTTGACTATGTAGTCCCCTACCGTGTCTATATTCATGATTCTATACATTTGAATGACTGGCCTTGTTGGAATGGGTTCCCTATTTAGGATGCATTACCGTCATCAGGATGGAGGCTTCTTTCTCTTCCAGATTTTTTCCCTTCTAATTCTGCTTGATAGGGTTTCTGTATTAGAGCAATATGATTGCCCATATCATTTAGAATTTGGAAGACTTGATGGTACCCTTGATATGCAAATAGATAGAGCTCATATCGTGCTGTCTAGGTTATCTTGTGCACATTTGACTGTGATGTCACCAATAGCTTTGCATGTGTAATAGATGTGCTTCGGGCTGGATGATGATATATCCGGCAATGATTTATCTATGGGGTCTAATAAAGGCTGTTCAATGCCATTGCATTTGCAGCAACGGTATCGAGTACTTAAAGGTTATCAAGCAGCACGTTAGGGCTGAGAATGTGGCTAAGAGAAAATGCCTTAATCTAGCATCCGTGAGGGTTAATCAGATAATTGAAAACTATTTAGATTAGAATATAGATTGAAGGAGATTAACCATTTTATCCACTAGATAACATCACTAACATTCGCGGAGTATATCGCGGATAGTATATCGGAAGGACTTGCCTGAATGGGCTTAACCTGATTTGGAGAAATCCAGTCATATAGCATACCCCACGCGCCTTGAGAGAGTTGGAAGTGTTGAAATCTCTGTTACACCTAAGACCAAAATGGACCTCTTTATTGATCTCGTCACCCCCAACGGGCACAGCTACAAGCAGCCCACCGGCCTCTTCATTAATAACGAGATTGTACCTGCCACGGGAGACCAGACCATTACGTCTCTTGACCCCGCGTATGTCACCTTAGCATTATCAGAACTGCCGTATAAGATTACTAACTGTTGTCTAGTACCGACAAGCCCATTGCCACTGTCCAAGCAGCGAGCGTCGAAGATGTTGACCGCGCTGTGAAGGCCGCCAAAGCGGCCCTGGTCCACCCCTCGTGGAAATTACTTCCCGCGACAGAGCGGGGCCAATTGATGGCACGACTCGCTGATCTTATGGAGGAGAACAGACAGTTGTTTGCGTCTATTGAAGCATGGGATAATGGTATGGTCTGAAAATTACTGGGGAAAAAAAGAAATAATTTGCTCATTCATGCTAGGAAAACCTTACCACGTCGCTCTTGATGAAGATCTCACCGAGGCAATCTCGACAATTCGTTATTACAGTGGTTGGGCCGATAAGACCTTTGGCCAAACCATCAATACAACTCCCCAAAAGTTCGCCTACACAATCCGCCAGCCTATCGGTGTAGTTGGCCAGATCATCCCATGGAACTACCCCCTTTCAATGGCCAGCTGGAAGCTTGGCCCTGCACTAGCCTGCGGAAACACAGTTGTGCTGAAGCCTGCTGAGCAGACTCCTCTCAGCGCCCTCATTCTCGGTACATTAATTAAGGAGGCTGGATTTCCCCCAGGTGTGGTAAACATCGTCAATGGCTACGGGCGCGAGGCCGGCGCTGCGCTCACTTCGCATCCATTGGTCGATAAGGTCGCATTCACAGGATCAACAATGACCGCCCGGGAGATTATGAAGATGGCCGCGGGAACTCTCAAGAACATCACGCTTGAAACAGGAGGCAAGTCACCTTTGCTGGTGTTCCCGGATGCGGATATGGACCAGGCTGTCAAGTGGTCGCATAGCGGAATTATGTCCAACAAAGGCGAGATCTGCACCGCCACCTCGCGGATCTTCGTCCACCGCGAGATCCTCGAAGCATTCACTGCTAGTTACAAGACGGCAGTAGAGAGTGTGAAGATCGGCGACCAATGGGATGAGTCAGTCTTCCACGGGCCGCAGGTGACACGCGCGCAATATGACCGTATCCTCTCCTACTTTGAAATCGCCAAGAGCGAAGGAGCTACTATTCTCACTGGCGGTGCTGCCTACACACCGACCGAAGAGAAGAATAAGAACGGATACTTTATTCAACCGACAGTTATTGTTAATGCAACGGATTCTATGCGCATTGCCCGCGAAGAAGTGTTTGGTCCCGTCGTGGTGATTTTCCCCTTCGACGATGAGGAAGAAGCCATTCGTCGGGCCAACGATACTACTTATGGCCTCGGTGCGTCTGTCTTCACTCGTGATCTGGAGCGTGCTCACCGTGTGGCTGCTGAGATTGAGTCCGGTATGGTCTGGATCAATAGCAGCCAAGACTGTGACCCGCGCATTCCTTTCGGTGGCGTGAAGCAGAGTGGCATTGGACGTGAGTTGGGTGAGGCAGGACTAGAGGCATATAGCCAGATTAAGGCAGTTCACGTTAATATGGGTACCAGGCTATAAATGGGGCTATGGAAGTACATTGCATATAAATATAGATTTTACCAAGCTGTGTATGCCTTTTTGTGGAGAAATGTCATGTTTCATTATAGATACATAGTGTGAATTGTACCTTAGTGCCCGACGGAAATGAGGGGTAGGTACAGCTTACACTTGTGAAGATTTGCACAACTTTCCCTCTGGCCAAAACATAAGTTATGGGGCTCAAAACTCTTGTGTCAAAATTAAAACGCCGCATACCTGTAGAGGATCCGATCAGTCATTCAGGTCCAGTATCTGGAAGCAATGGCAGAAAGACTCCCACGTTTTCAGCCCCTAAAGACGAGATCAACCTTGTACCATATACACCAGCAACTGACGAGCGTGACTTATGGCTTGAAGCGTTCGAGAAATTGCCTCGCAAGTTACAACAAGAGCTCGAAAAACAGGGCATGAACCAACAGGGCTCTGAGCCTATGATCCATCAGGTCAAATTATTTCAAGAAGAGGCTGAAAGAGAGCGGGATAGAAGCCTGGCTAAAGATTGGAAGGTTCAGATAGGAGACCATGATCTGCCAGTGAGACAGATGACTATCCAGATCGTTCACTGGGCAGAAAGAATTGGAGATGTTGCCTTCCAATTTGCCCCGTCTCCCGGTGCTGGATTCTGGGCTGTAGCAAAATCAATTCTCCAGGTTGGTTTTTTATACCAGAAAGTGCAAGTCAATGCTTACACAGTGAGGGTGCTAGGGAATTGATACTTTCGACAAAGAAAAAAGTGCTCTGCTTTCTGTTATTGATAAAGCGGCGGGTGCCATCTTCTGCGGTCAGGTCTACTACGAGATATACAGCCCTGAGCGGACGGGAAGGAAGGATGTTGTGGACAAGCTTCACGATGCAATTGCGGCGTTGTATGGTTGCGTGCTGGAGCTACTGGCCACATCATCCGATCTTTCATCCAACACCGCCGTGCAATTTTGCCAGGCTATCTTTGACCCGACAAAGCCATCTGGCATGTTGGTCGAATTGGAAAGATTAGAACAAGAGCTTGCAGCAGCGGCTGGCAAGTGTGAAGACACGGCCCACGCTCACCAGGAAGTTACGTTGAGGAGTTATCTTCAAGAAGCCCAGAATTCCCTCAACAGAATCACTCACCATATGGAACATGTTTTCCAATGGGTCAATGATAAAGAACGGAGAGACCTTCTTGAATGGGTATCAGATATCCACTATGGCCGTCATCACGATGAGATTGAAGAAAGAAGAGAACCTGATACGGGTGATTGGGTTGTTCAAGATGGAAGATTTCGTGAGTGGATGGATTCACCCTCATCTAGTACCTTGTGGCTTCAAGGATCTCGTAAGTTTGCTTAATCTTTGAAAGATATCATGTCTCTGACAAAATATAGCCGGCACAGGGAAAACATTTTTGACTTCAGCTGTGGTGAAGCATATAATGGACACTAAGGGGTCCCCGATGGAAGGAGTTGGCTATTTCTTCTGCAAAAAAGACGAGAAAGATCGGCGGGAATCACTTCCAGTGCTTCGAAGCTTAGTTCGCCAGCTTGCTGCCCCGAAAAACAGTACTAAATCAGTCAGAAAGAGCCTTCGAGATGCACGTGAAAAAGCAACTGATAGAGCATCACGGCTCGGCTCCTCAGAATGCCATCGCCAGCTGGTGGAATCATTCAAGCTGTATTCAACAAGTGTCATCATTCTTGATGCCTTTGATGAAATTCTTGACGATGAACTTGATATTCTGATCGAGGCGCTTGACGATGCTATTGCCGAGACCAAAGACAAAGGCAGAGTAAAACTCTTTGTTGCCAGTCGTCCCGAGAAAAACATTGGCGCAAAATATGGCTCCAATTCAACTATCATCATCCAGGCCCAGGACAACAAAAAGGACATTGAGAAATTTGTGATCCACGAGATGGAAAAATTTGGGAAGAAACATCCCAACTCGGACGTAAACTCCATGAAGGACACGATTATTCGAGTTATTCTTGATAAATGCGAGAACATGTAAGTCCTCATATCACGAGTGAACAAGTTCTACACTAACAAGAAGAATAGGTTCCTGTGGGCCGCGCTTCAGGTAAAGCAGATGGTAAAATGCAACACTGTTGAATCAATTCATTACGCACTGGAAAATCTTCCGAAGGGGCTGGATGAAATGTATAACCAAATACACCTGAAAATCCACACTCGATTTCCCCCGGAACGAGCGATTGCAGAACGCACGCTGAAGTGGGTGCTGTGCTCTCCTTATCCACTCACAACCGAGGAGCTCCTCTCCGCCGCTCGCATGAGTATTGAGAAAGACAGCATCAAGATGGGGGGCTGCATCCAGCAAGAGTCCTTGCTCGCAATCTGTGAGAACTTGCTGATAGTCGATATCGATGATCGATGGAGATTTTTCCACCTTTCAGCGCGGGAGTATCTCGAAAAGTCCCATGAGACACCACATCATAAAGCACGCTCTTACTGTGCACAGGTGTGTCTTCTATCTCTTATGAAAACGTTTGGACCAGCAACGCTTTCTAGTGGCTCCGAGAATCCCTTTAATAAAGCAAATCCTTTCTCAGAGCACAATCAGACCTGCTGGGCGTTCTATGTTCGTGGGCAGATCGAGGAAGATCAATCTGTTATTCTGCTAAAGAAATTCCTTGGCTCGCCAAGCAAAAGTAGCGCCTTCTATATTGGATGGTTTGATCACCTCTCCAAGCATCGCTATCTTCCGATTGAATTCTCATCTCGGCAAGGAGCAATTTTAAACTATGGAGATCTGGCGCCAGCTACAACGCCAATGTTTACTATAGCCCAGTTTTCGTTGTATGAGACTCTCCACAGATGGTGCGACAGCAATGATTTTGACCCATTTCAAGAAAATATCTTTGGACAAGATTTGCTCACAATAGCTGCCATTACTAATAGTGTGCCTTTTTGCACCACTCTTGTCGCAAAGGGAGTTTCCGTTAACCGATGTGGTGTCAATAGCGTGTATGGCAGTGCCCTTTCAGCTGCAGCCAGGTGGAATAGCCTGGATACAGTCAAATATCTTGTGCAGGAGGGAAAAGCAGTCGTGAATCTTCCACGCGAGAATGATAAAGACCGTGATGCACTGAAATCCGCTACCATCGTCGGAAACTTGGATATCGTGAAGTATTTTGTGGAGGAGGTCAACCCAGATATGAGATTTCTAACTGATGCAAACGCCTACGGCAATTTGCTTTCCGCCGCTGCATGCTTAGGCACACTGGATGTTATGAGATACCTCGTGGAGGAAGTAAAATTGGACATAGATCTCCAACTTGGCGTTGATATTTTGGGCAGAACTCTTGCAGACGCAACTGGGTATGGTAAGCTGGATATAGTCAAATATCTCGTGGAGGAGGCAAAAGTAGACGTGGACAAACCGTTTCAGGATAGCAATGCACTTTGCATCGCCATCAGGGAGAGGAATATGGATATGGTGCGATACCTTGTGAAAGAGGCAAAAGCAAATGTAGATATAGTGCATCGGGATGAGGATATCAGTGCTATACTTGATTTGTATAGTAAGGAGGATGCTATTGTGCTCAGGGACCTTCTGCATTTTCCCAGTGATCAAGAGGCGACAATTGGGTCTTGATAGAAATATACAAGCATGATAATACTGAGTCATTATCACTCTTCAACTATCAACAAGGATTTGAAATTATTGAGTCTCTGGCAAGAGAGAATACGCATCATTATTTAGCCCTGGATACTATATCAAGACCGGATTATATAGGTTGCCCATCCCTCTCTTCTTCGAATGCATAAACAAATCAAGACTTCCAACATCCTACATATCCTTACCAGTTGATCAAAAGCAAACATGTTATTGATATATGCGCCTGCGTGAGATAAGGTAGATTGCATCCAACCCAGAATAACAATAAATACTGACCTTAGAAAGTTCATCCAAGAAATCGAGCCACTTCTTATGACAGGCACCACGGTTGAAAGACCTATACAAAGATTCGGAGGTCAACATGCAAAATATCATATCCAAATACGAAATCTCGCCACCGGGTGATTCAGTCAAAACCGAAGACCTCAAACTCAAAGATGCCTCCGAGTCCTCACAACCCCATCAGCAACAGGCGACGAACCAGTAGGTATTCTCATGCACGGCGTTGGATGGGCCCTGGAAGAAGTTGGTATACCTATCATTCATGATGATTATCCCGGTTATCCTCATTACTTTTGGTCATATCCTTGATAAAATGGATCAATATGGAATGAAATTATGTGGATATCCCATGTAAATTACATATCAATATTTAAATCAAAGTGATCCATCATCTCTCTACATATTCAGTTCCTGGTGGACTCGAATCTAAGGGATTTCCTACCTGGTTCAGTCCTATGTTGTCAAAAGAGCGTGTCCACTTGTCAGGCTATCTGATTATACACATTCGGCTACTTCAAATCCACCATGAGGCCAGAGACCAGTGTAATGTTCAAACACCAACAAGAGCAGCACGCATAACAACCTCCATATAGCACGCATTGAGTGGACAGGAACCAACGATCAATCCCTTCTTGCTGTAGCCAAATTTTATTAGAAACATGGGTGTGGTTCTCCCTGTCCCTTTGACAAGGAGTAAAGTGCAGCGTAGATATGCCTACGGCCATAGCCGGGTCATCGGCGATCTCGTCCTCATAGAGGCGATTTCGGAACTTGTAACTCCATGTCCACCTGCATTTTTAGCCAAAGTCCATTACCCCCAAGGCTCCATGACAGGAAACATGGATTATATATCGCTTCCACCTCGCATAGTTCTCACTGTCATAAGTGGCCAGATCAGTAGCATAGTCCAGAATCTCTACCATCCATGGGGATTTGACCTCCCCAATAAGGTTTGACTTTGATGCTCCAGCCGGTATTTCTCAGTATCGTCAGGCTTGTGGCGTGGAGTCGTGGCATAGATTGACTCCATTCGGATTCTACAGCAATAAATGGAGTGATGTAACCATAGATCATAGAAGTTGGGGTCAAGATTTATCCCTTTATCTCGATGAATTGGACGAGCCAATCGTAAGATCCAGGCGCTGAGATCCCTAAGAGAAGATCAGGATGAGGATAGCCAACGCCGACGATGTTGATAGTGCCCTCGTCCTTCTTCTCATCTCGGGCTTGCGATGGTGATGGAAGTGTATTGAAAATTTCCGTAGTAAAGACCAAATGATGTGGCGTATATCCGGTCCGAATATACCATGTACCCCATGCTCATCTTCCGCATCGTTCCGGTATTTTTCAATGACACGCTATTTCCTCGAACAGTTTGCGGTGCCAGAGTAATTCTGATTTTGAGCAACACGGGTGGATTCCGCGCTCCGCAAGAGGTGAGAATTGCAGCCGAAACGTTTCCAAGCCAGGTATCTTTTGCTTCGTGCCCATATTCCGGTATCATTTTTCCAACTCAAGAAACTCCATTTCTAGTGGAGTTCCCTCGCAATAACACATAATCTTTGTGTATGGCCAGGAGGAAGGGAATGCCTAAGTCCTTGGTGTATTAGGATAAGCTGCCGGCTGTCGCGCGTAGAGATATATCGCGACGCGACTTACTGGCTCGATGGGAGCAAAGTCTCGAATGTTGGAGACCTAGATGGGTCTGTGCCCAGTGATGAATTTGTTCATACTCCAAGGAGCAGAGAAAGAGTATAATGTATGCTATTTGAGTTGAGTGTTGATTCCCCAGGTTGTGTGAAGATGATAACGAAGGGAGGGGAAATGGAGAAGAGATAGAGAAGAGACCAGGAAGACAATAAATGGTAGACCATAAAATAGGGAAAGAGGTAGGGCAAGACCTATCAGGAAGGAGCAAAAAAGCCTCAGCCGCCTCAGCCCGCTAGGCTGCCATCACATGTCGAATGTGTCATCGGGGAAACTCTATATACGAATATTCAGCCGCAAGTACACTAGAAGATAAGCAGAAGATCCCAGCATGTGAAAGTACTTAAAAGCTTGCACTTCACCTCGTGCAATTATCAACTCTCCCGGCTCTCAGCTCGACATGTCGTGCCCCAGTTGTTTTAGTGGTCATGTCCACCAGGGCACTCCGCGTGGTGAAGTCACCTCTCTCCATGGCTTACAGGCCTACACGACCAGACCCCCGAACGAGGTACCTCACCGGGGTATTATCATCATAGTGCCCGACGCGTTCGGTTGGGAGTTCGTGAACAATCGAGTCCTGGCCGACAACTACGCCGAAAAGGGGAAGTACCTCGTTTACCTTCCTGATTTCATGAACGGTATGTTCTAGTCATCGAAGACTTCCAAGAATAACTTGCTAAGTGTAATATTAGGACACGCGGCCCCAGTCGGCATGTTGTCTTCTACAAAGGAGTTGTTGAAAACGAGGGGACTCATAACCTGGCTTCTGAAGCCGTAAGTCGATAGATAAACTAATAAGCGCCCGGATTGCGCTCATATGAAACAGCCACTAAGTCAGGCTACAGGTACTATTTAGTCTCCACGCTGGCAAGATTTCTGCCCTTCGCGTACTACAATACCTTCGAGGCATCATGGCCTGTCGTCAGGGACTTCTTCAAGTTCGTGCGTGAGAACGAAGGAGCCGAGCTTCCCATATACGGAGCTGGGTTCTGCTGGGGCGGAAAGCATATCGTCAATCTAGGCGCCGGAGTGGACATCGCCTCAAATGGGAAACCGCTGCTTAATGCTGGTTTTACAGGCCATCCGAGTAAGCTCGAGATCCCTAGCGAGATTGAGAAGATCAAGATTCCTGTTAGCTTTGCTCTCGGGGACAAAGATGGAGTTTTGAAACTTCCACAAATTGAGCAGATCAAACAAGTCTTCGCCAGCGAGTCCGGTGCCGGGAAAGGAGAAGTGGTGGTGTATGAGGGCGCTGGCCATGGCTTTTGTGTCAGGGCTGATTTGGTTTTGGATGATACGAGTAAACAAGCTGATGAAGCGGAGAATCAGGCACTGGCCTGGTTTGAAAAGTATTGACGCATTGGAGACAAATTGAAGTGTATGATTTGGTGGTCTCAGGCAGCAATGCAGCGTGCAACCTTCCAACCCTGGAAGGTTGGAAGGCTGCTTACTTGCACTTAGTCAGATGTATAAGGAACCATCGGAACTTCATGACAGGTTGTTGATCGTGTTCTTGCATCGTTGTCTACCTCTGGTAGTGTCCTTGATCGAATTTGGCTCAACTGAAGCATGTACTAGTTAGATGGAAGAGGGTAGAAAGTACTAGTAGTACGTACAGCACTAGGTCACATGTAGGAATCAAGTACAAGGCTACATTATGACATGTACATACCAATCTCGGAAGTTGTTGTAGATGTGGGTACCCGATTTTGGGCCGTAATTTCTCCGGGATGCCGCCACTCTATGAGGGTATCACATCACAGGATGATGACTGGAATTCATAGTAGCAACTACCTACTTGCGCAGAGTATGTACAAAGTAGGTAATGTTTGATTTGAAATAAAGGGGTTAGTAATATGGAGTACATATTTCCCACTGGAGTAATTGTGGCAAGCCCAACTGCACGTGGCACTAAGACCGGCCCGGATAGTGAATCGTCGCCGGATAGCAACATTGAAATTGTCACGACGATGTATCTTTTATATCGCAACTGCATAAGAAAGGTACTTGGGCATAATGTTGTCATAACCTCGGTTTTCTTTAACCCTCGAACTAGTTAGGGATAATACAGGAAGTCTCAATTACTTCCAGGTTTAGTATCAATCTTAGTTAGATTTGTCAAGTATGCTTGAAGCCAGAGAATGGTTAAAGTTTTAGTATTTTCAATGTGCTCTTAACGACATACACATCTATATCCTATATTTAGGATTGGTCTCAGTCTAGACTTGCGTAAGATCTTGATTTTGATTTTTTTCCCCTTAAGCTAGTTTGAGGTCAATGGATGTTAGGCTTCAATTTTCTATCCGGGTGCTATCCGGTACTCCGTCTCCATACAGGCCACCGGGTAGTAGTGTTAGACTTGGCATGATCATCACCCCTATGCAGCACGGAGTACGGAGTACTTGCCACTGAAATCTCTGTTTCAATAAATGATCTTGGCTTTTGACTCACTAGCCTTGCACCAGTGGGGATCAATAATATGTTGTGCTCGGTATTGTCCTACGAGGTCGCCAAGTAGACCCATGTGGCTTTGACTCACGTCTAGACGAAGTAAGGGGAAAATGTTGAGATGTGTCAAATCATGTGATGAAGACGTGCTTGTTTGCTGGATTTGCATAGGTCACCTGAGATTTCTAAGATTCCCCAAACGGTCAAAATGTGGGGTACGTTCGGGCCGAGTAGCAAATTGGATAATAATACCTCAAACTTAGTAAGCCTACTTGAGGCAAATGACTTCATCTGCCAATTTCTTCCCCCCATTTTCTCGAAATAGAACTAATTAATGAAAAGAAACGTAACTTTTTCTGCAGTCAGTTCCAGTCTCCTCCAGTCCTCTCCAGTCACTTGATCCCGTTTTTGCGTGATATTACATAAAAATTCGGTTTCCGTCGGGGACTTACTGCATTGAGCGGTGCCTGACGTTTTATGATTCAATTTGATTCGATTTTGACCAAATCCGGGTCTAGAATCCCATGGTTTTACGTGATTTTGTCAAAGGATCGCCAGGTGATTGACTGGATTTTTGATCTCATACTGGTCGTGTAGTGAGGATTGGTTCATATGGCGTTATGATGATCTACCCGTGCGATTCCCCCGCAAAATCTTTATAAAGGGACATATTCCCCGGACTTTGGTAGCATCATTCAATTTCAAACCTCATCTACTAAGCTCATCTACTAAGCTCATCTACTTCTATCTTCGAATACTACTCTATTTCACTACTACTTTACTCAACTACAATTCAGCTACTCAATTCTATCAATGTGAGTAACACAGCTGGTCTCCCAATGTCGGACAAGTTACTAATACAAAATCTTAGTCAATGACCCAGAGTCCTCAATCCTCCTTCACCATGACTATCCAACTGAACCCTTCATCACACGGCTGGAAGTGCGAGAAGTGCGGACTCCCCGGAGTGCGTCTCTCTTCAGACTCAGGCCGCGCATACTACAAGTGTGTCCCATGCAATCGCTCCTTGGGCCTTTGCCCTTGCACAACGCCAGGAGCTTGGACAACCTCGACATGTCCATGTGGTGACAGCGACGGCGAATCATCATCAGGTCTTGAGGACCAGCTCCCTAGCGGTCTTGCCATTCGTTCTACCACAAGACAAAACTTCAACCCACACAACCCCAATTCAGGATTCGATGAAGATTGGGAGTCAAATTGCAGTCCAGGCTTCATGGTCTCGAAGTTCAAGGCTCGAGGCAGGGAACTCATCTGAGCGGACATAATGCATTTTGAATTTGAATTTTGAGAATTTGCGAATTTGGAAATAGCGAGCATTGTTTAATCAAGTGTTTATACTCGATCGTTGCCTGTTAGGGTGACACTCCGATCCTCGAGTAAAAAGTTCATATATAACTAATAGTCGCTTTGAGAGCCGAATGAAGAACCTTTGGGCACATACTAACAAAAATCCACCGTGTAAAAATTTTCCACCCAAGCCATAAATAAAATTGACGTACTTCAATAATAAATTTGTACAAAGTACGTATGGATCTAAGATGTTTCAGCCACTTAGCCAATGAGACCGCCTACATAGCCACATCTCAATCTAGCCTTATTGTGGCGGTGCGACCAAGATCATCAAAACAACAACAAAATCTCCCTTCTCCCTCCTGCCCACTGATGTGGTCCAAGTTCCAAGTGGAGAACATGTAGCCCTTAGGCTGCAGTCTGGGAGCTCACCGCGGTCCAACCTAGCCTCTTTTCTTTTTATCTTGAATGGTTTTCTTTTCAATAAGTCCACATCGCAGCAATATCATTATTTCGCGTCGCCCGCATCCATATATGCCTCAAATTCCAAACACTCCAGAATCTTTGCTTCCTCGCTCAGATTCTCGAAATCCAGCGACAACATGTAGAGGCATAACTGCCCAAGGCCGGCCTTGCCGCCGCTCTTTAGCATCTCCAAATCCATCGCCTGCTTCTACCCCTCGAAAAAAGGATCCTCGCCAAGAAGCTTTGGATGTGGCATCTTTGTACTGCTGGCAGCACAAAGATCAAGATTCTTCGGCGACTCCACATCCTATCATCACCCCAGCCAAGACGAGGACAAGCATCGATACATTAATGGATCGACTGGGTGTGCTCGAAATAAACGATGACCCAGCCTCCCAAAGGCCAAAGCCGCCCCAGAAACGACGGACAAATCAAAGTAGGCCGAGTGAAAAGCCTCGACCGAAGAAAACGACGACCTGCTGCTGTTTCATAATCGCAGAGGACAGCGGCGAGGATGACAGGCCTAACACAGTTCAAAGGCCCAAACCCCCTCGCCCGACAAATGGCGCTTCGCCTTCTCCAAATCCAAGCCAAAAGATCAAAGTACCTACCTCAGCCGGAAAGCCGCAGTACGCGGGAGTATCACCCACTCAAGCATCCCGGCCATCTTTGTCAGCCCCGGGAAAGCCTTCTTCCTCGCAAACACAAGCCTTATTATCATGGATCCCGTCTACGCTTTCCCCACAGACCACATCCGCTCTCCTCACAGAACTGGCCAAACCCATCTCCAGCGCCGACGACGAGGGCTATATCTATATGTTCTGGGTAACGCCCCCATCAACCACCACACAACGGAGCGCTAGCGCTGAACCCGCAATAACGAGAGATATAGCATCTTCTCTACTACCCCAAGCCCCACAAAGTAGCAACCATCTCCGTCCACCCACGCAGCCACGCAGCATCAGCGACGCAATTCGAGCAGCACAAGATCTCAACGCCCTCACCTCAAACCCAACAGCAAAAAAGCCCGGAACGCTTAGGCTGAAGATCGGACGCACGAGCAATGTGCATCGTCGTCTCGCTGAATGGAGTAAACAGTGCTCGTACGATTTGACCTTGATCCGTTATTACCCTTACACACCATCGTCCTCGTCATCCTCTCCTGCCAGGGCGCCACCATCCCACCGCCGGAACAGAACCCCTTCTGCCTCTCTAGTACCAGGAAGGAAAGTTCCGCACGTGCATCGCGTGGAACGACTGATTCACCTCGAGCTGGCGGCTCTGCGCGTGCGAGACTTAGGGCAGTGTCCTGAGTGTGGGAAGGAGCATCGGGAATGGTTTGAGGTTGAGGCGGCGAAGGAGTCGCTCAGGAAGGTGGACGAGTGTATTCGACGATGGGTCTCCTGGGGCGAGTCAATGACTTGACACTGTATCCTATATACTCATCTCGCACGTCCTCTCTAAGTGCATATCAGACTCAAGTGGGGAGTTGTCTGCGACACGACGAAGTATATAATCGTCCATGCGGATGACTTCATTTTTGCAACACCTACAAAAGAAAAAGTAGAGGAAATCTACCAAGTTGTTCGCTCTCCATTCGAAACAAGAGACACGGGAGAACCTTACAGATTTCTTCGAAGCGCTGTGGTTCAAAACTATGACAATAGAACGATCACCTTGTTCCAAGAAGGCTATATTGATGAAATCATACCAGGTGCAAATCTGTCGCAATTCCACTTTATTCCTCATGGATTCGGGATCATGCAAACGAATATCTAGATGCTTTGTTATGTGGGCAAAAAAGCCCACAGGGCCCAGTGATGGTTGGACGCCTGAACTGACTCTCAATCGAAACTCGTCATAACATCAAGTTCGTGGTGATAAAGCTAGAACATCGAGGCGCAAACCCGACTCGACATAATACGCTTGCGGTTCGCCATTTTGTTACCCAAAGGACATAGCTGCGTTATTGCTCTTGGAAGTGTCAAATACCATCGTTTCTGCGCATACGCAGATACCTCGTATAGAGATTGGCATAATAGAAAGCCAACCAAGGGGGCCATCTGGTTTTTCGCAGACGCGCACCTATCAGTTGGCAGGCAACGAAACAAAAAATCAATACTCCTTCTATGGCGCCAGAGTGGTGCGCTTTAGATCGGCCTGCAAGAGGCGCACGCTGGTACCTGAAAATTGCAAAAGGTCTGGATCTGGAAGATGCAGAGGAACCCATTGTTGTCTTGACGGATAATATCAATATCCGTGGACACAAGTCCTCATGATCAAGAAAGCCCTGAGCTATGGGCATATGTGAGAATTCAACTCGATGGATGGAAATGAAACGGTACTTCATAAAACATGAATTGAAGACTGAATACACACATTGGTATCAAAACAAGAAGCTGAATGTCTACCAAATCAATTCTCTATTTCTTGGTGAGGAAAATCACGTACAAACTAGTAGTTATAGACATGGATATCTCAACCTATTTATCTACATGTATTTCAGTTTGATCTATACCTTCCGCTTTAACAACCCACGGAAGAAGTCAAAGCTGTTACTATCGCTCTGTAACTGCCACACACGTCCGGTTGGACGATCATTCCACCCCAACTCCTCGGCCAACAAAAGACCGAAGTCACGCGTGATACCTTGAATGCGAGCGCGAGCACCGCCTTCCTCCTCCAGCGTGACAATCTGGTGCATGTGCAGCCAGTCTTCATAATACATAGCCTCAAAGCCTCGATCGAAGCCTGTGCGCAAGAAGCGGGTATACAGGCTTTCAAAGGTAGTCAGAATACGGGCCAGGAGCCTCTCGAGCGTGACAGGCGAAGCGGCAGCAGCGCCTGGGGATGCGTAGCGTGCGGCGAGGGTGGTCAACGCGGTTGTTGGGGAGGCGTTCGTGGCATTGATGCCAATACCGACGACGGAGATGTACTCGTTTGACATGAAATGGGAGTTGATGAGAATGCCGCAGATCTTCGTGTATCGTTTTTGTTCGGGGTCGTCTGGATCCAGTGCATCTGTAGAAATTGATCAGGAAGCCGCTCATAGTAATAAAATAAATAAATAAACCATTTGGCACGTACAGATATCGTTCGGCCACTTTAGTTTTACCGGAATCTTCTCATAGCCCTTGGCGTAGTTCTTGATTCCCCTGACTACTGCCATGGCTGATAGGTATTGAAGGAACACAACCGGTGCCGACTGAATCTTGTCTATTGGGTGTCGCACCACAGTTGAGAAGATCAGAGAACCTGCTGGTGAGACCCAGACATTGGATCCGCGTCCACGTCCAGCGATTTGTGCTGTAGCCGTAGCTGTAAAGCCTTGCGGCAATTGACGAAGGAGCTTTGTATTTCTGCTGCTCGTTAGAGCCGACCAAGATTAGACTTATCAACCGAAATGCTTACTTTTCAAGAATGGTGTTCGTGCTAGTCACTACCTCTCCATATAAGAGGTTGGAGCCAAATGTTGTGGCTTCTCCCTTGGACTCAGATTGGTATTGGCGGAGGTGGGCATAGAATGAATGATGGTTGAAGTATGGAGTCAGTTTCGAAGATGGTATATCATCATGGAACACAAGTCGCTTGATGATTGCCTGGTAATCAATTATACCCTCGCTGGGCTCCGAGGATCCTGTGGGGAGCGAGTCTTCCAGTTCACCAAGATTCCATGTTCCAGGGCGTTCAATGCGAAACGTATCGTGGTCGTCCTTGAGACACTCGGTCTGACCCTCTTGGGTGAATGCAGCTCCAAGACCCGACAGGATATCCATAGGACCATCAGCATCCATTCCAGACACGTGCAAGGACGACAGTGAAGGCACTGTTGTCGTGTCTTGCGTGACCTCTAGTCCAAGTTTAGCCATAAAAGCTTTCAAGAAGTCCGTCCGTCCCTTGTCATCGGCAGTGAGTTTCGCAACCATGTCCGCATATCCAGGCCCACCCGCCTTCGGGTCCAGATTAACAGGCGCAAATCTAGTTCACAAGTTAGTGACTCGATCCTGCCAATCGAAATCCAAAACATACTCAGGATGAGGTCCGGTCAAGACTGCCGCTCCACTGCCAACTTTGCAGTAGACAACAGCAGCTGCACCCTCCCCAGGGTCAACATTCAGTTTTTCAGTATATCTCGCAAGAATCTCTACTCCTTTGTCTGCGAGCAACGGCGCATCAACGAAGACACCGCCGCCATTGTAGTATGACCGGAAGTTGGTTGGCACTGCGCCAGTATTCAAAGCTTCCTTGGCCACTTCGAGTCCTACAGCGCGTGCCCCGTCCTCGCTGTGGTAAACGAAGCCCGGGAATGCCCCGCCCCGACAGATGCCCGGATAGAAAGCCAATTCGCGATCCCCAATAACCTCCATTGTCTTATCGCCGACCTCAAACTCACAACTCTTGCTTCCATAGTAGCCACCAGCACACAGACCGAGGTATCGCCCGCCATTGTGAACAAATTGGGCGATGCGCCGGTTCCCCGCACCATTGAGCGTACGACAGTATCCCATATCCGCGCCGCCGGGCATGACCAGCATAGCACACGTAGTCATCCATGGCTCCTTGAGGAGCATATCGCCCGTCACAGGGATGACGGCATAGTGGTGAGCGAGCAGGCGGCGGAGGGTGTAGAGGCAGTGCCGGACTGACTCAACGGTGGTTCCATTTCCTGTTGAGAAGTTGTCGGTCAGAAAACTGCTGAGCTGCCAGGTGGAGTAAGTGAGCGAACCGGAATATACTAGGACATTGAGCTTTTTGCCAGCAAAATTGGCGTTGTTGCCCGTTGGCGTCGCCATTGTTGTTGAGTCGCAAAGGGAAATCGGCGCGATAAGATAGTTACATCCGCCGAGGCCAACCGCCTTTCTCCAACTTTCCTTACCATACCTCAACCATGTCGAACAACGTGGAGAAGACAGCTGTGATCCCGGATGAGGATGATGAGCCGGATGATTGGTAAGGCCATTTTAGGGTTTATGGTCTGCGTGATGCTAACTACAATGGCAGGGACAAGCGGATTTTCAGCACAGGCTGCCATAGTGAGTTATACTTATTTCGAGTCCCAAATGCCATACTAATATAAATTAGCTGAGCAGGATAAGATGAATGATTGCTATTACGCAAAGAAAGACTGGCGCGAATGCAAAAAGGAGGTGAGCTATAATATCCACCGATCTGAACATACATCATTCCACCTGAAGCCATTGAAGGGCCAGTTCCGCAATGATCACTATACCACTTCTTCAAAGTCCGATAAATTGAAGGACAACAAAAAGCTTCAATTATCAAAATCATACTGACTCTAGTTAACACAGATGGAAGCTTTCCGCGAGTGCTGGAAGCGCCAGGGCAACGACCAGCGAACACAGACCAAAGACGCATGATGTACTCTACTTATCCATAATACCATGTTCAAATAGTCTCATACAATCAATCCCACTCAATATTCACCCAATCCTCCCAACATTGACAAGAACGAAGCTACCAAACCCACATCACGTGACTGCATATATTCGCCTCGTTGCAAGACCTCCCTCCTCCTTCCATTATCAACAACACAAGCCACGATGTCAGCTCCTCTCCGTATCCGGTCCTGGCGGGCAATTGAGACCCTCCAAAATGCGACCCAGCTTTCGCGCTCCTCAAGAGCCCCCAATCTACGAACCAGCCAGCTCTCCACCCCCATAACCAAAAGAGCAATCAGCAACAGCACCAAAAAGCTAAACAACCAAACTACCGTCAAACCCACACCTGCATCTCCAGTCACAAAGCCCTCCCCCTCAGCTTCAACGCCTATCCCAACAGGCGTCCCCGCATCCCGCCTCCCAAACTCGACCCCCAGCCGCGCAACAACCGAAAACATCTCCAAAACAGGCCTATCAGATAAACCCCTCGAGCTTGATAACCCAGCCGAAGAGAAAATCGACTGGACGCGCTCTTTCCATGGTCTATCTGCTGCGCCATTCCCCAAAGAATGTGCCGAGATCCTGCTGGCGGAGGTGGAACCCGACGAGGTCGAGATCAAGCCCGATGGAATTCTCTACCTGCCGGAGATTAAATACAGACGGATTCTCAACCGCGCTTTCGGTCCTGGTGGGTGGGGTCTCGTGCCGCGGAGTGAGAGTATTGTTACGCCGAAGACGGTGACGAGGGAATATGCTCTTGTTTGTAATGGACGGTAAGCATCATATTTCCCTTTTCTTTTTCTACAGTCTTGCGTATTGTCTATCAGGCTTTATTTCCAGTGATTCCAATCTGTAACAAGAACAAAGAATTCTCAGCTAACGCTTCTCTCTCCAGCCTCGTCTCCGTCGCCCGCGGCGAACAGGACTACTTCTCCCCGGACGGAATCCCCACCGCCACCGAAGGCTGCCGATCGAACGCGCTCGTGCGCTGCTGCAAGGATCTAGGCATTGCGAGCGAACTGTGGGACCCGCGCTGGATCCGCAAGTATAAGACTAAGTACACGCGTGAGGTGTTTGTCGAGCATGTGGTTACTAAGAGGAAGACTAAGATCTGGACGCGGAAGGATGATCCTGTTGGATATCCGTGGAAGGAAAGTGGTAAATAGGTTTTTTAGTAGAGTTGATAGTGGCTGGCTGGGCTTTGGCTTTTACCTAGACTCGGCCATACTTGTATTATAGAAATTTGTATTCGATGTGTGTTAGATTATGGGAATATTATCTGTTTCTCTGCTCAATAAATTCATTGGACGAAGTATTGACTCCTATATCAGAGCTTTCTTTTATACATATGAAGTACACGTCATCTGTCAGATATCTAACACCTTTCTGTCCCCACATCAGCTGTCATCTCTGTTGTTAGTTATAAGGACATCAGTTGATACTATGCGACACAGTAGAATAATCGCAGTAAAAGAGTGAAGGAAAAAGAAGAAGATAGATTTGATTTTAAAACCCCAAAGATCGGGAATGGCATAGCTTCATAGCCGCACACCACGAAAGGGAGGAAATTTTATGCGGCTCAAAAAACGCAAAGAAAAGAATCTATGTATCGACATCACACACATAATATGAACAACCCAAGAAGAAGAAAAAAAAAAAGGTAGGTAGCCAAGAATGGGTAATCAGGAGTACAAAAACATAAAAAGAAGAGAGAACAATCAAGACTCATGCTCACCATAGGGAGACTTATCCTTCTTCCTCAGCGGACCAGGGTTGTAAGGAGGCGCCGCCTGCTGTGGGGCCACCGACTGGGGCGGGGAGTAGATAGACGGCGGCGAGACGGGGTCATAGTGGTCAGAGAGCTGGTAATTGCTGCTGGCCGTCACGCCGGAGATGTTCGGGTTCGAACCGCTGCGGTCACGTCCCGGTGTGTTCTCAACGCTGTAGCCGCCAACGGGAATCTGGTTGTACCCCGTGTCGTGGGTGTAGTAGCCGTTGAAGGGGTTGGGGTCTGGCGAGCCCACCATCTGGATGGTGCTCTGGGTTTGGTCCTCGTTTGAGTGAGGGCGCGGCTCATAGCGAGCGCTGTGACGGGAGCCTGGCTTGGGAGTCTCGAGCATGGGCACTTGACTCGAGGATGGGGTCATGCCTGCGCGGACGGGGGAGAGAGGGGGGTTTCTGGGCGCGAAGTGGGCATCCTGCTCGTGGTAGGAGACGCGATCGCCGAGCTTGCGGTGGCCTGTTGACAGGCCGCCAATTGTTTCGCTTCCGCTGTGCACGTTGAGCTGATTGCCTTGGTTGGAGGCGTTGGTGGCAATGCGCTGGAGGGCATTCTCGTGGCTGTCGTGGATGTCACGGCCGGCGTCGACGGTTGGGGAGCGAGCGTTAAGCATTTCGACGATGGCGGCCTCGCGCTCAGCGTTGGTCTGGGTGGAGCCGCGGTGGGTGATTGTTCCTGAACGATCCTGATCGTATCCTGTTGACTGGGCTGTGTTCTCGTAGTTGACGATGCCTGCCGCAGCAGCGGCGACACCGGGGTCAGGCTTAGAGAAGTCGGCACCGCCGCCCTGGGTAGACTTGCGGCGACCTGGGCCTGCACCAGCGCCGGCATCATCGCCATCTGCTGCGTCGGCAGTTTCTTCTGCGGGAGCTTCAACACCTGGACCGCGAACCTGAATCTTGCGGACGGCTAGGACCAAAGCACACAGGAACTTGGATCGCCGGGCAGCGCGAACAGTCTCGTTAGACCAGTTAGACTTGTGACGGATGTCAACACGTAGCTGGAGCTTGTCCATATCACCAACGCCATCGAGCTCAATGTCGATATCCCGCTGGAAGTCACGGTTGTTCTCCTTGTCGCGAACGAAGTTCTCCATCTCCTGGCGCAGCAATTGAACCTCAGCAAAGGTAGTGTCGAAAGCTACGGGGATGACAAGGTGTTCGTGCATAGCATTGGCACGAGTGAAGTTGTCAACCCAAAGACTGTTCAGAATGTTGTTAGGCACCTGCGTGATGCGGGAATCGGTAACACTGCGAAAGACGGTGAAAAGAAGCGAGATACGCTCAACGATAAAGGGCTTATCGCTGACCTCAACACGATCACCGATATCGAAGGGATGCTTGACGAAGAGGAAAATACACGATCCAAGAACTTCTTGAGCGGTAACGGAGAAGACGAAACTGAGGGAGAGCAGCGAGGTGGCACCAGCTGCAATGACAGTACCGAATCCAGTGGTGACGAAAGAAATGAAGACAAGAACAGAGACCAGACCAGCAACACACATGAGCAGGTTGTCTAGCACACGAATAGCCTGGTCCACATCGTGCATGCTGTGGTTCAGGGCTTTTCTCATGCGTCCAAACTCAGTGATGGTCAGGACCATCTCGTCAAGACTGATATCACCATTGCCATCCCTGTCAAGAGCCAGGAAGCACTCTTCAGCCTCAGCCTCGTGTTCAGCACCCAAGACCTCGACAATGTCATCCATGAACAGAGCCTCACGGCCTTCAACCACAAACGACATCCAGATACGGCGGGCAAGCGCTGCAGCATGGCGCTTGCGCTCAAGGGCCTCGATGACCATCGTGTGTGTCGAAGTCGGGTTAAACACTTGCTTACCAGTAAGCTCTGACGCAACGTGTCCAAAAGCGGCAGTAACCTTGTCGCCAACACGGCCAACGTTCTTACCGACATGGCGGAGCATGCGGAGAGGCATAGCGGATGACCGCTTGCCATTGGTGCCAGCCTGAGCCAAGACAGAGTCGAAAATGAGCGAATCCTCGTCCTTGAATTCAGGGCAGTACACGGGGAACATATTGCGCGAAGCCTCGAAGAGGAGACTGACCAAGTGCACATTGCGCTTGGAGATCTGGATTTTGGCGTCGAACTGCTTGCGGTGGTAATTGATCGAGATGAGCTGCACAAGAGCTTTCTCGACGAGGTAGATAAGACTGCAGACAAGCAGCGCGAACAAAATATTCTTGACAGTTTTTTCCCACCCAGAAACAGACGTGGAGCCGGCTGCCTTCTGAGCAGGATTGTAGTTCATAACCGGCAGGAAGGTCACGAGGGAGATAATAGCCCAGATCAAAAGCGCAATGGGGGTCTCGAGGGCGCGCAGAATAAGAGCATACTTGCGGGTACCGGAGCTGACGATACCGCACAAAAACTGGAAGAAATAAGGAATGTAACGGGCGAAGATCTTCGACGCCCACAGACTGAACCAGACGATCTCAATCCAAGTAAAGAACCAGTAAATGTGAACACCGCCAATTTTGGCGTCCGTCGCAACGGTGGCGCCCACAATGATGGGAATCGCGATCAAAATCGCAATGGGAATAACATAAATCAGGTAACGAGTGATGAGGGAGTAATTCAGCACAGCTTGGTAGAAACGGCCCATACGGTTGATGGTGCCGTCCTCGGGCGCCTCAGCACGCTTTCCGTTCATTTCATTGATATCGGTATCCGTGCGACGCCTGCCGCCAGGGCCACGGTGCTGCTTAATGATAGGATCCTTCTCCGTGTTTGGCGAGGTGCAATCCTCAGGGCTGTTGTTGGTGTTCCATTTACGGGCGCCCGTCTGGCCACGGGAAGTTGTCTCCGTCAATGGGATATCAATGGTGACGTCGTTGGGATTCAACATCCCATTGCCATGATCCGGCATGTCGTGCAGTTGCTCAAATCGGTGAGCAGTCAGTCGTCTGGTGGAAAGACTGGAACTTCTCATCGCAAGGAGCTCGTGGGCAGGCACGACCTTTATTGTGCCTGTGCAGATCCACCCCTAAACCCAGTGGGTTCGATTGGAGAGGGGAGCGCCTTCGTGTCTATAGTGGAGACGCGAAAAAAATAGTACCGTTATAGCACGCACACCAGGTCCGTAGCCCTGCTGTTTTTTTTGCCTCCCCCTCGCCGGATGAACCAAAAAAAAAAAAAAATCCCGAACGTACTTTTTCTTGCTTATGGTAGCTGACGGATATGCCTGGCTATGGCTGACTATTATTGCCGGACCAGTGTGTGTGGCTTCGGGAGTCGATCGTTCAATGTCAATGGCCAAGAAGTAGTATGTGGAGATGTGGATCGCAATTGTATGCGTTAGTTGTGTAAGAAGATCCAAAAGCTGCAAATGTACATATGTACAGTAAAGGAATGACTAAATCTTAGAGAAAGAGAGGAAGAAAAGAAAGATGAAAGACTTGAAAGAAGAAAACGCGAACCCAGATACATCGAACGGACATGCCGTGTTTCAGCAGGACCCGTTGGGGGGAAACGGGCAAAAATGTGAGACCGCCTTCTTCCCCCTGTGGAATCCTTCCAGCCTTATCATTTGTTGTTTTACTCTTTAGTCCCTGTCCTTATTCCCGATCAACTCTAGATTACTCCTGAGACCCTCTCCTTCTCCATTTCGCCTTATACCCCATCTCATTTAGTACATTAATTTACGTGGCCACCCCCCGAACACGATCGTGAACGCGAATTCCAATATGGATGCAGGTCCACTTCCAACCCCACATCTCGATGTGACTGATCGTCCAATGAGCACCTCACATCAGCGGGTGGCTTGAGATCAAACGAGCCTACGGAGTATTATTCAGCTGGCCAACAGGAACGAAGAACACAGTGATCCTTTATGCATCAGATGCACATAATGACATATTTTATGCTGAAGCGGCAGGGGATAAAGACCCCCTGCTTTACGCGCGCGAATCAACATGCATCTTCTTCAGCGCAGCAACAACCTGCTGCCTATCCCAACCGCCCTCCAACCCCCGCACAACAATATCCTGCTCACTCTCCGGCGCCATACCACCCACTCCGGGAGGTCTCTGATCTAAATTAGTGGGGAAAGGATATCCCTCCGCAACAGCCTGCACAAAAGCCCTAATCTCCCTCTGCTGCAACGAATGCGTATTGGGATCGAGTTCCTGCCCCGCCAAAGCCCCTCCAGCAGCCCGGAACCGCTGAACCAGCACATCCCAAGCGGAATCAATAAGCGGCACGGAATCAACTGTCTCCATAGGTTTTCCAAACGCACTACTAATCTGCAGCAAATTCGCCACACGTCGGAATCCCCCATTATCAGGATCCATCTGATTCGCACCAGCAGCATGGAAAAGCGCCGGGTTAAAGAACAATCCGTCTCCGAAACTCAACGGAAGCGCAACATATCTCTCCTGGAAGAAAGCACGGAACTCAGGCTTGCGCCACGCTAGATATCCAGACTTATATGTCTGACTGAAAGGCAGGAAACGAGTTGGCCCACTGGCGACAGGCATATCACTATGCGCGACAGCGCCCTGCAGCGTCAGGAACTGCGATGTCAATTGCACCGTGGCCGGGTAGCGCTTGCAGGCGACCTCTTCCTGGAATCCGAGGTGGTAATCGCGGTGTGCTTCCTGTGCGGCGCCGCCCGGGTGCACGGCGTTGACTTGGGCGGTCACGCGATATGCCGGACCCAGCCAGGACTCAGCAACGGCTGCTAGCCATGGGTTTGAGTAGTAATCAATGAAGGAGGATGGGTCTTGGAGGGCGTGTTTTGAGAATGAGTTCCAGATACGGTCGTTTGTGCCGCCTACGGCGAAATGGTCGCCTTTCTTGGTATCTGATTGTGCGGCTTCGTGGGCGATGATCGCGTTGAAGGCGGTGTTTGTGTTGTTTAGGGTTGTTTCGTATTTTGACGGCGCGTACATTGATCGTAGCACGTAGACGCCCGGGCCTGTGTGGAGGATGTGGTGCCATTCATCTTGGAGGCGGGTTATCAGGTCTGCGGTCAGGCCTGTGGATTCGAGGGCTTCGAGGTCGTAGATGGGGATGTTGGATTTGACTTCGCAAGCTAGTGGGTAGGTTTCTGGGTCTGTGGTTCGCGAACAGATCTCTTTGAATTCGGAGAGCTGCGGGGTGGAAGGGGTGTAAAGACGGGATGAAACTGCGTGGCTATTCATGATTGCGTAGATTGCGTATATCGTACTTCTGTATCTGACATACGGAGGGCAAAGTATGAGTCTATCCCAATTGATGCATTCGGTGAACCGTTTAAATATTTTTTCTGAGCGGAAAATAATCTCCATCAGTTCCCCGCATTTCATCTTGAAGACTATGACATCGAGTTGCGACTCGGAAAAAGGTTTCCGTTTAGCATATGAACTTCAAGAAGTTCAAAGGGAAGAATAGCAAAAGAGTTCTAGACCTAGATGGGTATCACAGCTATCAAGCAGTATAGTACAGGTCTACCGCTACCACTGAAGCACAAAAAAAAAAGAAAGCCAAATAAACCATTCAGTCCTCCCGGACGCCAAACAAGCAACAGGAGAACGCCGAGCGCAGAGAAAGCCTTCATGTCTTATAAAAAAAGACCAAGGCTCATGCATAAAATAAGTGGCATCCGTGTGTGTGTGTGTGTGTGCCTGTTTCATAAGATCCAAATGTTCCCAACCCACGCAAATCTATGCTTGAATTTCAAAAAAAAAAAAAAAAAAACGTCTTTTTTAGCCAGAACAGGAGAAAAGCAGGAGCAGGAAAAAGAATTTCGTAAACGGTGCGTGACTGGGCACTAGGCACCCGTGGCAATTCATGCATTCATCATGACCGCTCCGAGGTCCGATGTGAGGACCGATTCGGACGGCGTGGGTTGGTTGTTGTTGGATTCACCAAGGATGGTGTGTTCAGACATCGTCTCGAGCAGCGCACTCGGTCTTCCGGTAACGGTGAAGAGGACCTTCATAAGGAGGGTAGGGCCTTGTCCGTTCAGACCGCCTTGGGGTTGGCGCCGGGTGTGGGTGAGCAGTACGCGGACGAGCTCGCGGATGGCTCCGTCCGTGGACGTGTTGTGGATGGCGTCTAGGCCGTCGATTATAAAAACCAGGAGTGGTGGGGCGGATTGTAAGAGAGTGTCGACTAATGATAGCGCGGCTTTCCAGCTGGTGAGAGTTCCGTCTAGTTGGCGGAAGCGCTCTGCGCTGAGATCCAGCACAGCGTCGCTGTCGACTACGGGAGGAAGCCAATCGATTAATTGCCGGATTATACTGTAGGTGAGGGCGATTAAGCCTTGCTCCTGTAGACTCAGGCCTTTGGCCTCCTGTTCAGGAAGGGCGCAGAAGTGAGAGACGACGGGCAATCGAGCTTGGCGTGCGAAGGAGGCATAACAGGCTGAAATTAGAGCCACGGGGTCGAGGGAAGCGGTAGGTTGAGTCCCGCCCACGGCTAGGGCCTGAGATCGTGAACTGGTGGCCCATTGTTGTAGAGATGCAACGATACTACCCTCGGCGACGACCTTGACTTCGGGTTCGTAGTCGCAAATTTGATCATCACTATCGAAGAAGTCCTGGAGATGCTTAGATGAACTTTGAATCTCGAGTCGTCCGAGACGGCGCTTGTTTCCCCTGGACCATTCAAAGGAGGATGTATCTATCAAACTGCGTTAGATCGCGCATCCAGTCACAATATGCCGTTATGAGCTCCCTACCTATATTTGGAGCAGGAGGTGTGGTCATGCAAACGATGCCACTGCTCTGTTCGTTGACCGGCTCCAGTTGCTCGCGTACAGAACTCAATGTCTCTGCCAACAATCGATCTCTGCCCTCCCTATACCGAACACGCTCCTCTGCATCTTGCTGGATTTCCCAGATGAGCCGACGGGTGATGGTATTTTGTGCCGCTATCCGACGGTCTGTTTCCCGGCGTCCTACTTGGCTGAGTCGGGATTCCTCCCAAAGTGCCCGAGCACTATACGGGTCCTCCTCCTCCTCATCGACGTCCATAGCGACATGTTGCCACGGAAGGTTCTGTGCTTGCAGTTGTATATAGAGGACTAAGTGATGAAATTCCGAGTACACATCCTGGCTATGCATGTTCAGTAACTGGCATGTGGACCTCCGAACATACCAGTCCATGAATTCGGTCAGAAAGAAGAAAATTAGAGCGTAGGTTTTCGTAATATGTGGGACGGCGTTTGAGATTAGGCTAGGATCACTAGGGAGACCTAGAGCATCGTGAATATTTAGCAGGGCAGTAGCTAAGCCCTCCATTACGCGTGGGTAATGCGACGATGCCTAACCCGTATATGTTAGTGCGAGAAACTCTGTATCTAGATTCATCCACGGACCTTGATCACTGATTGCAGGACTCCGTAGAACAAGGGGGTATATGCCATAGGGTCTGGGAGGGAAGAAAGGAGGGTCGCGTGAGTGTCCATAGTCGGAAGGAGTCGATCGCACAGGTCCATGGAATCGCTAAAGACCCGTTGTCGAGGGCGGGACATCCAGAATGTCTTGATATTGCCGAGCAAGGTCTGCACGTCAATTACTGTCTGTGGTCGTTCCTCCCATTGAACCTGATCCTGGGGTAGAAGGAGGCTGATAAACCGTTTCCAAGTGTGGGCCAACTCGTTCCGTTCGACATCGAGTTCGGCGATGGCGGGGGTCCTGTACGGAATACGGGGGTTAGAAGGGAGAGGCACTTGACAGGGTGACTATGGATCATCATTCTATATGAAGAGAGGCTTACGACGAGATTGGCTTCCCGTCAAAGCGGTGTTGCCAGGCCCGGCTCGGGATGGCAGTCTCGGGCATGATGCTGCCCACAGAGTTGATAAAGACAAAGCAGTTTTTTTTTCCTATTTCTTCACGACATATCCCAATAACGAGAGATGGGAGTTTTTTGATGCCGATGATAAGAATGGAAGGAAATGATGGAGAGGAAGAATTGAACTTTTGACGTGAAGGGCGGGTTTTGCCGCTCAGAGAGAGGGGGACGAAGCTAAAAAGAGAAAGAGAGAGAGAATTCTATTAATACCCTTTATATATTTTTTTTTCTCTATCTTTTTTTCTTCGATGTTAAAGGTGATCTAGAGCAGGTCTTATCTGAGAGTTTATTTCACTTTTTATTTTTCCTTTTTGCTTCGTTTTTTTTTTTTTGTTTTTTTCCCACAAGTGCTACTAGTACGGAATTACATACATTTTGTACTTTTTGTAGTACTTTGGAAGAAAATATAGGTCTGGTCGATGAGAGCCGAGGCCCTAGCTCTCTCCACTGGGGAAATTTCAATTTTATTTTTATTAACTTATATATATGGATAGGTATACTGCGTATGTACAATATAAGTATCAGAATGTACATATGTATATTATAGTTTTCCCATATCATATTATAAAACAACCCTGGGGTATACTAAATAAAGCGGGGAGTTAACGGAGAACACAACTTTACTTAAAACATCTCTCCCCGGGTGTTCGCGTCTCCAGGTTTCATTCTCGGTCTAGATAACATGAACTTATAGGATATAAAGAGTTGACAGGAGAGACATTAGAGGAACTTGATAAGGTTTTAGTCCAATTCAAGAGCTCACCCCCTCTTCTTCTTTGCTTTTTTTTCCCCTTCTCTCTCTCTGTATGTCTCTCTCTTTCCCTTTGTGGGTCAAAATACATGGGGTGCGTCGGTTGTCCAATCCAACTATAGAGATATCTGCGGGGGAGCGTTAATGGTACAACGATAATCCTAGAGGTGAAGAAGTTTATTGAGCGTATGTCAGACCATGGGGATGACCGGATTAAATGTCTCGGGCCTAGAGGGGTGGAGGCGAGAAAGACGGAAGTCCGGGATTTCCATGAAATGGGCAAGTTGGGCGATTAGACCGAATACGAGACCGATGAACATTCATTAGTCGGGTAAGTCCAGCGATGCCCAGGTGTTAGTTCGTTAATATGTGATGAATTATTGGGGTTGTGATCGTCAATTGCATGGGGTTATATAACCTTACAAGGATGGATCCGTCAATTGAAAATGTAGTAAAATCCGGAGTACGGAGTACTAGGGTAGCATTCATGATATAAGAACATTATATCATTATAACATATATAATATATATATCATATATAACATCTTTGTATATCAAACTGGAAAAATATAAAGTAAAGTAGATAAACAATGCAATTTATAATATAATACAAATCCGCTTTGATCCCCTGGAGATTAGGGCCGATCATCTCTTCTCCCCTCATTTTTCTGATTTTCCCGGTTTCTCTTTTTCTAATGCTCCATCCACTTGACTAATGTGACCCCCCACATTATTCTATTCCGCCGTCTCCCGTCATGGGGCTGTTTCTTTTCTTCCTCTTGTTCTTCTCAGTCCAAGCAGATGTAGTATCGTTGCCATCAAATACTACCGTTCAAAGTCCACCCGCGGATTTCCTTATTCGGGGAAGCACTCTGACTGGCCAGAAGCTTTTCCCCCTAACCAAGTCGCTGATTCAGTCGACCACTGCCCAACTTAAGGTCTTGTAAGCTCTCTATTACATGGGACCATCGCTGACATCTTCCCAGTCTTTCAATTTCTCTGGCTTTGTCACTCAGGTCAATCCAAGCAATTCCCTTGACTTGAAACCATACCAAATCGCTTGTATATCTTGCGACGAGGACGAGTATACCGGAAATATCCGAGTTGACGAGACAATTGAATACGTCACCTCTTCTCAATCCGCTGCTGCCATTCTGCTATACAGCAAAACAGCTATCGGCTGCAATTTTACATCCGATGAACAGACCGCTGAACACTTTCCCAATATCTTCACTTTCGCAAGCCCATCCGGCTATTCGGCATTGCTCCGTGCTTTCGATCAACCAGCAATTATCAGCATCATCTCAATGTCGTTACTCTCATCTCCTGCCAATGGCAACACCGACACAGGTGACAGTCCAAATACTGGTTCGTATCCTCGATTCCTCTCTATCTTATTCGGTCTATTGACTTTCCCTCCCCAGCCATGATCATCCTGTACAGTATCACGGGCATCATCACCGCACTGTTCCTAGGAATCATTATCACAGGTGCAGTCCGGGCTCATCGTCATCCAGAGCGATACGGCCCTCGCCGGATTGCCGGCCGGGTCCGACAAAGCCGAGCTCGAGGTATAGCTCGAGCCATGTTAGATACCATACCAGTGGTCAAGTTTGGTGATGACAAAAACGATGACGTGGATGCCGCCAAAAGAGACGTCGAAATGACCATGGGTACTGAGGATGCCAGCCATGAGCGCCCTGCGCCCCAGGCTGACAAAAACATCACCGAGGTACCGACGCCTCGTGAATCTGAAATGCCAATGCCAACCCCAGACGATCATGAGCGCCCCACCCCCACAGCCCCCGAAGCCAAGACCGAGATGCCCGATGCAGGGAACTTCTCGTGTCCGATTTGTACAGATGACTTTATCAAGGGCCAAGATCTACGTGTACTGCCCTGTAACCACCAATTCCACATGGAATGCATTGATCCATGGTTGATGAATGTGTCCGGCACCTGTCCCCTTTGGTATGTTCTATTTGATATTGATATCTTGATATATCGATAACAAATCAACACCCATACATGAACCTAAGCTAACCATATCCCAGCCGCATCGACCTCAATCCACCGCAAGCCGAAAACCCAGAGGGAACCGAAGAAAATGCCGACCAACCACACCTAGAAGGCGCAGCAATCCTGACAACGGAAGATGCCCGGCAGCAAGCCCGTCAGCAAGCCCGGCACACGCATCGCCGTCTCACCAACTACCTGCACGGACCCCTCAACGCCCGACGAATGCGCGACGCCACCGTTGAGGAACGCATCGCCGCACTGCGACGCGTGCGCGAGGCAAACCAAGGCGATTCCGCGCCCGAAGAGGTAGCACGGCGTGGCCTGACCACCCGGCTACGCGATCGCTTCCGCATCCGAACACACGCTCACGGAGTCGAGACTGAGACTTCCCCTGATGCCGATAATGCTCCGTCTTCCCCGGCGCCTCCAGCGGCCGCCCATCTCACGCCGTCTACTGCATGATGCATGATGCATGATTATCGATTCACTCCTTTACATATCACTCCTTTCACGTTTTTGCATATATTTTCGATTTACGATTCCGATGAATTTAGGTCCTCGGTAGGAGGCTATCTGGCGTTTTTTTTTTTTTTTCTTTTCTGATGGGTTCTGGTTCCTCTGTTCATATGATGGATTTGGAAAGAGCATTGGCGTTGTTTCAAACGGGGGAGGAAAAGAGAGACTGGTTTTTTTTCTAAGTGACTTATTTGTATCTGTTTTTCCTTCTCTGCATATACTTTTTTTTTTTGTATATCATGGATTTAAGGCCACATACATTTCAATTTACATCCATTTGGGTCGGATGCATTCGTGTACTTTAGATAAGAGTAGTTCAAGGATGAGAGGTCTAGACTCAGTTCGATATCCGCGTCATCGACTCACGAGACACTGTCAAAATATAGTTGAGGCTGTGTCGGGTCAGGCCTTACCATGGATTATGCAGCTTTATCTTTAAGAACCAAGATCAGAGCCGATCCTCTTTTTTTTTCAAATGAAGTCTTGGAAGCCTTAGGAAGGTAAAACTCATGAAAGTAGTTACTTACTTTGTATAATGATGCCAAGATATCCAGGCACGAGTCATGGGGATCGGCTGACAATTACATCAGCGGCTGACACAAATCTGGTTTCACCCTTCACCGGGTGTACATCATATACGGGTGGACTGTTTCGATGTCATGTGAGAGGGATATAGAATCATATCATAGTACCTTTTTGATTTTATATAGTTATACATATCATTATATTCACAAAGTACCTAGAATCTTTACATAGATACTCCGGCAAAATACACTCTTCAACATTATCTGTTTTCTGTGGGGAATAGAAATCGGAGTAAGTCCGCCCTAATTGCTAATCCGCTTCGTTTCATTTCTCCGGAGTCCACGTCCCGGGATCTTCCTTTATTTTAGGTCCCCCTCACAAGTGTGGGGGAATGACACCTGTACCCATGTTGTACGGAGTACGGAATACCATATGGAGCAGTTCAAGTATTCGGAGAAGAGGAAGGTCGTCTCCGCACAGTTGCAGAACTCAACCGGCACTACGGAGGACTGATAATGTCTTACATGCCGAGTGAAATTATACAAAGTACAGCCGAGACCTCATGCAATGATAGCCCTTTCTTCCAGAAGGGACTCCACACTGCGTCTTTTTTCGGCGGTGTTGTATGACACATGGTTTATTCTGGTCGGCGGATGTGGCCTGTCGGAGAAGTGCCCAGGGAATATATTGGAGATTTTGATCAGGTGTTTTATCCTGGTTTTATATCTGGGTGATAGAATAATAACTCAATAGCTTGACTATTCCAATTATTCTAGATACTATAGTAACATGTGAACTTCAAACGAGAATGATACGGCAAGTTCGTCCCTCGGTATCTTTTGCGCCGAGGATATAGACCCTGAAGATATGAAATATAAAGGAAGAAAAAAAAGTACCAAGCTTGCAACATTGGAATATCTGTTTATCTTCAAAGTGTGCGCCAATTTCAACGAAAAAACAAGATACTCCACCCCCTCACTCCATCCCTCCATCCGGTGAACGCAAGCAGGAATATCCCGTTTCGGTGTCAGATTCCGGGGAAAAACATACGTTGTACCTTTGTATTTTTTTTATATAATTTACCATGTCCATTCAATCCGCAAGAGAGCGACTTTCCTCTCTATCATCACACATCATGAGTTCCTCCAATCCCTCAGTATTCACCGCGGCCTCCGTGGCCGCCGCCCCCGAAGATCCTTTGTTTGGACTTATGAAGGCCTATCGCGAAGACCCCTCCGATAAGAAAGTTGATCTCGGCATCGGTGCTTACCGTGATAACAACGCGAAGCCCTGGATTCTGCCTGTCGTCAGGAAGGTATGATATCTAAATCTATATACTCCTATCTCGATATATCCATCTAACACAGCTACAGGCCGATGACGCCATCCACAACGATCCCACCCTCAACCACGAATATCTCTCCATTGGCGGTCTCGCCGAGTTCACCTCCGCCGCCCAGAAACTGATTGTTGGCGCAGACAGCCCGGCAATTCTTGAAAAGCGAGTACGTACCTCCTTGTACCTTCCCCAAGTACCCTGCGCGGATACCCAACTAACCCCTCACTAGATCTGTTCTCTGCAAACCATCTCCGGCACCGGTGCCGTCCACCTCGGTGGCCTCTTCCTCTCCAAATTCCACCCCCAAAAGCCCGCAATCTACCTCTCCAACCCAACATGGGCAAACCACAACCAAATCTTCTCAAACGTCGGCCTAACCCTAGCCAAGTACCCTTACTTCTCAGCCGAGACCAAAGGCCTTGACTTCGATGGCATGATCGCAGCTCTCGAAGCCGCCCCCCAAGGCTCCGTAATCCTCCTGCACGCCTGCGCCCACAACCCAACAGGCGTCGACCCCACCGAAGACCAATGGAAGCAAATCGCCGAGCTCATGCGCGCCCGCTCCCACTTCCCCTTCTTCGACACAGCCTACCAGGGCTTTGCATCCGGTGATCTGGTCCGTGACTCCTGGGCCATCCGCTACTTCGTCGAGCAGGGCTTCGAGCTGTGCGTCGCACAGTCCTTCGCCAAGAACTTCGGCCTGTACGGTGAGCGCACGGGCGCCTTCCACTTCGTTTCTGCGCCTGGTCCAGACGCCGCTGCTGCGTCGTCGCACATCGCTTCCCAGCTGGCTATTCTGCAGCGCTCGGAGATCTCGAACCCGCCTGCTTACGGCGCGCGCATTGCTAGTCGCGTGCTTAATGATCCTGTTCTCTTTAAGGAGTGGGAGGCCGATCTGCGTACTATGAGTGGACGGATCTTGGAAATGAGACAGGGATTGAGGGATCGTCTTGAGCAGCGTGGTACGCCTGGTACATGGGATCATATTACTTCGCAGATTGGAATGTTTAGTTTCACTGGTCTGTCTGAGGAGCAGGTTATGACGCTGCGCTCCAAGTGGCATGTCTACATGGTATTTTTTTTTTTTTTTTCCTTTGGAGCTGGTGTATTGGATATACCTCGTTTGGAATTGTGGTTGCTGACTTTCTTTTTTCCTAACAGACAAAGAACGGCCGTATCTCAATGGCCGGCTTGAACACGAATAACATTGACTACTTCGCTGAGGCGGTTGATAGTGTTGTTCGTGAGTCTGCTAAGTTGTGATACCTATCTGATACCCCGGTCTCGACATAGAGTGGAGACACTCGAGGCTTGGTTTGGCGTTTTATTTGCTTTTTGAAGAAATCTTTTTTTCTCCTTGGGAAGTTCGGAAGGACTTTCATTAATGCATCAATTTACCATACTCTGGGACTTCGGTCTTGATTTCGCGTTTCTAATTCCTTTGGACACACCCGTGGACCTTTGGGTTTGGGGTTGTATTAAATATCACATGCATCACATGCAAATTATAGATATAGCAGTGTGGCATTTAAACTACTAGTGATCATTTTGTTCAATGGTCTATGCAGTATCCTCCTCGTTCGTATGGGATATAAAATTTCGATTTGGCAAGACTGGACTGTCAATTGTAAGGTCTGTAAGAATTATACAGCCCAACAGCCAGATACAACAGCCACCACATCGTAATTGAGCAGGAGAGCTTAGATAATATGCTATATTCCAATGAAATAGACATAATGGCATCTGGATATAGAAACACTTTCCATAAAGCTTCTGGAATAAAAACCTGTTCAGTGTATCGGGACTAAAAGACCAAATCCCAAACCACAAGCCAGGTACACAACCCGACAGTACCCCAGAACACAGCCTGAGCCGTACTCCGTCGCTCAGTAGCACGCTTCAGCTCACGATTTCCCTGTCCGACATTCGTCTGCGTCGTATCCACGTCCGAGACAAGCTGGGAAATATGCTCCTCCTGCGTAGCGAGGTGAGAGACCAGCGTTTCCTGCAAAGAGGAGATCTCAAGGAGAGATTTCTCGGCGTTTCTAAAAGAACCTGTATTAGCCTCACGTCTCCAACAAAATCAATCCCAAAAAAGAAACCTACTGGACCTTCCCCAACGTATCCTCATAATGCCTAAGCATAGTATCATTCTCCTCCGCAAAAAGCTGCAACTGCTCCGGCGAAAGCTGCGCCTCGATCCGCGCCGTATCCGCCTCACTCAGAACCGTCGCATCAGGCGCCTGGAAAGCAGGATCGAACGAGCCCGCCCCCGCAACTCCAGCCCTCTCCACAGAAACAGACCCCTTCCGGCCCGCACTCCCACTCCCAGCAGCAGCCTTCCCCGCAGCAACCTTATAAAGCACACTCTTCTCCTTTTCCCGCACCCTCTCAATCCTCTTCTCGACCATCCGACGCTGCACACTGACAGCGCTCTCCAGCCCGCGCCTCAGGAACCAAAGCACGCTCTCGCGGACCGTGGCTATCGAGCGCGCAATCTCCTCTGCGCGCAGCTGCTCGGCGGATTTGCCCTCGTCGACGTTGGAACTGTCTAGTGCACCGCTTCCGCCTGCCCAGCGCCACAGGAGGGCGCCGGCGGCGGAGTGGCCGTATTTCTTGTGCAGGAGGGTGGAGGAGGTTTCTTGGCGGAGGGATTCGGCGGAGGAGAGGTTTGCGATTGAGGTTGCTAGGTCGCGGAGGAGGAGGGCTGTTGAGGTGTCGACTGCGTCGCGTTCGGGGTCTGTGAGGATTGTTTGTGTGGTTGGTGTTGCGGGTGCATTTTTGGGGTTTGGAGTGGGTGTTCTTGTGGTTTGGTTACGGCGTTGTGGTTGTGGTTGTGTTGTTGAGAGGTAGGCGTGCCGGATTGATTGGAGGTATTGGAGGAGGGAGTGGATGTGTGAGTTCTAAGCGGTTTTGGTTAGGTTTGCTTCTTGTTTTGCTGGGTTTAGGTATAGTGGGTGTGAGTGCGGAGTGGCTTACGATTCGGTATGCTTCCTTTAGGAACTCATCGGGGGTTTCTGTGCAGGGTTTCCTGGTTTGAGGGAGAGATGAGTCTTGCTTTGAAAGCAGCTTGTTGAGAGTGGGTGTTAGGTCGGTCATTGTGGGAGTGGCATGGTCTGAAATGTGTGTAGCGTTGTTGCTATACAACTGTACACTTGTCGATCAACATTCAACGTCACTGCATAGGTGGTCTATCCCGCACCCCGCATTTTGTTTATACATACGGGTAGTACGTACTTGGAACAAAGATGGGATCAGGAATGTCACCAACTATATAAAACTGTTTTTGGCATTTGCTTTTCTTGCTTTTCATCATGCAACTTATCACTTCTCTAGTGGTATTGCATCTACACAGAACTAACCCATCTAACCACTGAACCTACATCACATCTATCTACAATGGAGGAAGCCAAAGTCCATCTCCTGCGAGTCTCCCCTCCATTTCCAGGCGGTTTTGATACTGCTTCAGTCGTGCCAAATGCAAAGGGCATGTCTGATCAAGAAATGCAAGAAATTGCCGCAAGACACAACCACATAAGTGGGTTCGTCTTCCCTGCACCGGCAGGCGCAGACTATCTCGACTACGAGATCCGCTTCTCGGCTCCATACTACGAAGTAGATATGTGCAGCCATGCAATGATCGGAACAGTGTGGCTACTATCAAAGCTTGGAATGATGCCGCGGGACGACGTCCGTATGATAACCAAGGGCGGTCATATTGAAGCAAGAATCAAGAAAATTACAGACAATACTGACAGCGCAGAGGATAGCATCTGGGTTGAATTCTTCCACCCGAAACCTGCCTTCCTTAGTGATGTGAGTCCTGAACACGCCAAAGCCATACTGTCTGATTTGGATATTTCGAGAGACGACATGGAACCTGGATTGCCAATCCAGAATGTTGGCACACACAAAGTGAAGACGCTGCTTGCGGTCAACTCGGTTGAAACATTGAATTCTTTGGAGCTGGAGCACCGTCGTGTCAAGAAGCTTTGTAACAAGGTTAAAAGCACTGCGTTGTATGTGTATGCTATCGTCGATCGCAGACAGCATGTGTATGAAGCGAGGCAGGTCCCTAGACATGCGGGATATTGGGAGGATACTGCGAGTGCCTTGGCTTTTGTGCTGCTGCTGAATTGTTTTATCAAACATGCTGATCCGAAAATCAAGATTAGGCAGGGTTCGAGCGAGGGCCGTTCTTGTGAGACTAACGTGAGGTTTAGGAGGAGGGGGGATGAGCTCGTCGGCACTTGGATTGGAGGTACCGCCGAGTTTGAGACTGAGAAGGAAGAGATCGAGAAAGAGGAGACCAAGAAAGAGGAGACCAAGAAAGAGGAAACCGAGAAAGAGAAGACTGAGAAAGAAGAGACTGAAAAAGAGGAGACCGAGAAAGAAGAGACTGAGGAAGAAGAGACTGAGGAGACAAAGACCACAGAGGACGATACTTGGTAGATACTGGAGAGACACGGGGTGATATTGTTATGAACATCTGACCAGCGCCTTATACAAGTCTGAATTGAAACAAATCCAACACATTAACCTGTGCCAACGTATTACCTGCCTGGTTAATTTTGGAGCCTTGAGTTGATTCAAAATATAAAATCAAGGATAACCAGGCTCGGGGAGTTGTAGTTACAAAACTAGACCTCGATACAGCCTATCCTTGTACAAGTTCGCGAGTGGCGACAAACCTACACGCTAGTGGTTTAGCATCGCACTTGACAGGTCATAGCTACGTGCCTTGACAAGGATCTGAAGTTCTAGACAAAGGACAAACACAACCCAGCTTGCGATTGGCGGAAACTACCCTGTCCATACGTATAACGTTAAACGTATCGTTCCATGGCGGACAAGGAATCAGCCAGGTTTCAGATATGTCGGCCAGACGTCACTTCGTGACACAATGCGATATAACTCTTACTTAAAAGGGCCTTCACACTCCCTTTTTAACAGTCATCAAATCTAACAATTATCCATCAGATTCATATTCAAAAATGGCACGTCCACCTCAAAACAAGCATCCAGCAGCAACCTCTACTGAGCTGCCCACTCTACACTGGACCCCGTCTATCACGCGGTCAATCACTTCATACTCCATGCCTCGCCAAAAAGAGCCCCTAGTGTCGAGCTTTGGCAATGCCACCGATGCCACAAATGACCAAATCCGCGACTACCACCACCAACTCAAAGCAACTCTCACAAATATCCTCAATGACGACCGAATGAAGCACAATCCTAGTGGAAGTCGCTGTGTGCAGAATATACTGTTGGAAAACGAGCACGATATGCGAAACCAACGAAGACATTCGCTGAGCTCATGTACTGCTAAGCGAACGATGCTATTTTAGATGTACCAATAGTACGGAGTACAAGAATGAACATGCTTTTTCTCACCGCGGAAAATGAGTATTAGTAGATTATTTCCAGTCTTGGCAAGTTGTTCTTCGGTAGTTCCAGAGCAACGTGGGCCACCATAGCCATACATGGTTAGGCAGGTCAATTTATTTTCTTTGTTCGCACGCCAATTGTGACAGGGGCTCTTGGTGTTGGGTTTTTGATTGGCCGGTGAATATTGGCCTTGCGAGGGGAAAAGGACCTAAAATAAATCTCGCTAGCCTGTTTTATCAGGGTTGCATCTTACAGCCATAGGTATTATACTCATTTCTTTCTGGTTTCGTTGATCTTGCTATATACCTGCTTCTCTTGCGTGTACAGCTAGATTGAAAGAGAATTAAATTAATGTTTCTCATACATTGGTCATATCTCCATGCTAAATACGCAAAACAGGGTATAGACAAAATCACCATGCTAATATCAACAGAGAATAGAATTCAGTCGCCATGCATCAAATCATTGTGCGTTCTTCCACCCAAATCTAAAGGATAAAAGTGAGAAAATGTACTCAAAAAAAAAAGATAAATCGCAGATAGACTCACCTCGATCTTCCCCATCTCACTTCCCTCCCGCCGAGCGACCTCTTTCGCCGAACTAACCAGCAAATCCAGATCTTCCTGATCTACCATGGTAATCATGTCTCCGTCATCTTGCACCTTCATTTTCAGAGCATGCTTGAACCCGAACTTTTCACGAATGCGATTTTCGAATTCCCCAAAGTCAATCTTCGGCCCAATCATGATATACCTAGTATCATCGGGAGCGTGCACTTTCGTTCTAAATTTCTGAATATCGGGTCTTCGCGGATTCGTGTGGCGGGAGTATCGTGCCGGGGAGCGAGTACGGCGTTGTTTGGTTGACTGGCTTGGACCAGCCTGGGGAGCGGCGACGAGCTCGAAAGCGCCGTCGTTGGGATTTGTTGAATTGCATATATCACTGGCATATTCCTCCTCTTCATCGATGTATTGGGGTGGTTGGTGGCGGGACCCGCGACCCCAGCCTGTGTTTGCTAGATTGCGCTGGCTCGAGTATGGGTCTGTGTGCCCGTAGTCTTGGTCCGGCGAGAAGTTCTGATTTGGGTTTGTGTCGCTGAGGTTTCTGCGGTGACCGGTTTGCTCGCGGGGTAAGCTGCTTCGGCTGCTGCTTTCCTGTGAGTATCCACGCATGTTGTTTTGTCGTGATGATGGCCCACGCGGCTCTGATGCTGTTCGCGTCGTTCCTATCCGTGGCTTCTCGGTGGATGAAAGTTCGTGTTGGGAGGGTCGGCGCTCTAGGCTGGCACCCGCTCGATCTAGGTCTAGACGTGGTGGGCGGGCGCCTCGGAGAGATGATGATCGGTGGTGTCCGGGTGCTGATTGGCTTCCTGATGCAGATGCTGTGCTGACTGAGCGGTCGTCTGGTGGTGGTGTTGGGGGGAATACGTTGCGGTTCAGGGGTGGTTCGGATTGTTGACGAGTGCGGCTGCTGAGATTTTGGCGTACCAAATGGGATGCGGCAAAGGAGACTCCTTCACGATTTTGGAGGGCTTCTTTGTCAATTGCTATTGGGTTCCATTGGTGATCTGATGATTGATTGCGGTCCGATGCAGCAACTAGTCGAGCTTTGCCTAGGTAGTCTTTTGTCTTGAGATTCTTGACTTTGGCTGCGTTGGGACGATAGAGAACTCCCACGGGAATTGAGAAGACAGTGTAACCCTAATATCTAGATTAGTTTGTGTTGTAGGAGATTAGTTGAAGTCCACATACATCTGCATTCTCGCGAATAGCATCGTCAATCACATCATGATCTGAGGTAACCTTTTCCTTGGCTGCATACTCGAGGTCCTGGATGCCTGGGTTCATTTGCCGGAGGTAGATATAACAGAGACCTCGGTTGAACAGAACCTCGCATGAAAAGAGGCGGAACAGAAGACCTAACTGTTCATAGTCGATGGAAGTATTCCCTCGCAGATACAGCAAAGTGTCATTAAAGTTGGCCAATGCTTCTTCAAAATCCCCAAGCAAGAAGTTAGATACACCTTGCTGGAAGTAAGCAATTGCCAGATACCGATCTAGACCGACAGCACGTTGGTAGCATTCTACCTGTACCAAAATCAGTTAGCTGGCGGGGGAAAACATCCCATGAGGTCCACTTACTGCTTTTTGATGCTCGCCTAGCGTTGCGTAGATCACTCCACAGTTGAACAAGATCTTTGATGTATCGGCAATCTGATCGAAGCACCGCAGGGACTCTTCGAATTCTTGATTGTCATAGGCATCAAGGGCCTGTACCCATGTTTCGATTTCCTTTTTCAACAAAAATGTCAGCATGCTTAATATCCTGGGATCCGATATATTTACTTGTTTGAGCGACATTGTCTCGGAATTCAGCCCACTATTGGGTTTCTTGTGCCTAGATGATATAGATTGGGGAAAGACTTTGGAAGTACTTTCCATCCAACTCTCTAGGGCACGATAATAATTTTGTGTATGTCCGCCAGTTTGTCGCAGGGGTTCACCAGCGCAAAGCCGGGAAAGCACAAGTATAATATAATCAATGGTCAAGGGCTCAGTCGGTGTGACGGGAAAACCTTAGGGTTGGTAAAAGGGGCCAAGAACAAGTCTGATGGGGGCGGAAGCTGCGGGGAGAAAGACTCGAGTCAGTAGTCCGTAATTCCGTGAGGTAAAGCGATATGTCGATACTGAGAAGGCTGGATATCAGTTGAAATGTATTTATAGAATTTAGAAGAGTCAAATACGATTGAGGAAGTAATTGGTTTAACCTCTGATTGTTGGAGAGTGGAGATGAGGGGGCGACCCAGCAACTTGGACCCCAGAAGGATTGCACACACGTTAGCGGGGATAGGGGGAATGAAAGAAAAGTGGGAAATCAAAAAAAAAAAAAAAAAAAAGCAAAGAAACAAAAGCCCAAATCTCAGAGAACCTGCAGAGGGGCTGCACGGAGGGGCAGGGGGGAGGAAAGATGTACAGACTGGGTAAGGCTACTCAGACCGACAGAAAAGCGAGTGATGGGACCAAAAATAACCCGCTTTGCTGCAGTAATTATGCACCTCTCGGTCAATAGGATCTCACAGAAGGATTTTCGTAGTGCCGCCGAGCCTGTGAGTGGGCAGATTTTTTTTTCTACATGGCATCGTATTGTGATCGGTGACCCCAACACCTTGGAATCGGACAATATTCTATGGGCTTTGACTTCCCAAGTATTTTAACTTTTATTTTTTGACTCTATTCTTGAACTGGGATACTGATTCATCACATAGAATGGACCACATCTGGACAGTGCGGGGTGATTTCCTCTTGGGGATTTTGAATCTGGTCTATCGCGTGGGAAAATTCACGATTCATTGGTCCTCGGGCCCCCCTGTCACCTCAATTCATTCCCCGCCACGGCGCTTGCAGTGCTTTATTTAGAGTTGAACAGGGCCCGAGTGTATCGATTCCCAACATCTCGCTAGGAATTCCTGAAAAGGAAGCAGAAATCTCTGAGATAGTGAGCAGTTGCTCCGTACAATAGACCTGGAGATATCCTCCTGAAGTCCCTGGAGGCCGGTGCTCCCTCCACATGGCTATATATACACTCCCCGACCTTTCCGTTTCTGTTTTAGTGCTCACCCTGGAAATTTGACCTCGGATGTTCCAAGGTTAAAATTGAGATGTTACAACAGACTGATTTGGTCCTCATCTTGTCTCATTGAAGTGAAATACTTGGTATCTTGGACTGAAAGTGACGCATGTTAGGCTTGCCATTGCCTTCTCGCCCAGCCCTAGTCAGTAATTTACTCGGGTAAGAACGGCCAACCCAACATACCACCGAATCAGCCCATATCAACACCCCAAAAGTAAGAAATGGTTCTAGATCAATTGATGTCTATGGACATCCCTTCAACTTTCAACATCCAATTTACCTACAGCTACAGTCTACCTAAACTAACCTTGGAACTCTGGATGTTACCTAATTGTTCACTTCCCATGTTTCACTATGGAGCCGGCCCGATCCGCCCACCAGACATTCCAAGAGATAAACCGTTGGACAAGAGACCATTATTTGGCGCATACCGAACAACCGAACAAAAGAGTACTAGGCATAATGATCGACGGATCAAGCATAACAATCTAGCTATGTTGGTCTCTCTACTCCGTAGGGCTCTCAGACCCGCACCGCCGAAAGGCTTACTCAAATGCCAGGAAGGATATTTATATCGCGGTGCAGTTTCCAGTTCAGTCCGAAGATTTGCAAGCATCTTCCAATTTCGATAGCTCAATCCCGTAGCTAAAGAGATCAGCGCACTCTAGACCCTGATATAGTCATGAATCATAGGGCAGAATCCTACTGTAGTACGCGATCAGCGTACGGGGCCTGCAAGGCGGCACAGCGGCATGCAACATGTAGAGGAAATAACTCATCACGTGGAACCACAAAGAATTCGGTGAGTGTAGTGTTCTCAGGTTCGATCTGCATATCGTAAGAACAATCCATCATTGGGTGGATAAGCAGCGGCAGGGGTTGGGATGCTCCGGGATGCAGCAAACGTTTCGGTCTCCTGTTAAGCAATCATGTGCAGGAGTTAATGGCCAATTGAAAGATATCTAGGTGTACAAAATTTAGATATAAAGAAACAACGGCGAGTTGAAAAACTCAAGTCACGGATGGTCGCTCTGTACCATCTAGTGAACGCCCCCAGATCGTCATACCAATCATCATTAGCCATCAACGACGTCCTTTTGCTCAAGGGTCTACCACCCTGTTTTATATTGTAGCCCAAGCGGGGGGAACAAGGGATTCAAAAAAATCGAACGAATCAAGTAGGGGAATAGCAAACATCACTGCAACTTGCGGTCATGAGGCTTCACCCATGTAGGTGACCTAGAGAGGTGGTCTAGAACAAGTATGGATTGTTAGTGATACCAGCTATGTATGTACAGAGCAAGCCATATCTATTAGTGAAACGTAAAAAATGTTGATAGAGATATTTTTGGATCATGAAATCCAGCAAAATCATATAGTCAAGGAAGATCTCGACAAGCTTGGGCCCAAGATCATTCCCAAATCGACTGAAATTATGTGCCAACACTACGTATAAATAAGATTTGAATCTATTTTGAGCATATATTTACGCTCCAACCAACAAGAAAAGAATAATAAAAAAAGATAAAGGGTCCGAACCGCGGAACGCGACCTGGCGCACGAAGTCTGGGGGTCCTAAGCGCGAATAAGACTGGGAGATATTGTTAGTTAAATGAATTAAATGGTATTGTGGAGCTGAGGAGCTTCTGGCTATCGAGCACCCGGGCATCTTATGAATTACTAACACTGACTTTGATACTTCCAAGGTTAACCTCTTCCCATCCCTTCCCATTTAGGCTTATAGGCCGTTACATGACTCGGAGAATTCTCTGAGGCTAAGCCTGATGTGGCCACAAGCATCAGGGCTGTCACATATCCATCGTGGATGGACCACAATTTTATGTGTGTACTCCGTACTTTGTGTACTTATGCACGTGTCGACTACATCGGATCAAGCATGCCCAGATATACGATGGCGGCCGTGTTTTATCCTCGTATACCCATCGAAAACGCAATAAAGGTGGCGTGTTGTGCCTTGGCTGTTTGTCCAAGTCATCGCTCTAGAACGAACGCCTCGTACCTCTTGCCAGCTCGCAGTGGACAACAGGTCATATCTCCAGTGGCAGTCCGTGCAAGGAAGATGGAAAAGCTTGCAAGCTCTTCTGCGGAGATATCACTTAAAGTCTATCATACATCCACATAGATGTGTTTCAGCCACTTCCAATCACATTCATATCCAGCTCTTTAACAGTGATAGAACAACCTGAGGTGCATTTTGATAAATATCCCAATTAATATGGGCTATACCAAGCTTCTCAATATGAGAAACCCTTTTGCTTATCTTCATGTGCTAATCTAATCAAGCAAGGAAACCGAGCAGCACGTCGATATATGGCACACGAGGATACATCACAAGAAGTAACGTCTGCTTTTATGAGAAAAGCAAGCATGGACAATCTATTTATATCGGAAATTAACTACATATGTAGCTAATACCGCTAGCAGAGGTTAGGGATGTGATCTCCACGTGGAATATGGTTGGTGATCAAGAACCCCACCCAGGCGCTTAAGAGCTTTTTTTTGGACTAGGGACAAGTCCTCGGATGTAGGAGGGGGTAATTCCGTATTTCCATATTTCCTTGGTACTTTAGGGCCAGACTATACACCGAGCGCTAACTACATTAGACATCGAACAAAATCCAGCCAAGCTCCAAAATTCGACCGAGGATATCACCAGTCGAGTTTGATTATTTTAACGCTCAAGATGACTATAGAGATGAAAATGTGCAGGGAATAGTTTATTTACAGCTTAGCAACCATCTTGCTGCCCTGCTGAAGCAGAATAGCGGCATCTCCAACGAGCTCATCAACGATAGCCTTGGCAGGCTTCTTCTCGTTGACAACGGCGGCAACCTTGCCCATCAGGAAGGGACGGGCATTGTCCAGAGCATCCTCATCGGCATCATCGGGCAGGTTCTCCATATCGTGCTCGACGGGGATGATACCCTTGGAGGTGAGCTCCTTGATCTCCTCGTGGCGGTTTTCCTCCCAGTTGACGATGTAAGGGTTCTTGCGAACGCGGAGGGGACGACCCTATATCGTCTGTTAGCAACCTGAACATATTGGCAACAACATAGTCACGGGATACATACAGTGAAGATAATGGTACGGATGTTGTCCTCAAAGTTGGAAGTACGGACAGCCTCCTGGTGAGCGACGGGGGCACCGGCCTCATCAGACAGAATGAAACGGGTACCGATCCAGACAGCAGAGGCACCGAGCATCAGAGCAGCAGCAACAGATCTACCGCTGTACAAACCACCGGCTGCGATGAGCTGCACGGGCTGGCCGGTCAGAGGGCTCTTCTTGCCCTCAAGCAACTTGGCAACGGCGGGGATGAGGATAGTGGTGGGGACATCACCAGTGTGGCCACCGCCCTCACCACCCTGGGCGCAGATGATATCAATGCCAACATCCAGGGCCTTCTGGACGTGCTTGGGGTGGCCGATCATGTTCATGCAGAGGATGCCGGCACTGTGGAGCTTGTCGACAACAGCCTTGGGGGGTACACCGACGGCGGAGACGAAAAGGCTAGCCTTTTCTTGGATGATAATATCGACGAGTTCACCGAGCTTGCCCTTGGTATAGTCATAACTATTTACCGAAACAAAACGTAATTAGCAATGTGTTCACAATGGAAAATGTACCACACCGAACGAAGGTTCTTACTTGGTCTTGCGGGCGCTGCCGCCAACCTGGGGGAGGAGAAGGTCGACACCGAAGGGAGCGCTCTTATCGTTCAGGTAGCTCTTAAGCTCAGCGACTTGTTCACGGAGCATCTCAGGGGTGTAACCAACACCACCGATCACTCCAAGACCACCGGCGTTGGTGACAGCGGCAGCCAGCTTGGGACCCGCAGCCACATTCATACCTGCCAGCAGGATGGGGTGGTTGATCTTAAGCAGATCAGTGACCGGGGTACGGATTTGTTCTGTTTGGCAATCATGGTTAATATCAACATTGAGGCCATAGGCTCACGTGTAAAAGCGTCGGCCATACAGGAATGGAGAGATCACATGAAAAAAGGCATCTGCGCACGAGCAAAGTAAACAAAGGGGAGAATCACTTACGAGGAGAAGCCATTTTGAATATTTGTGGAGGAAATGTATGGGAAAGGGAAAACCTGGGGAAGAGGAGGTGCAGATGGGGTACGACCAACCTATAAAGCAAAGTAGCCTCGGTGGTTCAGACTCGCAATGATCTATGAGCCTCGGTCCACGACCCCAGTGACCGAGATTAGTCATAACATTACCACGAGGTTGGCCCCTGACGCGGGGTTTAGGGGCTGACACCTGAGGCACATACTTGGCAAAATCTCACGTGAAGTCCAAGGTGCACATTTCGCTCATGACTTCTATTATTTGTCACATGTACAGATGGAAAAATCTTTTTATATTACTTCTTTTTATGTGGAATGGTCGATTTGCACATTATACAGCTTTTTCGCCCTACATATTCTATATTTTGCAGCTAATTATACGTACCTTTCCACGGAGTAAATTCAACACCAATAAAGGCATCTAAAAAGACTACCGAAAAGGGTTTAAAGCCCCTACCTAGTACATACCCTCGGACTTTTTTCGGCATTTGCTTTCTATTGAATCTCCTACATGGTCGGCAGCCATAATTCTGAAAATGATGTCTATATCCACTTTCGAAAATCAAAAGGCTGAGTCTTCCTTCATATTGAGCTTTGCCCCGTGGAGAGGACCTCAATAACTCGGAGTTTCATCCGCAAAAGTATTTTGATAACTATAACTAAGTATAGGTAACTATATATTAGTGATGGATATATAGTAGTGTATGCTCTAATGTACCTGTTGGAATAGGTAAGTCATGATACACCCTCTCCGCCTTCTAGTCGGGTGATTTCGACTGTGGTAATGATCAGTACGTAGTACCTCTGCTCGAAATATCTCCTCTCTAGGCTCTGTTGCAATTGTAAGCGCAATCAGAGTATGAAAAGCTCTTTTCCTCGAAGAGGGAACCTTGTAGCGTTTGTGATACAAACACTACCATGTGTCAGTGAAACCTGCCAGTAACTCTGCACATATAAGATTGATACTGTGGTAGGGGAGAGAAAGAAAGAGTGAGAAGCCCTCTACAGTATTGCTGTCAGATCCCTCAAGGCACCCATCATCCCATTTCGATCCATATATGTACTAGTCTAAAATATGTAGCTATTTCACTTCCACAGGGTGGACTCCAAGGTACGTAGATGGTCAGAAGTTTGATGCCAATTGAATTGAGTAGCACGTTGGCCTTTCAGTTGTGAAGTTGGCCATACCCTTCGAAAGAATTTAATGGTATTGTAGAAGTGAACCTAAGGGAAGGCTCAATATCAATACGAAGAGGCATTTGCGTGGTTAGAATAGCTTCAACCCTGAGAGATAGACGGTGTCGAGACGTTCTTGAAACCAGTGCGAAACTAACTCTGGAAGCCCAAGTCGGACACATACCTCGAGAATAGATTAATCCTAGAGATAGTATATGCCTAAGGCGGAGAGAGCAGCTCAGTGAAAATTACGTCAAGGAGCTTCACAGGTCGCTTGATTTCATTAAATATAAATTTACCTCCCCGCAATTCATAGACACGTATATTAAGTCTTGATAGATGCATGACAACAGTGAGAAACTTAACATCAAAATCATACCTACGCCTAGATAGTCAGGGTATGTTTTTCTTTCAACACATTCCAGAATGTATTTTGCCAGTGACACTTGGTAAGCAAGCTAGCTCACTGCTAAATAATAAACATCAACACTTCTGCAGAAGGCTATATACATATCCAAGATGCAACGATAGTTAACACAAGGAGGTAGTAATATACATATCCAAGATGTAACGAAGTTAACACAAGGAGGTAGTAATATACATATCCAAGATGTAACGACAGTTAACACAAGGAGATAGTAATATACATATCCAAGATGTAACGACAGTTAACACAAGGAGATAGTAATATACATATCCAAGATGTAACGACAGTCACAAGGAGATAGTAATATACATATCCAAGATGTAACGACAGTCACAAGGAGATAGTAATATACATATCCAAGATGTAACGATAGTTAGCACAAGGAGGTAGTAATGTTCTGCAAATCATAAGAAACAAAAAGACAAAAATCCATCGGTCCAGCCGGTATCAAGAAAGAAAGGAAGTGAAAAACGAGAGATGCTTATAGAGATGCTTATCCAAGAGTCAGAGTGAAACCGGCGTCCAGCGAACAGGAGTAGGTGTTCACGTCATCGGGCAACTGATAAGCATCTTTGCAGTTCACGTCGCCAGGGGCGCAAGAAACGGACTTGCAGCTTGGGTCGCTGGGCTCCACAGTGAAGCCAGACTTGACGAAATCGGAAGTCTCATCAAGATCAATGGAGGACATATCCCAGTAGAGAGTATCGCCATCCTGGGTATATTCGAACTGAAGAACGCTATCCTTGTCCTGACTGGTAGAGATCTTGATAGAGATACCACCACCGTTGTCGTTGGTGGTCCACTTCTCGCTGTAGTCGCCACCGCTGCTGAGTGTCTTCATCTCGCCGGGGTCGGACGAGGTGGTCCAGACGTAGAGGTCGGTGCCCATGTTGTTCACGATCTGGAGAGCGCCGCCGCCACTGGAATCGCGGGTCTCAACGGCACCGGATTGGTTGGATCGAGCCATGTGGGGGAGGGCGGCTGCGGTGGCAGCGAGAAGGCCGGTAAGGAAGACTTTGACGTTGAAAGTCATGATGGAAGATTGTAGATTGATGGAATGACAGTGGTTATACACAAGTGCTTCTGTGTAATAGTAGTAATGGAGGATATACCTCTAATGAGTGGGTATGACTTCTAGAAAAAGAGTGATCTTGAAGTTCAATGAATGTGTTTGAAGAAAGAAAGAAAAAAACCAACACCATTTCTGCGGATGTTCATTTTTTTATAATGGTCGGTGGAGTTCGGATGAGCATGGAAGTCACAAAACCAAAAGGTGTGAAGAACGGATAAGCTACAAATTGTTATAGATGTGGATATATATATGTGGGTATAAATGTGGGTATAGATATGGAGGCTCAGTCCATTAAGGTTAACTATTCAGAAGAAAAGCCAATCAAAACTATGCGGCTGAGTTTTCCACATCCGGTCTCGAACACCTCGTCAGACCTCGTCATCGGCTTGCGAGTGGAACTAGCATTTCTAGAATTTCGATTGTTAAAATTTCAGTTCGATCCGATCAATCGATGAGTTTGGTTCTCGAATAAAACAATTTTTTGTCCATCCACAATACATCTTAAAGAAAAGATAATGGATGACATCAGTTCTTTGTGGCTTCTTCCAGGTTGTTCAACCGGGTCCGTAGCTGCCCGGGCACCTGGGCATACTCGTATTATACGTCAGCCTTTCTGTGGCAACATTTTACTTGGGCATGTAAGAGAAAAATCTACAACTAAAGCAGTCGATCAAAATCATGATTAATATGAGCTCGGGATGCTATCAACTCGAATAATACCTCACCAACATATACATTTTATCTTCTTTTTCTTTTGGTAGTTGGACAATCATATTATTTGCCCACAGCCGGATTCTATCAGATTCGAGGGTCCAAATCTGCTCCTACAAGTCTTCTACTCCACCTATTCTTGGCCAGCGACTGGCAATCTCAATGAGAGGAAAATCTTGGTCCGATCAGCCAGAGCCATAAAGCAACAGGGTGTCTTAGTTAAGCCAGGGTGAAATGATTAAGGACATGCAGGCGATACTCTCTATAATTATGATAGGGTCAAAGGTTATACGTACTTGATGGCAAGGAAAGAGGAATTATTCTCCATTTCCATACGTATTTGTACTACATTTCAAATATATCTTTTGGATTAAAACTATCCTATAAATTTGTGGTTTTTTGGGCGCTCAGGTCAGTACTATCTACATAAGCCTCCTATTAATCAACTTAAGTTCATGAATCTCTGAAATCATAGCTTTAAGTCTGTTGGACAACTTATAGTGTGGGAGGGGTATTGTTATTATGTCAATCGACTGAAGCACACGAGGCTGAACAGTGTTCTTGCATTTGTAAATAAGAAGATACAAAGCCTTTGCGAGTAGAGGTAAGTTTCAATAGGTGAAACTAACCCGGGGGCGAAGCATTTGTTCTCCAGGACTCTGGCCCCGGGGCTGGTATGCATTTAAGTCAGCAACCATTTTGCTAACTAGTTACTTATTACATACCTAATATCATGTAGGATATATTGGATACTCTGCATAGTTCTACAATCACACTCATTATAATAAGTAGTCGGTTGCTCAGACGGCCTCATTGATGACGTAAGTAACTATATCTGCCCAGGTGGCCCGGCATGCATAGTTAACTATTTATTTCACGCGCACACAAGCAAGCGGCGCAGTCCTAAACACATAGTAAATGCGATATTTTATTTACTTATATCTTGACAACCACATTTGTTATTTGGTTTAATTGTTATTCGATAGTGATCGATAAGGCTTTAAAACATTGGATAACAATCTTAAGAAAATCGAAAGGCTAAATTGTTGTGGTATCGAAAATTACGTTCTCAGAAGTTAGAAAAATATATATCGCATCCAAAAGTCATTTATATATATTTTCCAAACTCCCTAGAGAGACTAGATATCACCTAAAAAAACATTAGCATACATGCAAAAGTCCTTATAGATCACTGTTGTTGCGATATCAAATTGTAATTGATCGCATTTACTATGTGTTTTGGACTGCGCCGCTCGCTTGTGTGTGCCACTCGTATGTGAGTTAGTTAATATTTAGGACGTTACATGTAGGAACATTCCGATGTTCGTTTGCATGTGCTTTGAGATGTCTTTTTAGGTGTATAAAAAGGCGGTAAAAAAAATATAAACTGCATAGACGACTTTTCTACGTATATCCTTTGATTTTATCTTTTTACTACACCTACTCCGTAACCAGTTCCTCTATTGGTTCACTGTCATTCAATACATGTTATAAGACCGGTTACTTGGTATTTTATTTAAAGTCTTTATTTACATGATAAACGAGTCTGTATAGTTGAAGGGGTATATGAATTGATAGCTTGGCATGTCAACTACTATTGGGTTGACGTAGTACAGAGATGTAGTTTCGAACATTGGTTGGCCGATAAGTACCCGTTATCAGGCCCACCTCTCTTCACAATTAACCTTGGAATTCTTCAAAGGTTCTCTGAGCTTATCTTAGTTAGCCTTGGGAAAAACGTCTAAATATAATTTTAATAGATTAACTGGAATTAATGAAGTAGGGCACTGGGGTATTATAATAAAGGCGATTAGTAGGTAGCATTGCATATTTTTATGAATAGGTATTATATTAGCTACATATACGTAGGCCAACGGATATTGCACTCTATGGTGGCCTGCATATCCAGACCAGTCCAAATTGAACCTGGGCCCCCTGGACTGTTTCTAGTAGCATTGAAACAGACGGTCTAATGCATACATAATAATAATAATGTAAGACTCGGTTTTCTGCTTCTCGACATTAATTTCTGTAGAGTCTGCCAAGCTACCCAGCGGTAATAGCATAGACCTGAAGAATTGATTGCCGACGGACTGTGTGTCTCCACGAATGAGGGGTCTGTGCTGTTGGGTAACTTAATCGGAATTCGCTACGGAGTACGAAGTAGACTGACAGGGATCAGGGAGCATTGATTAGCATTTCAGTTCAAATTGCTCCATTTCTCCGAGAAAGCGACCGTTGGATTAGAATGAGAAATATTTCCCTCGGAATATATGTGCCTTATCTTTTTCAATCACCAATTGTTTTGAATACGGTGATGCCTCGATTCCCACCGGCATGACGATATATCCCTTGATTCTCTATGGAGTAATTTCTTTGCGGGCGGAAGGCCAGGCCGACTTAGCGCACCATACCCCACTTGCTGCCGTCCTGGGTCCCCGAGCTTGCTGTTAATCTGCTATAATTTCCACTTACAGTACTAATGGATTGTCGATCAACGCCGATCAGCATAACTGCACAGGGGCATTGTATATGCTGGCCTGTTATGTACATTTATAATTTATGCTTTGTTATATATGCAATATTTTGTAGAATAATATTACTCTTGGATTATGGAGTGTATGGGTATCCGGCATCTAGAGACTAAGTCTCTTATTATTTTGTCAATCATATGCATAAAATTTATGCTGGCGTTAAAGGTTGATACTGTATAACATGGAAGATAAATACAGACTCTTGTTCGTTATTTACTCTCCGTTCTTCAGGAAACCCTTCACTACAAGGGATCGCCATGACGCTTTTTGCAGACAAAGTAGGACATTCAGGAGCCTTCAGCTCGCCTTTGATGGCTGCTGGATTCATCCTCGGGCTGGGCTTAGTGTCTGTAAGTTTTCCATCATATTATAAGAAGGAATACTCCAGCCCATTAATCACTCTGCGGTGACCAGACCGTTCTATATTTCCTGATCACAATCATCTACAACATCTACTTCCACCCTCTAGCAAAATTTCCCGGTCCGGTTTCTTGCGCCGCTACAAGAATCCCCTACCTACGAGCCGTCATCTCTGGCAAGATCGGACAAAGTTTCAAGTCGTTGCACAAAGAATACGGTGATGTGGTTCGTATTGCTCCCGATGAGCTCTCCTTTATCAATGGCGAAGCCTGGAAGACAATCTATGGCAGTCGCCCTGGACATGGGCAAAATCCTAAGGATACTCGTATCTACCCCCCAACAGCAAAGGGAGCTCCTAGCATCATCCTCTCGAACGATGAAGACCACACCCGTTTCCGTCGTACGCTATCCCATGCCTTCTCCGAAAGCTCTTTAAAGGCCCAGGAATCTATTGTAAAAGGATATGTGGACTTGTTGATACAGCGTCTGCATGAGAACGCCGATAATGGGAATAACTCGCTTGACATGGTTGCTTGGTACAACTTCACCACTTTCGACGTCATTGGTGATATGGCATTTGGTGAGTCCTTCAACTGCCTGGAAACGTCCGCCTACCATAAATGGGTCTCGATGATCTTTAGCAATATCCGATATGCGTCTTACAACAATATTGTGAAACGATTTCCTGGATCGAAGTTCCTCCTTGGCCTTATCACACCCGCACACATTGTCTCGCAGAGGAGCTGGCACATTGAACTCACAAAGGAAAAAGTGAAGAATCGACTATCCAAGTCAAATGATCGGGCCGATTTCTTCAGTCACATTCTCAAACATAAAGATACCGACCGGGCGTTATCCTTCGACGAGATGGTCACGAACGGAAGCACACTGATTATTGCCGGGTCGGAAACCACTGCCACCTTACTCTCAGGCGTGACCTACCATCTTTTAAAGAATGGGCGTGTCCTGAAAAACCTCGTGGAGGAAATCCGGAGCTCCTTCCAGACCGAAGACCAGATCAATATCACCACTTGCAATCAGCTGAAATACCTTAACGCGGTGCTCACTGAAGGATTGCGCGTCTACCCACCTGTCCCTGGCTCATTGCCTCGTGTTTTGAAGGGGCCCGGTGACACGATTGCTGGCCATTGGGTTCCAGGAGGTGTAAGTGAATCCCAATGGTTGTTTTACTCGGGTTCAAAGGTTACAGTCGTTTAACATGTTTCTTTATTTCAACAGACCGTTGTATCCGTCTCCCAACTCGCTGCATTCCATTCACCCAGTAACTTTACGGAATCTGAATCCTTCATCCCTGAACGTTTCCTCGGAGATCCTCGATTCAGCAACGACAGCCAAACCGTGCTGCAGCCATTCAGCGTCGGACCACGGAATTGCATTGGACGCAAGTAAGTGTTTCCTTTTTCGTTAGTTTGAGCAAAATACATTACTAAAAAAAACTCTGCTCTGCTCCTTAGTTTGGCAAACGCCGAGATGCGCCTCATCCTGACCCGCGTGCTGTTCAATTTCGACATGGAATTGGACGTACGTAGCGATGATTGGGCAAATCAAGATACTTATCTTCTTTGGGATAAGCCGAGTTTACTCGTCAAGATGAGAGCCCGGTGATCTACCCTCACGCGTGGTTGTTTGCCAGTTGTGTCACAGTGCACTTCATGATTTCCGCGTGATGTGATTGCTCGATGCGATTTTTCCACTTTTTGTTAGCTCCCTTTGAGCTATCATCGTTATTGCTTTATTGTCAAGGAATTGAACGAGGATATTGGAATAAGCAGGCTATCAAGGCGTGATATGCAAATTGTAACTCCGAGAATATTTTGTTGTTAGTAATGAATAATAATTGATGTGACTCCAAGGCAGATTCTTATTTGTTAAGGCTGCATGGCAGCTAATAGGTGGTGCTACTTAATTCCCCCATAGGATAGACAAGTATAGCCGTATCTAAATAATACCTTGGCCATCTACCTTTAGCGATATTCCTGATCAATCTCATCCTTGTCCAACCTCTTTTCGGGAAATAGGGTTCTTGATTATAATCCCGTTTACCAAGTCTAGTCTACGGGAAATGCATATCACCAAAACACAATTCTCCTCAAAAACAATACTGGACTTGGCCTTCTGAGCTGAGAGACTTGGACCCCGTACCCCTGAACCTAATATCAGCTTCAATGATAAGGCTTCTTGGCCCTGTGGCTTACCGATGCTTAAGGTGCACAGTTGTGAATAGAAGTTTATGGCAGAGCTTTGAAGAACATCTGTCTATACTCCGTGGTTCATTGTACTTGGAATTTTTGGTAATCGAGCACGAGAAATTATTACATTCATATAAGATATAAAGTCTACAGTTAATTTTTATGTCTGGTAGTGACCTACGTGTCAAAGGGCAGCAGTAAGAAATTTCATTATTGTGAGCGTTCATCAGCCTTTGGCCAAACAATCAACTTCAAGTTGATAGCAATCCCACAGGGAAAGCTGGAACAGCCGCTTTGGTCTTTTCTCGCTCTCCCATTCTTTTCCAGTAGGCGTCCACGTTCAAGCGCCCGGGGGAAAGCATCCATTTAACTGTCCGCTCAGCCATCATCTTCATCAACCCGTAGAAGTGGATGTCCGCGGCAGAAAATCGTTCTCCACAAAGATAGCTCTTTCCCTCGAGCTCGTCGTCAAGTCGGTTCAAGAATTGGTTGATGGTCACTTTCTGAGCGACTCGAGCCTCGGGGGCAGGAAGACGATTTCCCTTGTAGAAGTCGATGGTGGCGGGGTCGTTGCGGAACCACTCAATCACAGGTTGGGCGATCTCTAGGTCCATTCTTCGAAGCCACATGCGGGTCTCGGCTCGCTCCAGGGCAGTCTCGCCATAAAGGGACTTGCCGCCTTTTGCTATCTCATCAAGGTACTCGCAGATTGCGGTAATCTCGGTCAGAACAAATTGATCGTTAATGCGGAGGGCGGGCAATTCGCCCCGGGAGTTGACATTGGTGCGGTATGCCAGTCTTCGGTTTTCGAGTGACATGATGTCAACTGGCTGAACTTCGACATCGAGCCCTCCTCGTTCTAAAATGAACAATCGAACGACATATGGATTGGGTGCCGGAGCATCGTAAAATACCGGAGTCGAAGCCATAATGAGAAAGAAAAAAAGTTGGTCAAATATGAGATTGCTTTTATGCCCAGGAGAAAGTTCTAATATTTATACAGTACATATCCATCCGGATACACGCTGAGCTAACTAATCCTGCAGAGCGGGGTTAAATCACTCTTACCTCCGCGCTTCCGGCACTAACAACGCCACTTATTCACATCTGGACAACTTTATACATAGTGGATAGTGACATAAATTTGTTTAAACAGTGCATAGTAATTCGGTGATATGTGATGATGTGTAACTAACTGACTCAATAGAAATGATAAAAATAGAGAATTTCAACAGAGAGTACATCTATGTATGTGGGCAATCAGCTACCGGAATAGAGCTCTCCTGTAAAAGATTTCTTCTCGAATATGCACCGAGAAAAAAATGGTCATAGCTTGGACCCCTAACTTAAATCTTCAATAGCTAACACATGGCCTGAAACTTTTGCTTCATGGACCATCTCACTACTCTTCGCCATTCACATACAGCGTAATTTCCTAGGGGTAAAATTGATTCACAAGTTGGATTTGGTTCGTTCTTTCTGTGAATTCGAGGATCATGTGGCTGCTGAATGGAACAAAGTAGATACAACTATGAACTAGCTAGAATACACCTTTTTCATCTTTCCAGCGAGTACCTCCACAAAGAATTCTCGGAAGGACAAGGGTGTGAACTCCGGGTAGAGGCTTCTGGCATCCAGATAACCCAGATAGTCCGCGTAAGCAGGACTGTTGTCCTTGCGTACATACTTGCTATGCTTATATTGGGAAATATAAAGGACAGTACGCTTCATCGGGTCCTGAGGATTCTGGGACAAAGCAGCTTTGGCCTGTGCAACGCTATCTTCAATCTGCTCGTTTGACATCTGGGAGGCATGTTAATAAACTATGCTTGATCAAGAATAAACTACCCAGGGGAAGTTAGCATACCGGGGTCGGTTCGACTTTCTCTCCAGAGAGTTCTTCGGCAATACGGTTGATTTCGTTCTCGCTCAGAATGTCCCCATATGTGTAGACATATTTGTTCAGAGTTCGATCATCGTATATGATGCGTGCGACAAATCGGCCAACATCACGTAGGTCGGTAAGAATGTTGGGGGCTGTGCCGTCGCCATGGATAGTGCTGTTTGGCACTATCATTGCATAGTCCACTTTGCCGGACGGGAGAGAGGGGAATGAGATCTGATACCAATACCCGACATCTATAATAGTGTAAGGGATACCAAGGAATTTGATGTCATTGTAAACTTCTTCTTTCTATTTGATTGGTAAGTTAAGTCCAATTCATGCCCATCAGTTTGCGTTGCTCATACCTCATCACGAAGCAACATAGCACCACGTGGGGGTGCGACCGTAATGAAAGCGCATGGTACTATCCGCTTGACGCCTGCCGACTTTGCAGCTTGGAGTAGCTTCTTTTGCTCCAGTAGGCCGTGAGGTCCAATGGCGCTAATAAGAACATCAACACCAGACAGTGCAGACATGAGATCGCTTGATTCATTGATATCTATGCACCATATCTTGATGCCTTGCTCCTGAATCTTCTGGACCGATGGCTTATTCTTGGAAGCCGGTCGCACCAAGACTTCAATATCCTACAGAAATAGGATTAGTCGGACGAATTTGTGCTAGACGGTCATTATAACTCACGAAGTTACCAGATTCCTGCAGGCCCTTGAGTATAGAAGCGCCAGTCTCGCCGGTAGCTCCAAGAAGGAGTACTTTCTGTTTGACAACCATTTTACAGTTTGGAATTTGAGAGTTATGGAGTGAAAAGCAAGCCTATCAAACAATCTTTTTAACAGTGGAAGCCTTGGAGAACTTGGCAGATCAAATATTTGTCATCCCGTGGAGTTGCTATTCAAAATTCTAAGGAGCTTTGAAATCTTGCCCAGGTGGAACCTTCCGCTTATGCGGAACTTATGCATCCAATACAGAGCATAACTATATACACGAACGAAATGTGAAAGACTTCCAAGATTGGTATCTTCAACCAACAGGGTCCATTTAGTCCCATCAGAGAGAAATCTCCAACTGAACCTAAGATCCGAGATTAACTCCAGATGTCCGTGTCGAAATCACAGACCAGAAGGTCCCGGGGTCACAATCAAGTAATTTTCAACCCCTTTAGACAATGAGCTAGAGAAAAAAAACGTATATATCTTGGTGGCAAGAAATTCTCCAAGTTAACATTTACTTCTTTAGTCCAGGACACCCGGTTAATAAAAGGGCTCAATAGGTTCTATTACGTCCACGATTGAATTGTAAGGGCTACTAGAAAAATAGAGGACAGAAAAAGCGGCTTCAACCCTATTTTTGTCAGACAGAAAACTAGTAATATCTGGTCTTTTCTTTTAATCTACGAGGAATAGCCTATGTGTGCACATGTTCTAGACTTGACTGGGATTTGTCATATAAGAAGGATTGAAGATATGGTCAATCGAAAAATTGCATCGTGAGCGAAAACAAGATTTTGATCAGAAAGGCAATATGCCTCACGTAGGGCCGGACGGTCTAAGTATCCAACAACTGGCAAAGCTGTCTCACTCCTCTACAGCACAGGCAGCAGCGCGTAGGTGAGTCATTGTACAGGGGTCGGTTTGAGGCCCTAAATAGTGTGACGTTATTTACCTCTAGGCACTGCATCTTGGCGAAAACAGCATAAAGACGCCCAAGACCGCAATTCAAGGCTAGTATCATTTCCACAACCTCCCGCTGGTCGAAAATAGTTGTATGCAAAATGACAACCATTTTCGATGTCCCGGGCAGCAACCCCCCGAATCCCTTCACCACGGCCATTCAAGCCCTTCTCACCACCAACCTTTCCTCAGCGCCAGCGCCAGCGCTAGACGAAACAGCCGCCTACCTTGTCGCCTCTATTACTACCTCTCCGGACCCCGCTCACGCGCTTTGGATGCTCTGGGACGCCTTTTTTACGGCCGTCGTCACCTCTTCAACTTCACACGACCCTCACCTAGCCCTCCTCGACACGCTCCGCACGCAGCCACCGACGCAGCCTAACAACGTACCCTCGAGATCCGATGCGGAGCGACGACTCCGTAGCTACACCGGGGCCGATGGAAAACTACAGTGGCAGACACTGCTGCGCTTCGGCGCGCAGTGGCGCGACGTGCATGACATTCTTGAGGCCTGGCGCGATTGGGACGGTGTGCGTGAATCAAGTGCGAAAGACAACTCCATTCTCAATACTTTAATCAACAGCGGTGACAAGTACTTCCTCCGCTTCTGCGGTTTCTCGGCCGCGCTGCTCAAAGCGACCAAGGGTAAAAGCGAGTTGCATCCTACATGGGTCTTCTATGCATGCCGCGATGTGCTGGAGAGCCAGGGACCTCAGTCCGGCCAACAAAAAGCGCACAGGATGACGCCGGAGCAGATGTGGGCGCTAGATGTTCGAGTAGCAGCGATCTGGATACGGGATGGGGGCCGGGCACTATGGGAGGCGGACCACGAGGAGCTACGGCATCACTGGGCAGCGGCGTTAGATGACAAGACGGAACTATGGCCGAGAGAGGATGGGTTAACACGGGAGCGCTGGCGATTGTGGGGCGATAGGTTGTGGGCTTTAAGTACAGAAAAGGGGATTTTAGGTGAGGAAACTGGAGCGCTGGTTACAGAAGCCGCTGAAGCTATTGACAGTATTATTGAAGAATCCTCGGCCTAAAGGTATTGAGCCCTTACCACCTACAAAAGGTCCTCGAAGCACTTGCATGCACTATGTGAATCAAGGTGTCGCTCACGCATATTACAGTACGTCTCGAAACGGGTGTTATCTTTCCCCTAATTAAATCCTGCGGGCTCCCGGAACATAACCGTTTCTTTCCCGTTGTAGACGACGTTTCTCCTTTGCGATCTCATCGCGCTCTGCAAAAAAAATATTTCTGCCTATAATCAAGTGCGATGCCACATAGGGGTAGGTATTCACGGTAAATGAGCCCGGTATTAGACCAACGTATTAAGAAAAAGGCGCCTAAAGCCTAGGTGTGTGAATGATTAATATGCTAGGGCTAGGACATGGTTTGCTTTTATATTTGGGATTTCGAGCTCGAGCCACATTGAGAATTCAGAAAGAATTCTTAACCGCAGTATTATAAAACAGAGAAAGCTCTCCACTTTCTCCTACGCCCTATCAATTTTCTTGCTTGGTTATAAGCCTGAAATTATGTAAATGCAATAGGGAAGGATTCGAATTGGATCAAGGCATTATCTCGTAATTATAACCGTGATAGAAGGTTAATATGTGAGGTATCTTGTGAGGTCTCCAGTACCCCCTTCTCAGTAGTTGCTTCTATTTACACCGAACGTCCACGATCACACCATGTGTGCCATCTTCATCATAACTTTTGCATGGCAGCCACATCGGTAGACTGGACATGATCCTCATCTTCTTCAATCTGGGCGTAGAGCGCATCAAGAGATACCTTGTCGTCCTCGACGACTAGATTGATCTGGAGCTTCTTGATACCAAAGCCGATATCAACGAGCTGGGAGCCACCCCACACAAGGCCCTCGACTTCGATGGCGCGGACATTGGCCTCGAGCTCCTCCATGTTTGTTTCATCATCTATGCACCACGTTAGCAAGAAATTTACACACAAAGGTCGACCGCTTCAAGAACACATACCCCAGGGCTTGACATCCAGGGTAACCAGAGACTTAGCGGCAGGCTTGGGGGGCTTAGCGGCCTTCTTGGCCTTGTATTCCTCGAGGCGCTTGTTTCGCTCAGCGACAACGGCAGGATCCTCCTCCTCGGAGTCAGAGTCGAAGAGATCTTTTTCCTCGTTATCCGTGGGCTTGTCCATGGTAGTGGAAGACATTGTGAAAGTTGATTTTGGTTGAGTCGACGTGAAATGGGGTCCGTGGTGGGAAAAGGATGGGCTGCGAAGCTATCTTTGCCCCTCGTTTATGTCATATGCTTATCGGTCGGCTAGTTACACCCGTGGACAGCTCCCGGACCGCCGGAAGTTCCTCTAGCCGCGAACGTCTAACCTAAACAATACACGCTCCACTATTATTTCAACAATGGCTTGGCTTAGCTCTAACAATTTCAAGCGATCTGGCATTCTCTAGGATTTCTTTCCAATTTTGGAATTTTGGGTAACCTCACATGCTTTCTCGTTCAGTTCATTCATGTTTGTTTTGCTTCTTCTGCTCTAGTTTTCGAAGAACCTAATCACAACTGCGTAACGAGTGCACCCCACGCACCCCGCGATGCGAATGTGGGGCTGTCATGTTGACGAAGAGTGCCAAAATGATTGGCCAGCGCTTCTTTCTCGGCCTTTGGATCTTGGTCAATACAAAATATCAAAAAGCGAGCGCTTGCGGAGTACATAGTTTACCCCTTCTAAGCAAGCTCAGATTAGGTCAGGTATTATTCAATGTTGAGTCTGAGTTTCTCGCCTTGCTCTTTATATATGGTAAGCGTTCCGCGAAGCCCATAAATGGGCCCAAAGCCCAACCAGCAGTCCTTCGAAGCCCAGCCCATTCGTGGGGGTCCATAAGGCCCCCATTAAAGCCCACCAAGAGGGGCCCAACCGGCATCTTGTAATCGCTATACGATATTGTATTCTAACCCTTCTGCTACTTGTATAGAGGTTAAATTTAGAATTTAGAATTGCAATAGCTATATAAGTATATGTTTCAATTTTGAAGAATATCCGACGTGTAAAAGTCGAGATACTACAAAAATAGGTTAATATTAACGTTTTGATGCCCGATATATATTTACTTTCTAAGTAAACTTCTCTAATTTATAAATCATCTAAAGAACACGCTTTCTCGCGTTTTTAAACGTGATATAGAGAGATAACTAGCAATTAATTCTAAACTATTCAAACTATGTAATAAAATGTTATCTTTAGAACAAGCCCTAGAAACAGGGGTAAAACGGAAGGTAATTTCAAACCCCCTGAAAGGGGGTTCAACTTCTGAATTCTCGGCATATTTGTACTGTTTGGGGGCCCATTTGCGGGTTGGGTTGGGTTGTGCTATGGGCTTTATGGGCTTTGCGGAGCTCTGTATATGGTTATGTATCTCAGCCTCTCACGGAATGTACTACATAATGGCCAAATCTATTATAAGTAGGAATATTCGCTGGCTTTCTTGATCAAAAAGAACGGAAAAAAAACAAATTCTCTATTCTTTGCCTCTGTTATTCAAGGGTATTTGATCACAGGAAACACACAGACAATATGGAATATACCATGGGACAACTTCGACTGAAACATCTGTCTAGCTTATCCCTAAGCCTCGCCTTGAATCCCTTCGATATTAGCCTCGAGGTTCTCCTGTGCAATAATCTGGCTCGGCTTGAAAGCCGCAGCAAAGATCCTCTCGAATTCATCATCGGAAAGAAGGGGCACTCCAACAAGGTCATTATCCACAATCTTGAACTCGGCTTCAAACTTGCCACCCAGGAGTGCAGCTTTGAGCAGTGCCAGTGTTTTGAAGAGGTCCAAGTCACCCTGCTTGGTATTCTCGAGGATTGTCTCAAGCTCAACCGCTGCGTTCACTGGATCCTCGATCCATTTGACATCAGGCCCAGAGTACTTCTTTGCCAGATCCAGAACTTTGTTTTGAGTCAGGACAATGTCGTGAACGCTAACCAAGCGATTTTTTGTCGCTGGGGCATTCTTCAAAGCACCAGCAACAGCTTTTCCGACACTTGACACACTGGTTGAGCTGAAAGTGTGCATACCATTGTCATACAGAGGAGCTGTTTGAGTCTGCAGGTCGGTCAAAAACGGCATCGACATGACAAACTCCAGGAAGGGCCCAACAGCAAAGAGTGTGTACTCGATCTGTCCGCTTAGTGCCTTTTCTTTGAGATATTTCTGAATTTCGATCCATAATGCGTTCAGCGGAAGCGACTCTCCTCCAGGTCTGGTCGTAAGCGCCCCAAAATCGGAAGGGATGAAGCGTCGGACACCAGCCTGAATGCTGGCATCGATGACCGTCTTCTGTGCGCTAATACCCGACGAGCCAACGGTAGATACCACAGCATCCTGGCCCTGGAGAGCCGATACAAGACTGTCAATAGACGAATAATCGACTTGCAGAGTCTTGATGCTGGCAGGAGGTTCATCCGCCGAGCGAGCTGTGCGACTCAGCACCGTGACTTGAAAGCCTGAATTAACAAGCTGTTCCAAGATTGCGGATCCCAGCCATCCTTTCTGTTGACCACATATCAGTATAACAAACGCAATCATTTCATTGCTAGTACTAACCCCCAAGAGTGCGACGTTCCGGATAGGCTCCATGTTAGATGGAAGTGAAATTTGAAAGCAGAGTTATATGGAGTAATTCAAAGCGGTGGAAAGTAAGAGATTATAGTGAGTCGAAAAAGAGATATGTAGTATGTTTCGAATGAGACAATAATAACGAAGACAGCCTCTCCCTTTATAGCTTCAAATGGGATGGAATGTATTGTCCTACGTATGATTAGTGGTATCTACATTAGGCAACTCATTCATGAAATAGCTAATAATTTGACCGCACTGTAAGCTCTATTCTCAATTCGACAAGTCAGTCGTGGTATAGTGTTGTTCCTTCCAAAGTTGGAACCCCACTGACATGAGTCAGATAAAGTTTGAGCCATTCCCATTTGGGTAAGTCAGTCGTGAATTAGCGCGGTGGTCTGAACCAATGAGGAACCTGTTTGCAGAGATCTTCCAGCCTCTCCTATGTCACTCGGACAACTCAAGGATCGCAATATATCTCACCATCTCTCAATTGTCTCAGTGGCCCCGAAAAGTCAGAGTGAGCGATTTTGTAAGCTGCCAAGAAACCAAACATTAGTGTCTAAGCGGCAGTTTCTTCCACTGCCACGTTCTTTGACTGGATTATTTCAGAAAATCCAACTCCGCCACTATCCATGGCAATTACCAGAGCTAGCCCAGCTTGTGGGAACTGCAGAACTAGACGAATAAAGGTTGGCTTTTAACCTCCACAAATTCTTATCGCTCTTTCTGGCCCTACTGACCTCTCGGAAGTGCAATCTCCTCCGACCAAGATGCAGCCAGTGCGCTCGAGCCGGTCTAGACTGCACCGGGTATAGGTCTCAGTCAGATCTACTTTTTCGAGATCAGACCAAGATGACAATTCGAAAGCTGCATGCTCCAAGTACCAGGGTGACTACGCCTAACAAGTACGCCGCTTGCTGGAGCCCAGTCGCAATGAAACCCACCTTTAATGTCGAAGAACTCGCACAAAAAGTATTTTCCGACAACTTTGCGATCTTAGGAGACGGGTGCAAACACTGGATGGACTCGAATACGGGGCGCCAATCTACCGCCACTATCAGTCTTACCTCTGTTGGTCTCGCTGCACTTGCCGTTGTCCACAAAGATCCCGATATGATGGATCTGGCACGAAGAAAATACAACTTTGCTATAAAGATCCTCAATAAAGCGATTATTGGCCATCAGGTCTCTGGAATTGAACAGTCTATCGCTGGAAGTTTTATTTTGTCCATCTTTGAGGTTCTGTGGTCAGATATTCCACTAATTAAAATTGGACTGACGGATGGTTGATGGTGCAGATGATAACATGCGATAATCACTCCTCTTCACATACTTGGCAAAATCATGTCCACGGCGCTGCTGCGTTCTTGGGCTATTTATGCTCTACAAATGGTCTGCCAGCCTCACCGGTGAAGGAAATTATAGAGATCTGCTACACTACAGTACGTTGATATGCCACTAAAAAGCAAGAAGTTTACTAATTCCCCATACTATGAAGACACTTGCGTGTCTTATCAGTGGCAAAACGGTTCCGTTCTTCTTACTTGAACTGCCGGGTCGCTTTGGTGTGTCATCAAATACCCCACAAGACGACGAGGATCCCTTGTTATCAGCAATGAGGCTCTTTGCTATCATGGGTACCCTGGTGAATATTCGTGGCTTGGAAAACCAGGGTCTTTTCCCAGCCAGCCAGTTAGCTATACTGGCCATACAAAATGATCAAGCCCTCCAAAGGTGGGCAACTTCACTTCCTGCGTCGTGGACTTATCACAAGATTCCCGAACGCGGACAATACATTTATCAAGACGTTTGGTATGCTCGAATTTGGAACTACTACCGTCTGGCCCGCATTCTAGCCAATCGGATAATTAGTGATAATTTCGACATCATGTCATCCGCAATGTCGCCAGGTGGTGATTTCAAATCGCAATATGACCAGTCATATGCCATCGTTTCGTTCCTGTTACAAGAGATTTACTTCAGCCTACCTTTCATGTTCAACGCGGAACAAATGCCTCCTACCTCTCTACCACTCTCAGCAGCCCTGTTCTTCACAATCACTCTACTGCAATCACTGTTGGAAATCACGGATCGAGCTGCTCTTATCCAGGACTGGTCATCTCCAGTATGTGAGGTCTTGGGAGAAAGGTTTACTTTTACAAAGGGCATTGTGATGCAGAATCTTCGCTAGAATTTCATAAAGAAAGCTGTTACCGATAACGCCTAAAGCAAACAAATAAAACGAAAATCGAACGAAAAACCTCAGTTGTCATCCCCATTCTCATCCTTCTCATTCTCCTCGTCATTATCAGAACCATCAAGCTCACGGGAGTACCACTCATGGGCAGTATCCTGACATGTCACTTTGAACCCCGCACAGTGGATGCAAATGTTGAAATTGTTGCAATCTTCACATCTGCGGTATGAAGTATCACCCAGTATAGGCCGAGTACACACATCGCAAATCTGCCCCAGCTCCAAATTGACCAAAGACCATAGCTTATCGTCGCTAGCTTGAGGGCTTTGATAACCAAAGTTTTGTGCGTAGCACCACTGCCATATCAGACCAAGGATCCGCCCGCGCCCAGTCCCTATTGCCCACCAGATCAAGTCTCGGCCAAGTCCATCTAGGTTTGACTGTAGCCCTGCTAGCGTGGCCAATTTTTCAATGTTCTCTTCGTATTCGCTTCTCATAGCGGCTAACAGTCGCATCACGCTGTATCGATCCTTCGCATTTGGAGAGAGGGGCGGAAGGAGAAGTCTCGCCATTTTTCTGGCTCCTCGTGCGACAATGTAGAACAGTAGCGTGTGGCCTCTCTCAACTCGAATGTCAATCCTGAGCTTTTGAGAACGAAGGAAATTGTTGATGACTTCTAGTTGGCCTTGTGGTGACACATAACGTAAGAGCGTCCTGTCATCAAAATTCCCCCTCTCAACGGCTGCGCCCCTCTCTAACAGCAGATTAACAACATCCAGATGACTAGAGGTTGAAGCTGTATGTAGCGGAGTCCCCAGACGGATATCCACACTTTCAATGTCCGCTCCTTTATCGAGCAACAGATTGACAGTATCGAGTGAGTCAATCAATAAAGCAAGATGTAAAGGTGTGAGGCCATCTTTCGTCACATTTTTTAGAGCCGCTCCCTTCTCAAGCAAAAGATTGACAAGCTCTAGGGAGCCACCAAGGATAGCAGCATGTAAAGACGTCATACCAGACTTGGTCGCGCTAGTAATGCTTGCCCCCTTCTCGAGCAACAGATTGGCAACTTCCAGGTGGCCCTCCAAGGAGGCTATATGAAGGGGCGTTCTGTTGTCAAAATCCGCGCTTTCAATCGCTGCTCCCTTCTCAAGCAGTACAGTAATGACCTCCAAAAAGCCTAGCTCACAAGCGATGCTCAGCGGTGTGAAGCCAATACTATCCGTAACTTCAAGGTCTGCTCCCTTGGTAATGAGGATTCTAGCAACCTCGGTGTGACCTCTAAGGCAAGCGGTATAAATAGGTGTGTCCCCATCCTCATCCCTGACGTGAATATCTGCTCCTCTTTCAATAAGAAGTTGAACGATGTCCACAAACCCTTGATACGACGCGATACCCATTACCCTTGATATTTGTTGGTTCTGATAGTTAATAGCTGTCTTTTGATCAAGCAATAGGCGCACAACCTCAATATGACCTCCAAGACAAGCGCTATAGAGAGGTGTGTCCCCATTCTTATCTATGACGTTGAAATTTGCCCCTTTATCAAGCAATAGGTGCACAGCTTCAATATCGCCGTCGTAGCAAGCGCTATGAAGTGGTGTGCTCCCATCCTTATTCGGGGTGCCAACATCTGCTCCGCTTTCCATAAGAAGTAGAACAATGTCCATAGATCTTCGGTATAACGCGATATCTATCGCCGTTGATATTTGTTGTTTCTGATAGTTGACGGTTGCCCCTTTGTCAAGCAATAGGCGCACGACCTCAATATGACCTCTAAGACAAGCGTTATAGAGAATTGTGTCCCCATTCTTATCCAAGACGTTGCAATCTGCCCCTTTATCAAGCAATAGACGCAAAACCTCAACGTGACCTTTAAAGCAAGCGATATAGAGAGGTGTGTCCCCATTCCTATCTAGGACGTTGAAATCTGCCCCCCTATCAAGCAATAGGCGCACAGCCTCAATGTGGCCGTCGTAGCAAGCGCTATGAAGAGGTGTGTTTCCATCCTTGTCTGTGAGATCAACATCTGCCCCTCTATCAAGAAGTAGGCGCATAACATCCATATGATATTCGTAGCAAGTGCTATAGAGAGGTGTGTCTCCGATCTTATCCATGACGTTGACATCCGCCCCTCTCTCAATAAGGAGCAGAACAATGTCTAAATACCCATTATAAGATGCGACGTCTATCGCCGTTGATCGTTGTTGGCTCTGATAGTCAATATCTGCCCCTTTGTCAAGTAATATGCGCACAACCTCAATATGACCTGCGCGGCAAGCGCTATAGAGAGGTGTTTTCCCATCATTATCTAGGACGTTGACATCTGCCCCCCTCTCAATGAGAAGCAGAACAATGTCTACAGATCCATTGAGGGAAGCAGAAATAAGGGGTACCCATCCTCCATTGGCGGTGATTATATCTGGTTTCCATTGCAGAAGAATTTCAGCTACCTGATGATGACCGTTTAAGCAGGCACAATAAAGTGGCGCTTTTGATCCATCAGATCCATTGTTGATTTCGTTGCCCTTCTCAAGAAGCATTCTTACTATGTCGACATGCCCATTGCACGCGGCGGTGTGAAGAGGAGTGTGTTCATTATCACCGGCAATGTCAAGATTCGCGCCATTATTTAGGAGCTTCTTGGCAGCCTCCAGGTTTCCTCTTTCACAGGCTGCTACTAATGGCGTCCGTCCAAAGTTTCCTTGCTCATCAATGGGGCATTCTTTGCTTCGAAGGAGGAGGTCCATAGTATCAGTCAGATCAAGCCATGTTGCGTAGTACAGAGGGCTCATGGAGGTAGTTTGTGTAGTTCGTCCGTCTTCAGAGACTGACATATCTGAATCGTCTTTGCTGTTGGAAGACCCTATCTCTTGTTGGTCTTCTTCGTCTTCTTCGTCTTCTCCATCGTCTTCGTCGTCTTCGGTGTCTTCGTCATCTTCGTCACCTGACGAGTCTAATGAGTCTGATGAGTCTGATGAGTCTGATGAGTCTGATGAGTCTGATGAGTCTGATAATTCTGATGAGTCTGAATCTTCGACGACGTCGAGGCACCCTATACTTTGTGACTCATCATTCAAGTCGAACCATATCTTCCACGAGGCCCAGTTTGGATTTTTGATATCAAAAAGCTGGTTCACAAATTTTACCAGCTCTGAGTCATGCACATCTCCGAAAGAGGCGTGCTGATACCATGATCCAGCGGCATAGTGGAGGAAAGAGCCTAGGATCTTGTTTCTTTCTTCGTCAGAGGTGTCTTGCCAAACTTCTTCGCATTCCACGTAACAAAGACACATCTTAGCAGCTAAAGTGTTCTCGCTTCCTTCGGTAGAAGATTCCAAGCTCGAGTTGAGTTGTATTAGTCTTCCCTGCACCGGAAGATTGCATAGCAAGTATTCCTTGACAGAGAAATGAGCCAAATGTACTGTTCGGGATCCAGGATCACAATCCGCCTGGGGACTTCGAAGTTCAATCAATGACCCACAAAGTTCCATTATTTCTGTTTTAATATAGCTCTCGCTGATGCTGTCCGGGACCTCATCGAATCTAACCTCATCGTAGTCCGCACTGATCAACAGGGCCCCGGTAATCTCACAGACTGAAAGCGGTCGAAGAGCAAACGCGGCCCATCGTAACAAGGAGATGGTTCGTTCTCGGTCATCCTCTGAAAGATTCGAGATTCCCATCCATTCTCGGTCGTATGTCTTGTCAAGGCCAGGGGGGTGGAATTGATCGCTTTTTCGAGTTGTTTTTGGCTTTTCCCACTACGCAGCTGACGTTCCTGCATCTGGACCCAAAGGAACTGTCCATTACAGCGTTCAGCCAGTTTCTGGGCAATATCTTCCTTGGTCGTTTCTGTCTTTGTTGATAATTGTTTGTTCACTATGCTTCGGGAAAACATCTCGAGATCGGACCGAACATCCTCGGGTGTAATACTGTGCTGGATGACAATATCATTGATACCAGCCTCGTTAAAAAGACAAGTCTGGATCTCTGGCTCAGCACGACTAACAATCAGAATGCGAGTAGATGTCCCAGCGATTGCTCGTCTCAATGCCTCTAGAAATTCAACAATCGAAGCGCCATCGTTGGAGTTAGGGTCCTGTCCAATCCATCTACACTCATCGAGACCATCCAGAATAAATGTGCACCGCGGTATCTCCATGACGAGATCACGTAGAAGCTCTAGTGTATTGCCACGAGTTGCTTTCTGTCCTTGTTGCGTTGTCAATTTCTCGCGGGCCAAAGAAAAAAAGACAGGGTGACGAATCAACTGGGACAGCCATGATCTGATCGCGATAAATGGGTCCCTTCTGCTTTCAAAGTCGGATGAGAAAAAGAAATGAGCAACGGGGTCCTTCGAATTGGAAGAAAGATAGTCAATGACTCTCGCACATATGACCGACTTCCCAAATCCTGCACGACCATTGATCCAGAGGATCTTAGCACCTCCAGTTGGGAAGTCCGGCGAGGTCCAGTCGAGGAACCAGGGCTGACCCAAAACCCACTCGCAAGTCCCTTCAATTTTTCTCTGAGAAAATATCTCGTACAGATCGTTCGTAGAGGTAGAGCCGAGCAGCCATTCGTGTAGATCTCGTCTATACTCATCTGAAACCATGAAGTATGAGCGAAAGAATACGAATAAAGAATGGGGAAATGAGATGGTAATGACCTTCCATCTGAGTCTCTATGCTCTTCAACAGACTTTTGAGCTCAGTTTGCCATGCATCTACCTCTGCCACTCTGTCTGAAAGGACGAAAACCAATGAGCATTTCAAAGTTTAGGACAGTGGTACATGATCGCTTACCACCAGTCGGCTTTCTGCCTTTATATCCCTGTGGATTCTCGATCGGCACCAAGTCATGAAGAGTCTCTACCAATTTGGAGAATCGATCAACTTGAGCTATTCGCTTAGCTTTAGTTCTCAGCACCCATCCAAGTTTTTGGCGTTTAGATTCGCGGGGAGCTTGGCGGTGAAATAGTTGGTCTTTGGTGGGTGCTTCGTCTTTCCCCAGCTTCGATGTCAGAAACGCTTTATCCTCATCACGGCAAACAGCGTCGATTGCGAAGAGGACATCTTTAACAGTTGACTCGATCTTTGGATCATCAAGAAGGGCGTTGTGCTCATATGAGATTTCGTCGTCTTCCAGACCCACGGCCAGACCCCACCTTATGAGTCGAAGTTTTTGAGCTTTGAATTGGGCAACAAGAGAAGCAAACTCGGAATCGTAGTCTTTCCATGAATCGAATCTGCCAACTGCGTCCAAGCAAGTACTAAAAAGACCTGCTAGTCCTATGAGTCCGACTGCAAAGCTGACGGGCTCCATGGCGAATATTTGTGTTGTACTTCCAAGGTTCTAAGTGATAGTTGCAACGAAGGTCCTGGGGCAGCTGTGGGGCTAGCCGCGGGAGGGAACAATGACCTTGACCAGAGCCTCCGAGCGGGAACTAAGGGCTCTTATATAAGCAAGGCTGAGAGATGGATACGGATGGATCAAAGACTCCCGAGGTCTAAGTGATGGCCGCTGGAATACTTTCAGTGCTATAAATCGGAGGTGAGGTGGCGGCGAAATACTGAATAACTCAAATTTCGGTTTCATCACAATCAGAATTTCCAAGTAAAGAAATATGAGTCTTGTTCATATCGCTCGAGCCCTCTCTTTAAAGGTTGTCTCTAGGGCATCCTTGGAAGGTTCCTCTATTGCTTACATGTACTTTTGTAACACCCCTACGGGCGACTAAGTATGCCAACCGGGACTTAATCATTATTGGTCCATATTGCCAGGCAGTATTTTAGTCACCCAAGAGTCGAATAACTACCTGAACTCTACCTTATCTTAGACTGGGATAAATTAAAATACTCGATTACTATGATAGAGGGCTCAATGAGCAAAGTGTTGACAACCTGATAACCTGACAACTGGTGTTTGCACCGTTTGCAGCTATATATCTTTTTACTAGGAGCAACTAATAACGTCCCGGTCCCCTACTACCTAGGACTTACTGGTAAAAGTTTACTAGGACTAGTAAGCAAAACTCACCTGACAAGCTAACCACCTGACGACCTCCCTATCCGGCTGACAGCCTGATCCTCTGGCTCGAACATTGAGAGCTACTTGACACTGGCATGTAGACTTCCGCAGAGCCCACAAAGCCCAAAGCCCAACCCGGACCCAACCCGCAAATGGGCTGGGTTTTGGGCCCGGCCTCGGGCCCATCGATGGGCTATAGGCCTAAAGTAGAAGCCCACTGCGGGCTAATGGGCCCCCAAATGGGCCCCAAACAGTACAAATATACCGAGAATTAAGTTGAACCCCCTTGTAGGGTTTTTAAATTACCCTTCGTTTTACCCCCGTTTCTAAGCCTTATCCTAAAGGTAATATTTTATTAGTTTAAATGATTTAGAATCAATCACTAGTTATCTCTCTATATCGCGTTTTAAAATATAAAAAAGCGCGGTATTTGGATAATTTATAAATTGCAGAAGTTGACTTAGAAAGTAGTAGTACTCCTATACAAACCCAAAAATACATAATATATCTTATCAAAACATTAAGATTAATGGTATCTTGACTTCTATCAGTTAGATTTTATTCAAAATTAAAATATATACTTATACAGCTACTACAATTCTAGATTCTAAATTCGAACTTTACTTACCTAGTGGAAGGTCGTGATACAGCGATTACAGAGGCCGCCTAGGATGGGCTTTAATGGGGGCCTTATGGGCCCCCACTGATAGGCTGTAGGTTGGGTTTCGAAGGGCCCATTTATGGGCTTTGCGGAAGTCTACTGGCATGCACACTAAGCTTTGCAGCTGACCAAGTGTGCTACAATCTGGCCCCCATTCTCATGTCATGTGGCATCTGTCATTTCAAGGTTTGAACTGAGGTATTTTCCCGCAAAGAAACTGCCTGGAACCTACATGAACAGGCCTGTACAGTGGCATTCCATAACGCACACCGGTAATTCGTCAAATCAGCAATATGGATTTTTTTCAATCGGCAGGGTTTGCGTCAGATGTGACAGAGTTGATGAAGCAGCAGCATGTCCCGGGGCTGGCGATTGCAATCATACACAATGATCAAATCATCTCTGCGGGGTATGGACATGCGAGCCTGGATCCCGAAATACCTTGCACGGCAGATACGCTGTTTGACATTGCATCGTCTGCTAAATCACTCACTGCTGCGGCGGTGGGATTGCTAGTCGACGATAATGACATGTTCCCGGATATTCAGTACGATGCCGTAATGTCGACTCTTCTCCCCGAGGACTTTGTTATGTCTGGAGAAGGATACACAGAAGGAGTCACCGTGGAAGATATTTTAAGTCATAGAAGTGGAATGCCTAGGTGAGCTAATATTTTTCAAATTCCATGTTTGAGTTTAAGACTAATGATATTGCGCCAGCCATGACGATTCGTATATGAGTGTGCGAGCGGCGAAGCCAGACGATGCTCGATCTATTACGAGAAACCTCAGAAACCTCCCTGTCGCTGCTCCCATTCGATCAAGGTATATTTACTGCAACATGATGTATACAGTGGCAACCCATCTTGTGGAAGTCAAGAGCGGACAGAATTTTGGTACATTCCTCGAAGAGCGATTTTTCAAGCCTCTGGACATGGCATCAACTACTCTTCAACCTAGCAGCGCACGATCAAAAGGATTTGAATCCCGCATGGCAACTGGCTACACATGGAAAAGAGCTGACTCAACATATCGTGGGTTAGAAAATCCAGACTGCCCAGAAGGCCAAGGCGCAGGGTCTATCATTTCGAGCGTGAACGACTTCATCAAATTTGTCAAGGCTTTTATCAATCGCGAAGACCCTATCAATAAAAATTTTTATGAAGGGCTCACTCGCCTGCGAACTTTTGTGAATCCAAACCCAGGAAGACGGAAGCGGTACACATCACCGGTAGCATATGCTGCTGGCCTGGATATCTACTTTTACAAGGGACATATGGTTGTCGGCCATAATGGGGTATTCTCTGGATTCGGAAGTCGCTTCTTCTTTCTCCCTGATTTCTCATTCGGTGCTGTGATTATGGGAAACTCAGATGGGGCAAATGGCGTTGCGACGACCCTTGTCCAAAAGCTAATTGACAATCTCCATGGAGTCACGGACGAAAGACCTCATGATAGCAAAAGCAAAGCTACACGATCTGTTGAAATTCGCGGTCCAAAACCCCAGGCCGAGGTGAAAGATGCAAATCCAATGAGTAAGAACCAAGAAAAGAAGGAGAAAAAAAAGCAGGAAAAGAAAACCCAAGTGAAGAAAAGTCAAGATATCCAGAAGAGCGAAGTGAATGAACAAAAAACAAAAGGGAATAATACTCCGCAGCCACCGACAATGGCTTTCAGTGCTTACGCTGGCAACTACTGGAATCCTGGGTATCATAACTTACTGGTTCAAATCAGAGATAATGCGCTCTTCATCGATGCTACAGATCGCTCAATGGGGTTTACCTTGAAATTCGAACATATGTCCGATGACCGAAAATTCGATGCTCATCTTACTGATTGGCTCGATGGCAGTGATAACATCGTAAAAGCGGAGTTTGTAAAAGAAGATGCTCAAGTCACAAGGTTAGGTCTGCAGTTTGAGGAAATGCTCAAGGAAATGATCTGGTTCGAGAAGAAGGATGAAGTTCTTTCTTGACAATATTCCTCCTGACAGAGCTGGATACATTTACAAGAGGATATTTTGCAAAGAGAAGGAGAAACTTAAAATGACAAATATTTGACCAATTGGCCTGTGTTTAAACTCTCCGAAGTAGTCGTTCAGCTTGAAGATATGATGTGGTATGTAGTGGCACACAGACAGCCTGGAGATGGATCTTTCCAATAGTGATTCATGAGCTCGAAGAGATTAGGTACCATTTGAATCAACACTAAGGACATATCCTTGCCTCTCCATGTGAGCTGATATCAGACTAGCGCTCACCAAGTCACCACCAAGATCAAAAATTGTCTCGCCAGCTTTCATCTTAGGGCTAAGGCTGCAATTAAAGGTGTCACTCCACGCACTCTCAAGCGCCCATTCCATTTCAATCGGGCTAATGCTAGCAACCATGAACTGTTCATTTGTTGGGGTTGCACTGAGAGGCCTCTCTGAGGGTAGCAATTTGGTTGTCTGCAGATATCTGATCTCGGGAGATAACAAAGGCATGTCCATGATATTGCAGAAAACGATGATAGTTTCCGTCAGTTTCGCAGCCAGCAGTCCAGCGTCACGATCAGATGCCACGCCCATCGTCAAAGTCATGGTTATAAACGATGGATCCTGCATATGTCCACTTCGGCCATGTTGTACAGTCACGGACAATTTCGCGTGTGCCTATATTCTCGTGCTCCGTACGGATTACGCACGCTTGTCAGGGCGGACCAGCGTTGGGCATATTCAAGCGAGAGCTCTGTAAAATTTACCCGGTACACGAGTTATCGGCAGGATCCCATGCCATATACACCTGTCGTTGTCTGTTTCATAGCTATAAAAGAAGAAAACAAATGTATCATAAATTTTGTGGTTTAGCCAAGTGGCCACGAAACGACATACACCGGTCTCAAAACCAGCTATGAGGATAAATTCGCCGTCTTTAATGTACAATGCTTCGACACGGGCCGTAGGAGGCGGTATTAAAAGCGAGGGGGGGGAGGAGTAGGAACAAAACGGGAGCCTCTGTGCTATGTTGTTTAGGAATAATGACATCAACCGAACGCCTGAGAAGAGAGACTTGATGAGAAGATGTTGTTATATGAAGACACGGGTAGAAAGGAGGGTAGGTTGATGGCGATCGAAGGAAGATATGAACTGAAAGCGAGAATTCAAGCGTGGGCCTTCTGCTCCGACGGAGGAAGGGGAGGAAGCTAATAATGTTTATAGTTAGCAAACACGTCTAATTGCATACGGATCAACTAGAAGACGAGTTCGACATACCTCGAGCTTTGTATTATCGGCCATCATGCGCTGGAAACCAATACCGACACCCTCGATGACAGCAAGGAAGACGGCACACATAATAGCGGAGTTTCGGGCGGCTTTGTAACCACCACGGATAGCGAGGGAGCCACCAGTAAAGAAACCAGCAATGATAGCGTTATAGGGATCTTCCTTCTTGCGGATACCCTTAATTGAACAGTCGTAAATACTGAAAAGACCTCCCCAACAGCCGAAGTTACCGCCGAGAACGGGCGCGCGCGCTTTGATTGCTGTGAGCGCACCTATCCGGCGCTCGCCATAAGGACTGTTGCGGAACCCCTTAACACCGTGCCAGACAGCACCACCAATAGCACCCATGGCGAAGGCACCGCCAAAGTCGCTCAAAGCAACCCAAGGACAGGGATCGCGCGTGTGATCCATGATGTGTGAATGAGGTGGACGGGAGAAGGATCGGAAAGAAGAGGCGCGTCACCGGGATGAGATCAGATGTGAAAAGCGCGAGAGTCGTAAAGGTCGAGGATTTAAAAATGGCAATAAACCCAGCGGTGACACGAGATAAGATGGAGGATCAATGGCTCAAGAAATTCTAGATGGGGTACACGTGACATTGAAAAAATGTCCCTAGGGGTTTTGCAAGGTTTGCATCTAATCTACGCCTCAGGCATAAACTGTGATTTTTATGAGTGGTCATGTGATCCTGTTTAAGTTGTAAAGTAGCCGATGTATATACTACACATCTTCTTTTTATTGTCCTACCCAATACCATCTCTACAAACTCATGGAACCGAGTGCTAGTGTTTTACAAGACATTTTCGTAACTGTGATGCTCTAGTCTGAATATATGTAGTACAAGAATATTCATGTCCGAAGATCAAGCATGTAAAAATATCGAGTAATGAATTCTAGAATCCTAACCAACTAAGAATAAGGTACAATACAAATAATCAAGGGCTAACTATTCTAAGAAGTGTTTTGTCTGATCTATCCCTAACCATACACAGCACAAAATATATCGTTACTAATGTGCCATACTATAGAGGTGGGGGTCAACATTCCCCCGGTACGCCGGGGTGCCGCTGCGGCCGGGCGCCCCATGCGCCCCCCCATCTTACTATATTCTACTCCGGCACAGACAATTATCCAGTATGGATCTGATGATCAGACCCCAGAGAAGAAAAAGATGATGATTTCAGTAAGATATTTGATATCTCCCGGTGAAAGAAAGGGCATTCTATGTGCGACTTCAACAATTTACGAGTGGCTTGGTCTATAGCCCTAACATAATACCAAAATTCCTTACACCAAGGATTCTAGATCCCACCACCCTTGATTAGCTGTAGTTCTTGTAATATAAATTATCGCTTCCCAACCTCATCACTCAATAAAACGTCTTCCACCATTCAAACGCATTAGCCCCCTCTACCGGGGTTGCTGGACCTCCGCTGGAAGGGTTTGGGGCTGACTTCACGGGGCTCTGATACCAAATGCCCAGCTAGTAATGTGCAGATTACTGCGAAACTGTCTGGACAGGCTGGGAGCCACCGTTGGAGCCAACATGAGGAGGAGACTGGTTTGCGCTAGATAAGCTGTTAGCTTAATCATTTCTCTGCGGTTCACGTATCGGTAACAGATATGACAGAGATCTGGTGCCTAGCTTACTGGGAGAGTTTCTTCGCAATAAAGTAGGTGCAGGTGCCCAGGAGAGCAACTTTGAGTAGGCCGCCCATTCCACCGCGAAGACCGTGGGCATGTCGAGGGACGAAGCCCCGGAAGAAAGTCCGCCGGGAAGAGCGATATCCACGTAGTGCAAAGGAGCCCATATTGTCTATAGTAGATGAGAAAAGATGGATGAGAGATGTGGTTGAGATAGATAAATGTTTTTGACTAAAATTATTGAGCAGAAGACTGGTGGCCACCTGGGCGTATTTAGTAGCATCTGGTGATAAGACCGAAGACCGAACTTTCTACACCGAGACCGACCCCGAGGCCGGGTTCTTTTCATGCTTTATGGCTGCCTGAAGCTCATGTCATGTGGGGGCCAAATTGAGGTATTTCTGTGGGAAACTTGGTAAATCACCGCTAATTCCTAGAACCATCGATATAGAAGGTCTCGACCAAAACCTAGTCTAGTCTGACTCGATGTTTACAGCCACCTAGGCCGAGCGTATGATATTATGCCAGGGCAGAGAAAATAGACATACCCAGATAGAGAAACCCGATTATTGAATTATTTTAATTGCAATTGAGATAAATACATTCAAACTAATAAGTGAGAATATGGGTGAATAGCTAGGAAGTTGCGTCATTTTATGGCTAAGTTTTAGCATTGTTTGCATCTATACCTCTTACCAATCCATGCTCGACGTATCCATCATCGGGAAGAACAATAAGCTGGGAATTTCCAATCCCAAGGCAGGGTCCTAAACTGTAAGTTCGATGGCAAACACGTAAAATGAAGAGGTGGAGAAGGAGAAAGGCTACGGAAGCAACAAAAGGAAAGAAGTACTTACTAAAGCATCCACATCAAAATCTGCAGCACTGTCTGTCCCCATAGTCAGCGACTCAACCGATTCCTGCGGCGAACTGGCCGCATGAGAGACCTGCAGCAAGAAATGACATTTCTTTAGGCTTTCTTTGACGGTCTCGTAAATGGCGGGTTGAATTGGCTGGCCCGACTCCATTGCACGGATCTGGCTCAAAATCGCAGACAGGAAGTTGTATCGCTTCAGACTGGGATTTCCAAGAGCGATAATCTGCAGTAGCTGCTCTTGAATGTGTTCCAGGCTCCGGATTAAGGGCAATCGATAGGTCTTGGCCATTTCATCTAGGGGATCGGCGATAAATGGCGGAGAAGATCCCAAGGGCCGTGTAGAAGCCTCCTCCTCGAGTTGTGTGACAATTTCCAGCCCTAGGGAGGTGATCACATCGAAGCTTAAGGCTCCTTTGAATGAGCCTCTACCTACAATGGTCAGGTGAGAGAGATCATCCAAGGTGTCTGCCGGTAGATTGAGATGATCGGCATACGATGCAACCACGATGCAGGACTCCAGACACACCTTACGGGACAGGTAAAATCGTGGATCTTTGCGAGCCTGGATCATGAACGGGCGATGCAGGAATAATATGTATCGACGTAGGTACGTGTCGAGAAACCGGAGATGGAAGTTGGTCATGCCCGGAGTGCGATCCGCTTGTCTCGACTGATTCTGACTGGTGTAGAACAAGGCGGCAATATCGCGGCACGCCGAGCGCAATTCATTTCCCAGTCTCAATGCGGTTTCGTAAGACAGTTCCTGACGGTGCTGGTTGTTCACAAGCCGGATCGCTTCTACTCGCACGGGAAGAGACTTGAGCAGGAGGATCTGAATGGACGAGTCGGTAAAGTGCCGACTCGACTGCGGGGTGGAAAGCGTCTCAGTCTCGGGGTCGAACTGCTCGTCATCCAGATTCGACAGCCCTGTGCGGTCAATGTCCTGTAGGGAGAACGGTAAAGGGATCGCGGCGTCCAGCGACGACAGTAACGTCAGTTCCAGCACCGTCGCCCACAGTCGGTCTCGCATTTGGGACTGGTACACCGACAGTGCGGGAAAGAGGTTGGGAGTGCGGTGCAGTCCCATCACCATAGCCATACGCAACACGGACCCCGCAGAGAACCAGCTCGTGCCCGGAAGGTTGTTCGTCTGGCGGGCCAGCAATAAGAGACAACCAACTTGCAGGCCATCTAGATTGACGTTCGACTTTTCCAATGGTCCGATTAGCCACCATTGTGCGGCATATATCCATGTTTGTGCGAGGCGGCGGAGATGCACTTTATTGCTTCGATCTGGGTAGAATGTGGTACCCAGGGCAAGGATCAAGACCAGCTTCATCAGGAAATCGGTCGAGGTTGACTGCGGCTGGGCCCACAACTGATGATACTCTTTCCAGAAGGATGGGATATGAATAACCCGGTAAATGAGCTCGAAAGTGCGGAGATAGGCATCGACCAGAACATCGCATACTACTTGGGTCGGGAGCGTGCCCAGCAAGTCCGGAACCGGATGGTTGATTTGAACAGACTCTTGGGCTTTGATGGCATGTCTGAGATTCCGACAGTCCTTGAACATGCTGCCAAACTCCGATCTAGCATCCACATCCCGTAGCGACGGCTCTACTTCTTTGGCATCGAATTTGCCAAGGAATTGAAACTATGGATTGAAAATTAGTTAGCTACAAGGCTTTTGTAAGTTGGGGGAGGTAAGTCCGATACGCCATACTTTCTCAGCGGTATGCAGCCAGTGACTGGGGCCAAACAGCTTCGTCTTATTGCTTGTGACACGCAGACGAGGTAGGGTGGCCGGAATGGCCCATCCATTGACCAAAGGACTGAGACGAGATACATTAGACAACTGTTCTTCAGTCCCGAGGACGCGGTCGTGAAAGTGATACAGGGCTTGAGTCTGAGAGACACTGGGATTGGGACAGATAGTGGCTTGAGAGAGCGGAGGGACGGGAAGCTGTTCTTCCAAACATTGAAGACGGCGTTGCAGATCCTGGATTATCTTGTTCTGATACTGGCATTGGTCCTGAGACTGCGATTGCGACGTGGGTGCAGGTGGACGGCTCTGTGCCTGCGGGTCAACGACTTGGGAAGGAGGCGTATGTCCCTCCAGCACGCCAGGAGCCGTGGACTGGGAGAATTCACCACCGGAGGGACTACCGGCAGCGACCACGGGGCGATAGAAACACTGCGGCGAAGTTCTCGCACGCTCACATGGGCCACAAGGAAATTCCCGATCACAACGGATTTTGCGACGACGACACGGATCACAGGACTTGGGTGGCCGGCGGCGTTTACGCGGTGGAGGCGTGGTCAGTGATGGATGGCCCTGATCCTGCGCCATGACTACTACTGGGTATAGGTGATGGCAAGAGCAAATGGGACACAGCAAGTGAGGTGAAGTTAGATGGACCCCGAGTGACTAGGGGTAAAGATGCCAAAACGCCGTCGGGCTCGGGCCGAACTTTATCATCACACTGGACACATTAACTCCGGAAACCCTAAACTCCGGTGAAATGACCGAGAATCATCGGCGAGCCACCAGAACAGGGCTCTCTTTAAAAGGAATCATAGAATTACAGTACCGCATGTGCCATTTCATACAATGGGCAGCCACAGTCTTGTTGATCTCATTCCTACTACTCACCGACGCGCTAATCATTCATCATGGCGGATGCTAGTCTAGAGAAGGGCCCCGAGGAGCCTTTGGAAGAGGTCCCCAACGCCGCACCGCCAAGTGTTCCTGACGGCGGCCTCCAAGCATGGCTGACAGTCGCGGGCGCATCTGTCGCTCTGTTTGTCTCATTCGGCTGGGTCAACTGCATTGGACTCTTCCAGGCTGAGTATGAAACGAACCAGTTGAAGGACTTCTCGAGCTCGGATGTATCCTGGATCACGTCTATGGAATGTATGTACTGTACAATGTATTCACGTTCTCCTCTCGGCGAGCTGACAGCCCTAGTTTTCTTCATGCTTTTCACTTCCCCCGTGGCGGGTAAGCTGTTCGACAGCTATGGCCCCCGCGTGCCTATTGCGATCGGATCGGTCTTGCATGTCTTTGGGCTGATGATGGCCAGTCTCTCTTATAAGTATTATCAGTTCATGCTGAGCCAGTCTGTGGTGTCTGGGATTGGTAGTTCGTTGATCTTCACCCCGGCAATGACTGCAGTAAGTTTCAAAACCAATCCCGTTGAAGAAGAACAGCCTCCTAATCAGGAAACCCAAGCCCCAGACCTGGTTCCGCCAGAAGCGGGGCCTTGTTGGGGGTTTGACAGTGGCAGGATCATCGTTGGGCGGCGTCATTTTTCCGCTGATGGTGCAGCATCTGCTGCCACAGGTGGGCTTTGGCTGGACGATGCGGATCTGCGCCTTTTTAATCCTGGGCCTGCTGGTTATCGCCAATCTCACCATCTCGTCCAATTTCCCACATACACCACGTCCGTTTTCTGTGATGCGCTATCTCGGACCGCTGCAGGAGCTCAACTTCGGCATCCTGTGTACGGCCAGTTTTTTCATGTACTGTGAGTACAGCACATCCATACCGAGAGGAGACATGTTGCATCACTAACAAATCATTCTTTTCAGGGGGACTGTCCGTTCCCTTTGATTATATCGTCGTCGAAGCCATCCACTACGGCATGTCGTCGCACATGGCGTGGTCGTTAGTTCCGATTCTCAATGGCGCTAGTTTCTTCGGTCGTACCGTGCCCAACTACATCGCGGATAAGGTCGGTCGCTTCAATGTGATGCTCGTCATGACCTCTTTATCCGCTATTCTGGTGTTGGCATTGTGGCTTCCCTCCCGAGGAAATGGCGCGCTCATCACCTTTGCGGCCTTATTTGGCATCACTTCGGGTGCTATTATCGGCCTGGGACCCGTCCTAATTGTCTCCATCTCGCCAATGAACGAGTTGGGTTATCGGATGGGTACTATCTTGGCCTTTGCTGCGGTGGGAACCTTGACCAGTCCGCCTATTGGAGGCGCGATTGCCGCCGACACTGGGGGTAGTTACACCTATACGTGTGTCTTTTCGGGCGTGAGCTTTGTTATGGGTACCATTGGTCTTGCTGCTCTACGTGTGCGTCTTTCTGGATGGGGGCTTACTACGAAGATTTAAATAACTGGCGTAATGACTGAATTGGAATAAAAGAACCGGGGACGGACTACGGCACACGCAGGGGGGAGGGGACATTTTGTGAGGGCAAGTCATAGAACAACGTATATCTATAGATTGAGAATTGAGTAAGACGACGGTCAGTATCAGTTAATAAATTGCGAGGAACGTCCTATCAGATTGTTCCAAAAACTAGTGTCTGTGCATCATTTGTGGATATCGGTAACAGACACGGGTCTTCCGAACCTGATGGAGGCAGTGGAAGCAATATCCGTTCGCCTAGACGATTACTGCTCCCACCAACAGTCTCCTCCAATGCGGCACAGCAACAATCCAGACTCTACTTAGCTGCTTGAAGGATAGCGCGGTCGACGAATCTCTTCGCGCGCATGGCATGGATCTAGGTGGTGGCACAGGAATCGAAGACGTAGTCGTTATAAGCGGACGGGTTCCGATGCGCGCAGCACTTAAATACTGCATCACTTCCCGAACGGCCTGGTACGGGTGACCATGGCAGTTGCAATCGGTCACTGGTAAAGCATTCTCTATTTCACTGTCGATCAGGTTAAGAGACAGAGTACTAGCGGCATGTCGAAGTCCATTGGTAAAGATATCAGTCATCGGCGACTGCAGCACTGCAGAGCCAGGGGAAACAAATATGCCATATAGAAGCCTACCAGGCAATCACAGGTCCCATAGTCAGGAACCAGGCAACGACAATTCACGCAGGACGCAGTGCCAGTCGGCCAGCCTAGGACCACTTTTTAACTGTAGCTCCGAGATGCTCTTGGGTCGTGTCTTTCTGGCTTGTGTGAGCAGCGCATTTTCAATTCCTGTGCCATTCCCCAGTCTATGGCCATGGCCACGCTGGAGTTATGTTTCTGCAATTCCACAGTGGTTGAAAAAAGAAACTTGGAAATAATCACGCGAGATGCGTTCCAGCTGATTCTTGAGTCCAGAAGATCTCGAAAGCGTCTGTAAGGTCTTTTATCGTTTTGTTCACCAAATTCAACAAAAGAGCAACCCCCCATGATCCTCATTACTTGAAGATTAACATTACATGCGAACAGGTCTGCACTCTCATAGTTGTGTGTACATTGGGAGAATTACTATAACTATGGCACCACAGAGTGCCGAACCTGCTCAGAGCAATACTATGGAATGATTTGGTCCCCAGTGAGTGGCGAGGTCAGCATCACGGCTTTGACGAGAGGAGTGCTTTAATACTGGACAATTGTTTGCCAGCATAGCCTTCATCTCAACCTCAGTACCCTATAGGGGTCGCCTAGCTCACTGAATTTCCTGGTTTACGCCATACTATAGGCCATATCCGTCAAGACGGTGTCAAGATGGGGTTGCCCTTATGTAGCTATGAAATGAACAAAGTAATCCTCTTCCAAATTCATATTCAATGCTTGCTTGCTATGTACTTTCTTTTCCGTAGACACAACTCTCTGTGCCGCTAGTATATTGCTCCTCGCAATTAGACCGAGCCCAAGTAACTTGCGTGGTCAGGATGATCGTATTATTGGCTTTCAATTCCGAGGGACTGTAACCGAGCTCAACATCGCCAGCTTCAATGGTAGTGACTGTCTGATCTTGCGTGCGATTTGCGAAGTTCGACGTTTGCTGGAGATTGTAGTCCAACCGTGTCCGACCGCTGTAGTTGGTAGAACCGTTATACGGACCGGTGCTGGATGAGCCGAAGACCTTCGGAACGAGCCTGGTAATGAGCGGCTTGAACGATGGAGCGCACGCAGCGACGAACGATAGGCCAACTTCGATAGTGGACACACAAAAGAGAACCGAGTGCGTGGGATTCTCCGGTATATGGCGGTCGAAATTGTCAAGGAGAATTAGGCGAACAATGCCAGCCACCACAGTTCTTTGTTTTTTAGAAATGAATTGATGGGGAAAGAATATGTTTGGCTGAGCTACTCACAAAAGACCCAAGGACAGAATACCAATCAGCATCAGCTTCTGATTCCATTGCAGCTGCAGGCGATATACAATCCAGGTAGGCAGTATTAAGGCAAGGACGTCAGTGAGAATGGAGACTGAGGCGGTGGTGGTGACAAAGTCTGCAAAGTCAAGACATCTCGCATTGGGAAATGAAATCAAATCCCAATTAGCGGCGATTGGCGCGCATCGCAAAACAGTGATGAAAAATGTGATGACAGCGGCGATACCATTGAAAATTAAGAGTCCCCAGATGGCCAGGCGCACTGAGTTTTTCTGGCCAGTCAAACGTAGCAGGAAGAGTAATATGGAGGTCTTGACGAGTGCCAAAACGGGATTGTAGAGGATCTCGGTCTATTTTTATTAACAAGCGCGAACGAGCAAGGTGATAAAGAATGTGGTCTACCCACCACGTAACTATATTTGTTACCGAGAATGACAGGATAGTCAGTAGGTATATCCCAGACGTTATATCCGATATACATGTAAATAATCACTAAGGGATGATTAAATTCATGCACCAATGATATGAACTAGAGTAGTCTTGCTGTTCTGGTCTTACCTTTATAGGACGTAAATGTCTCCATCCAATACATGATCTGCCAATCTCTGTCAATTCTCTAGACTCGCTCTTAGGGTGATTTTGGTACTCACTATCGCGACACAAATAACCCAATCATCTGTTTTTAATTAGATCCATAGAACTCATAAGCTAAGAGGAATTGGAAATTGAACTGACCTGCGGCAAACGACTTCGTCAACGAGCGGCTATAAAGCCGCAACGCCACAGCCGCACTCGCGAAGCACGGAAAGGCAAAGATAAGGCCGATGGCCTGCGGTTGTAAGCTGTCACTAGAGCCCATGATCTCTCCGAATATTCGTCTCTTATGAAAATAGGGCGCACCTATCACTTATACTTTGGACAGGAAAACTTCGACTCACCTGGGCAACACATTTGGGTTATGTATGTAAGAGACTCTCAAGCAATTCCATCCCCCTCCCTGCACATAGATTAGACCGCATCTTCCTGTAGAATGGTTTTCGCACTTATTTAATAGTGGCGCTTACTAGGTGGGTTGAAGACAGCGCGTTGTCCATAGATTGTGATCTTCTTTTGCCGCCCAAGCATGGGTATCACTCGGGATCTACAGATATGTGCCAGCCACCAATTAGAATCAGGACTAGCAATTTAGTGCATCACTACCTAGGTAGGGTTACATCTATGGATATATAAGTATCAAGCAACCCCGCCCGGGGCCTCCCCCGCTACGTATAAATTAGACCGCATTCTACTACTGTAAAGAGGTTTTCGCACTTATTTCATAACGGCGCTTACCAATTGGGGCTAGAGACAGCCATGGAGCACATTTGTCCATATAACAGATTATGATCTTCAGATTTTTGCCGACCAATCATAGGTACCACTCAGGGTCTATAGATTTATGCCAACTCCTCATGATTCTGAAAAGGTTAGCCTCGCTTGATTGTCTCAGGTTCGTCTAGACTGCTATCTTCAGAAAATTTGCTCTGAGGGACTGATTTCGTTTGGCAGCATAGTCGTACTGTTCAGTCCAGACCCAGTCTTCTTCTGAGACCCACCCCACCCTCCCCACCTAGTTCATCACACCAGTGATCAACAACCGTGTTCAACCTCCATTGGCTCGTTCTTAGTTTGCTCTCCAATTTCCTGCTCTGAAAATTCAACAGGACACTTACAATTCTAATTCTTCACCAGGACGTGGGACCATATGTCACAAATTCGCATTAGATCTAGTCGCAAAGCTATGAGATTGCTCGACCATTGGCGGCCCGCAAAATTAATCAAGGGATCTTGTAGAGCTTTGAGATTCGCCTTGTCCAGTCCTTCATTGAAGAAAGAGTATAGATATAAATGTTTTTGCCGCCGAATGAGCTCGTCGACTTAAGCTTTGTCCTCGGAGCTCATTATATCATAACCGTCTAGATATTTTGGCGGGACCGAGCCTATCGGGGGCTCGGGGGAATGGTTCTCAGAAACTTTGGGATAGCCAGTAGCAAGGAGCAGTGTGGTGACAATTGTATGCTGCCAGTCGTTAATTCGGGTGGCATTGAATGTGTCTGAACCATGCAAATGCATTGCGTTCCACGAGCTTGGCACGTTCTCCATAACAAAACATGTAATCGGCAATGGGCCTGATATTGTAGGTGCCAGAATCTCAGTCCTTTTCCGGTGTGCCTAGCGAATGTAGTTGTCCATATCATTGGGGTGGGAGATATTTTTGAGATAAAGACTGCCTACAGAACCAAAAAGTTTGTCTATGGGGGTTTTTTTTAAAAAAAAGGTTTCAATATTCCTGTTACCAAGACCTTTTTCTATATTTTGTCGTGTGTGGATAATTCGCTGGTGACAGCTGCTTAGCTCTATACTAAAAAGTAATGCAAAGGGTATTATTATACACTACACTCACTCTATTCGACCGGCAGATTGCACATACTTTTTTGAGGCTATAGCTTGAGCACGGCCCACTATGATTACGAGTGGGCGGCCACGCATATCGTGGCGAGGAACAAGTCATCATAAAATGCGTGGCTTCGTATTATTTTTTATCGGGCATCAATTCTAGGGATCTAGTCGAGTCGACTCGAAAATCCTTCCACATCTGGATCCCATCTGGTGGCATCGCGTTCACCGTCAACTCCGTATCTGATTGCCCGTCATCGTCACTCCACCTCGTCTGGGGATTTGAAGCTGCAGCTTTGGGGCTCTCCGACGTGATCTCGCTTCGATTGGCGCCGGCATCCATGCGAGTGAGAGAATACCCCCGCGCCGAGGGTTTCTTGCCACTGAGCTCTCCCGATGGTGTTCCCGTCCCGTAAGCCGATGAGCCCAGCCAACTTCTAGGAAGTACGTTGGAGAACACCCGACGAAGCAGAGGCAGATTGGCTGCGACGATGGCGAGTTGCTGTTCGAGCATACTCCACATCAATGGGATGGGGAGGGTATATGTGAGGTCGTTGAAGTCGACGTTCATAAGACTGACAACACGGACCATGCTGATTGCGCTGACACTGTGGTTCAACGAAGATTAGCGCTTAACTTTGCAATAGAGAGCGGGGCGCACTTACAATATTCCTATCGAAAATGCCACCAATAAGCCAATCTTCCGGCCGATTCGCAGCTGGAGCTTCCAGATATATGGGATTGGAAGTGCCATGACCATAAAATCAGTCACCATGTTGAGTACTCCAGCTATCACAAAGGCTGCATTGCGATTCCCACATCCGCCCCCCGGTAACGTTGGGTTCCAGTTGAACGCGACGGGATGGCAAATAAGAAAGGACTCGAGGATGATACTAAGCGCCCACGCCCACACAATGGCACCGGTAACATAAATGGCAACCTGCATGTTGGCTTTGATACCAAAGAGCTTGTGATAGAGGGTCATCATCGATGTTTTGACAAGGGCCAGGCCGGTTCCATAGAGAACCTGGCAGGCGATAAGCATCTACCCCGTACCGTGGTGAGCTTCATCCGCCTGATAGAAAATCCGTTATGCTTCACATACCTTGAGGTTGAATTGGATGTCTGTAAAGGGGACCTCGCCTGTGTTTGCATGAAGTCCAACGCCTCCATTTGTCACCACTGCGCAAGATACCCGTTAGCGCTGTCTCTTGGTCCGTTTTAATATGAGTTTCATACTCAATATCACAACCACAGTACACGCCATTATCAAAAACTGCAGACTTCATCAGTCTCGCGCCACGAGAGAATGGCGGTTGAACGAGCTTACTGTCGCACCGATCATGCAATAATCATCCAACCCTAAGCTGACATTTCTCGTTCTCCGCGACACTACACGAAGAATGGTGGAAGTCAGGGAGATCGCTCCAAAGACGAGCATCACGGTCACGATCTCCCTACCGTCCTTCGATTTCAGTCCATAGTTTCCCATCGTAGGTTCCCTTTCTTCATGGGGTCTTTCAATATCTCATGGCCATCTACAACATAAATAGAAAAGGAAGAGCAAACGTGGAGAATTAAAATCAGGATCCATTTTCCTATCCGATCCACCCTACTATACACTAACACACGCTAACATACGCTAGTCCCCTAGAGTTACTAGGCATAACCCATTCGCATTCTTATGGAACGAATCCCCTTCAATTGAGTTGAAAGTGGAATCGAGTCCGCACCGGCCCCTCCCGTCCCCAGAGGTCCTTGACCCAGTGTTCTTTTTCAATGGACTTTGAAAAGATCTCCTGGTCAAAATGGGGGAAATTATTAATTAAGAATTATATTTTGAGATTTGGTACTTTTGGCAGGGCCGGGGGAGAAATTCAGCATATGGTCTGAATCCTTGCACGTTTCATCCCGGATATGTATTTCCTTTACCGAGGCTTGGCACAGATGGTCCGATCAATCGCAGTACAATGGCTCTGTGGCACATATGCAGTCTAAGCTCTAGCTCACTCTGTCGCTCTGCACTTCCCCCGTTATGCATAGCGTGGCCCATCCCTGCATCCTTGGGGCCAGAAGTTCAATAGATTCAGGGGGTTTGATTATTGGATTATGCATAGACATACTGTATCATTTTATAAGTACTGTTAATGAAGATAGCAGAGTTGGATGCCCCTCAATTGAAACCCCCTCTATATGTCCATCCCCTCCCCAGAGCGTCCCCAAATATATTTTTTTTTTTTTTTTTTTTTTTTTTTTTTAATTTCTTCTCATGCAGATCGCACATCACTTACATTAACATAATTGGCCATGGCATCTTTTGACACCGAGTCCTCTGCTGGACTTGAAAACGCAACTTATGACTTTGTGATTGTTGGAGGAGGTACTGCTGGCCTTGTGGTGGCCAACCGACTCACTGAAAACCCCGATATCCGTGTCCTTGTTTTGGAAGCCGGAACAAACCGTCTCAATGACCCTCGAGTTATTGTCCCTGGCTTAGCACCAGCGACATATGAAGACGAGGACTTTGATTGGAACTTCCGATCATGTCCCCAGGTGCGCTATTGTCCCTTGAAACCTATAGTTCTTGTCACTAACCTTGCCTATGTAAAATAGGAACAACTCAATGGCCGCAAGCTCTTAGCCAACAAAGGCCGCACTTTGGGAGGCTCCTCGGCGATTAATCTGGGAATAGTCATCTATCCTTCTCGGTCTGGGTTGAATGCCTGGGAAAAATTGGGCAATCCCGGCTGGGGATGGGACGGAATGGCCCCATATGTTCGCAAATTCCATACGGCTGCACCCCCATCGGATAACAACCGTGATTTCTTCAAGGGGATGAAATATGACCAGAAGGATCAGGGTAACACAGGTCCTGTTCAAGTGTCGTTTGGAGATCAGTACATGCCATACCATGCGGCATGGATGGACACCTTCAAGGCCCTTGGATACCCACAAGATGAGGATCCAATCAATGGCGCCGGTACAGGTCCCTTCGTGAGCCCCGGTCTTGTGGATCCAGTGACCCATGCTAGAAGCCATGCTGCAGCTGCGTATCTGGGGCCGGAGGTCCAAGCTCGGTCGAACCTCCGCGTCGTAACCGGAGCCTGGGTTGAAAAGATTATCATCGAGAAGGGGAGCAATGGTGAGAATGCCGTTGCTACAGGTATTAGGTTCAGCAAGAACTCGGATATATACACTGTTTCAGTCGCGAAAGAGGTTATCCTTGCCGCTGGAACAACCCAGTCCTCCCAGATCTTAGAATTGTCAGGTGTTGGAGATGAAACTCTCCTTCAGTCCCACGGAATCCCGACAATCATCAACAATCCCGGTGTTGGCGAGAACCTACAAGATCACGGTATTGTCTCTTTTGGATATGAAGTCGCAGACGGTATGCCATCGGGCGATATGGCGAGGGATCCCGCCGTTGCCGGTGCTGCCATGGCCGCTTATCAGAAGGATGGCTCCGGACCCCTCGGCATGGTGGCGCTGGTCTCTGCATTTATGCCGCTTGTAGACACCTCCGAAGACGAGCGGAATCAGCTACTCCAGGAGCTCCAGGCATCAATAGATAGCCCTGAAACCTCACGGACACACAAGAAGCAATTCGAAGCATTACACACCCTGCTCCAGAACCCCGACGAGCCCACCGTACAATATATCCTAGCGCCATTCCAGCTTCTACCCCGGGAAGGAGAATACCCCAAGCGTCTTTTCGGTCTCGGACACCCAGGCTTCTTTATCAGTCTTGTTTCTCTGCTCAGCTACCCTCTATCACGAGGATCCGTCCATATCCAATCTCCCGATCCCAAGGCTTCTCCTCTCATTGATCACGGAATACTCCGTCACCCAGTTGATGTGGAGATGCAAGCTCGGCATAGTATGTGGATGGACAAGATTGCTGATACGGCACCGCTAGCATCGCTACTGAAGAAGGGTGGCGAGCGCCTCCACACACCGGAGCCTTTGACGGACCTCGAGAAGGCAAAGGAGCTGTGCAAAGAGCTCGTCTTGTCTATGTACCACACCAGTGGTACCTGTGCAATGATGCCGCAAGAAGATGGCGGTGTTGTGGATTCTCACCTGAAGGTGTACGGCTCGGCTAATATCCGTGTTGTCGATGCTAGTATCTTCCCCTTGGAGCCGAGAGGCAATATCCAAGCAACTGTATTTGCGGTTGCTGAGAAGGCTGCAGACATCATCAAGCAGGACCTGAACTAGGTTTTTTTGAATCAACATCAACGCAGTTTTCTTGAGTGATATTCACGGGAATGGCTGAAGGGCTGGGCCTGTTTCACGTTTTTTATACCATCAAAGTCAACTGGCTGTATATGTACCTACCTCGGAAAACGGCTCCTTCCTTGCAATGTATAAATTTTCTCAGATAATAGCAGCAAGTGCCATTGCCCTCACCATTTCTCTTTCCTTCTTTCCTCGGTCTCGCACTTCCCTCATAACCCTGTCAGGCCGAGATACAGACAGGTTGTAATAGGCAAATAAGTTCCCCTCCATACACTCAAGGATCGTTTTTTGCCCATATCGAACTGAGCTCATTTAATCTTTATTGGAAAAACTTGACAATACTGCTCTACCGGATCAGATCAAAAGAAGTGGGAAGAATGAAAATAGAATTTCCAATTAGATAGCGACTGAAAAACTAGGCGGTTCAATTCCCCTTTCCATTGGGCTTAGGGATCACCGCCAAGGCTTTCACCACGAGCAATAGCTCTGGATTAGATTCACCTGTCAACACCTCGATCTCCCGGATATCCTGCTCGATTTCCCTCTGCAGTTGCTGAAGATAATCAAATGTATCCTCCAGAGCCGCAACACTTGACATGAGGTCCAAGATCTGCAATTTACTCTCACGTACCATTTTCGTCTTCGTCATTCGCGCTTGTTGGAATATTCCAAGAATGATGTTTTTGATTGTCTCGCTTTTTTGACAGCACTTGACAATTGGGTAGGACAATTTCCCTTCATCGAGATCTTCGCAGAACCCCTTCTTCTTCGAATAATCAGCCCCTTGGAGATTCATGTAGTCATCGCGAATCTGATACCATCGGCCGAAACGACGGGCCAGAGGGGAAAGTCGATATGAGAAGGGCGTTATTTCGCTATTGGCTTGCATGAGCTCAACCATCTTGGTCAGCACAGCACCAGTCTTCTTGTCTACCATGTCGAGGTATTCGGATTCCGTGGGGCAATGGAAATGATTTCTCCAGTTTAGATCCCAACTCTGACCAATGAACTGCGTCTCAAGTCCCTGTAAGAGGGCAGTCATCATCTGAGGGGTACCCAGGGCGTCTACTACTTGAGCTGCTTTGACGAACATGTAAGTGGCGCTGTTGATTGTTTGCGCAGGTCCGAAGATGAGATGGGTCGCTGTTTTCCCTCGTCGGAGTGGTGAGTCATCTTGGATGTCGTCAAGGATTAGGGAAGAGTTATGAAGATCATTCATGGCATCCTTGATCGCGGCCAATGGTTTGGGCGACACCTGCATCCAGACATTGAATGCATCGATAAGTTTGGCAACCACATTCTTTGACGACAGAGACTCAATGTAACGAACTGGAGCGAGAAGAGCCGAGTCGTCTAAAATTGATGTATATTCCATCGAGTCCGAATGAGATACTGAAGGTTGAAGCTGAGTCTTCGTGTTCTCTTGACTTGCGTTGGAAGTTTGATTTATCTCGACTGGCTTAGCAAGCTGAGCCTTTCCTGTAGAATGGATTTCGACTCCGTCATTTTCTGTTCCATGCAAGGTACTCTCCGCGGTTGAGCTCTGCTCTTTCCAGGAGTTTAGCCTGGGACACGTTGATGCCCAGAAGTTGTATCCACCCATCGCTATCTCAGCAACTTGGAGCAATTTCTTTATGTGACGGGGGAGGTTTGGCTCTTGTGCAAACCGTTCAACACACATGTCATGGAAACGTTGTTCTCCTTGTAGGATCTCCTCCTTTGTTTTCTGCTTGGCTTCTTCCTCGGAGAGGCCTTCGGTTCGCATATAGAACTCGATCACATTTGCAATCCTGCCTTGTCCATAAGATCGCTCTCGGGGCCAGCTGAAGTAGTCATTGGTCCATATAAAGGCCCTGTTGGCAGATTTTATAAGGTCTTCTATCGAGCCCCAGTCCGCTTGTGTGAAGACATCTCCGTGAGAGAATGCTAACCAATACCAATATGCCCTAGAACACATCAGCACCACCTCTATTCCGTGGGCCTTAACGGGTATCAATCATACCTCACACCTCCGTCAAGTTGCCGAAAGTGGAAGTATCCATCAATAGATTCGATCGTCTGGGGATTTTTCAACCGAGTTTGGTCATCGGCCCAGACTTTGAAAAGCTGGACAAATTGTTGTCCTTCCTCGGTATCTATTTTAACCAGCTCAAGAACTTTCTGGGATAGAAATTTCTTCATGGTTTTTCCTCTCTCTGAGGTGCCCAGATGGTTGTCCTTGAGGTCTAGTGCATGGGATAAATGCTTGTTCTCCTCCTTGGCATCTTTTGAGGATAATGCATCCGTAATGTCTGATTTGAAGTTTTAATTGTTGCTCGTTTTTTATTTAGGGCCCATTGTTCTAATGACATACCGTCGTGTATGAATGCAAGCTCTGTAAAGTATCCCAGAATATGTACATTATCTGATGAACACTCTGGGAAAAGAAAGCTCGATACATTCCCCACTGGTGAGAAAGTATGCCCAACTTTACGTTCTGCATCGTCGGACATTGCTGTTCTCCAGTCGTTGATTGCATTCGTGGCGTGGAGATTCATGGTATCGTCGTACTTGTTTATTCGCACAGCCCGAGATGTAAAGCAATCAGGTGGTCTTTCGCTGGTCAGATCCACTAGTTCAGAGTTGATCCAGGTGTCCTCCATTTCAGTAGTTGATGGTTCCATTGTTAATCCGATGTAGTGCAAATCGAAGGGGAGGAATGGATAGTATATTCCATCTAAAATAAGTCCTGGTCCTTAAGTAGATATCCTCACCGCTATTTCATTTCGTGCTTTATGTAATGGATATCGGAGTGGTCAACGTCGTAGCAGGCCTGGTGGATCAATACATATGCAAGAGGCTACATTTTTTCTACATCAGAAATGGGCAAGTTGAACTTTTGGAAATCTGTAACTACTTCTCACGCTTCATGGGCATCTTGATCGCAGTACCTATCACGGCCCATATATATATCATTACGTACAACATATTTCCGGTTAGCGATCCTCGTATTATTTTCCGGTATCGACCCTTGAGGTATAATCAAACCTTGACTATATTTTGTTTTGAATGTTATTCGACGTAGATTCATTGAGCGTGCGACTGAAGTTCGCAAGGTCGCCGGTTCAATCCCGGCTCGCCCCATCTTTTTGTATTTTTGCCGCATCAGATGTGCAGGGATTGTCACTTGGACGAAGTACATTTGTAATGGAGACAATTTCATGGCTTGAAGACGGCGGCGACACCCATGGGTACCCCCAACGTCATTCCTGGAGTGTGGAAGACTCCAGTGGACATGGCAGATCTCGGTTGAAATCGAGTGCAGGCCAACCTGTCGAGGAAAGGTTTTCCTTATGCCTTCTAGAACCTAGATAGGTCCGGCTGACTGGTTATCGCTTGCCACAGACTGTGGTAGGGCAATGATGTTGTCAACTTCATTGCATAAACTTGGTCGATTTGATTCATTCGGTTGCGGGCTTTAATTGAACGAAGGTCAATGGCCTTTCGAATCTGACTGGAGTCAAGCACAATACAATTTTTTATCTGGCAGTGAAGTAAGATTGAGTATATGGCGGAGAAAACATAAGGAGCAAAGAAAGCAGAAGACGGTTGTTGAACCAGCTCCCATTTCTATAGCCTAAAGTCATCCAAGCCAATGTGGTCTAGATAGAGCTGGTAAGGGGAAAGCACCAATTGGGGTTTCTCCCAGATATATTGAAATTGTTGCAACAGTCAGGGACAAAGATTATGATGCAACTACATAATGTGGCCAACTTTATCATCGTTGCCATCGATGTGGTTGGGTTGATGTATATGTCAAGGCAACAAGGCAGTAAGGTGTCAAGGCAACAACGCGTCAACGCCAAGAAGCAGGCGAACCACGTGAAGCTAACCAGAACTGATTCGAAGCTCTCATAGTGTAAGGTTATGTTCTTGCCTCCCTTCTCAAATCATAATGAGTACTAGGGCAATCCAGAGAGCCCCTCCATCGGCATCTTTCATCCTTCATCCACGACAAATTAGGAGGTCGCCGAGACTTTCACCATTGGTTGCAGCCCAGGTCACAAGGAGGACTAATCATCGACCGTTGCATACAGGGTAAAAACCCCCAAATAATAAATTGGCTGTGGCGAATCTGACGACATCTTATAGTTACAGAATATCCTCTCTACAGAGCCTGGGTATGTACTTGGTCACTTCTTAGAAGCCCCTCGCACGCTTATCGGCGTATCATCCCAATGGGGAAATATGCCTGTCCCGCATTTTTTTCTTCTTTTGATTTGCTGCACTTTAATTCAACTCTAATATTCAGTAGGGTCGCCTTATCAGTCCCTATTGGTATATACAGCCCAAGTGGCATCTGGACTTCTGACTAGAAATGGTCTATCCCGACGTTCAATAACGTCGTTACATTTGACCCCGCCAGTGAGAAATTTCTCCACTGCGCAAGCAGTTGACCCCAAGATGAATTTGAAGTTCCCCAGTCCAGACCTCCACCGGGCATTTATTGCCCTGGGAAGCAACGTCGGAGACCGAGTAGAAATGATTGAGCAGGCTTGTCTTGAAATGGACCGAGCTGGTATCAAAGTGAAAAGGACAAGTTCATTGTTTGAGACCGCACCGATGTATGTGCTTGATCAAGATACATTCATCAATGGTGTATGCGAGGTATACTATCAAAGTTGATATCCAAACCTGGTAGCAAATTGTTAATTTCTCTCAGGTAGAAACAACACTTGCGCCTCTGGATCTTTTGGATACTCTTCAATCCATTGAGATTGCGATGGGCAGAAAGAAGCTCATCGACAAAGGCCCACGCTCTATTGATTTGGACATCCTACTATATGATCAGGAGATCATTTCTCATGAGCGTCTCAACATCCCACATAATCTGATGCTTGAACGAGACTTTGTATTGCGACCTCTCAGCCAGTACGCCCCCAACGACTTTATATGTGCTATACCGACACACAAAAGCAAAACTAACCATCTGAACTTAGATTAATCCCAAATGAATACCCTCCATTACTAGGAAAGGATACGCAAACTTACAGCGCACATCTGAAGGCTCTACCGCCACCAGAACCAACACCAATGTCCACAACCCCAATTTCACCACTATTCCCATCTCTGCACGCAACAGACCCTAAGCGCAGCACCCACGTCATGGCAATCCTAAACCTAACGCCAGACTCCTTCTCCGACGGCGGCAAACACTCCCCAACAGACCTAACCTATATAACAGAAACAGTACGCAACTTCATCGCCTCCGGCGCAACAATCATCGACATCGGCGGCGAGAGTACCCGCCCAGGGTCAACACCAGTCGGCGCTGCTGAAGAGATCGCCCGCGTAGTCCCAGCAATCAAGCACATCCGAACCGCCATCCCAGAAGCTGCCAACATCGCTATCAGCATCGACACCTACCGCGCCAGCGTAGCGGAAGCCGCCTGCGCCGCCGGCGCAGACATCGTCAACGACATCTCAGCCGGCCTCCTCGACCCAGAAATGCTGCCAACAGTAGCGCGGATCGGCAAGTCTGTGATCCTGATGCACATGCGCGGCACGCCACAGACAATGACGACCCTGCACGAGTACCCGTCCGGCGTTATTCCGGAAGTGGCTGCTGAGCTCGGCGCGCGCATTGCAGCTGCTGAAGACGCGGGGATCCGGCGCTGGCGCATCATCCTCGATCCGGGTCTTGGCTTTGCGAAGATCCAACCGCAAGATCTGGAGATCTTGCGGGAGTTGCCGAGGCTGCGTGCGATGCCCGGGTTTGAGTGCTTCCCTTGGTTAATGGGGCCAAGCCGGAAGAGGTTCATTGGTCATATTACTGGGGTGAAGACGCCAAAGGAGCGCGTTTGGGGTACGGCTGCTACAGTCTCCGCTAGTGTGGCTGGTGGGGCGGATATTGTTCGTGTTCATGATGTCCATGAGATGTGGCAGGTGACGAAGGTTGCAGATGCGATTTATCGCGTTGATTGAGATCGGACTGCTACGTCACTTATTATCTAGCTTTGTCCTGCTGCTTTATATTTAGGGCTTTTTTTTTGTATTCAACACTTGGGTTCGACTTGTACTATGATGTACTACTGTGTTCTCTTCATTCATCATGGAGTTTTGTGAGCGGTGCGGGACGAGAGATTGGAGTTGTGCTTTTGTCAAAAGTTTGTCTATCAATAATATCAAATCATGAATTTCTCGATTATCCTAAACCATATCAACGCGATGAGCAAAATAAAATAAGAGCTTTCTTCAATCATCCCGTGTTGCTGTATAGGAACGCGAAGAAGCAAGGGAAAAACAAAAATCGTCAATCACACGCCAGATTGCAAACCACAATGGTATGGAACCCAATTTTTTGGCCGACTGCTGATCGCAATGGTTTTCCAGGGAAAGAAATCTTGTCGAGCGGGCAAGACAGGCAGGGGGAGACACAATATACGTCGCGCACGAAGAGGATTGGAATGGGAGGTTGCAAGACAGGAAAAAATGTGGCTTGCTAAAGTACTTGGAGTGATAGAAGGCGTAATATCTGATGAACATAGGCGACTAGCCTAGTTGTTCAGATAATTGCGGATAGCACCTAGTGATATTCAGTTAGCAAGAAGTAGTTACATGCCCAAACAAAGACTTTCTCACCTTGTAGCTTAGTTGCGCCTTCGCCGACAAGATGCGACAGGTTCTCAATATCATCTCCAGCCGTGATACCGAAGCGGCGGATGAAATCTTTAGCGGCAACCTCCATATCACCATAACCATCGTCAAGTGTGACCTCATCCTCGGACCGGCCGAAGTAGCTGTTGCTGGAAATGGATGTAGCGCTATCAAATTGGCGAAGACGTTCCTTGGCCTCCGACTGGGCGGCGGGATCAAAGCGGTCCCGTCCGAAGAATTCATCAGACGAGATACCCTTCTGAGTGCCAAATCGGGTTCTGGTCTGGGCAAGTTCCGCGTCTGTGTCGAGTGTCAGCTTATCTTTCATATGTTGTACGACCGAGGAAAATTTACCATCAGCAGGGTTGGACTTGGCAGGGCCAACAGAACCAAAGGTTGGCTTCTTGGGGGCAACAGGCTTCGACACCTGGCCAAAGCCAAGTCTGCTCACGCCCATGCCTAGTCGCTCTACGTCACCCGAGTTTCGCTCACTAGACTTGCCAGAGCCGGCCGGGATAGGAGAAGCGATTGGGATGGCGGCGGCGGCGGCGGCAGCCTTCTTGGCCTCGGCTTCAGCCTGTTCAGCCTCGGGATCGTAGCCAAGCTTTTCAATACGCTCAGCCTCTTCCTTGGCCTTGCGCTCTGCCTCATCGAAATCAATAATATCCGCAGTGGCGACCTTCTTGGCCCCAAGCTTGGGTACCTTCTTAGCACCGAGGAGACTGCCCTTCTTTGCAGAGCTAGCTGCTGTAGAGGTCTTCCGAGTAACACTGACAGGCCGGATAGCAGCCGGCGCAGGAGAAGCGCTCTTTTCTTCCGAGGCAGACAAGGGAGATTTCGAGCGGGATCCGTTTGCATTGGCGCCGGCGTTCAGGAAAGGAGAGCCGGTTCGGCTGACGACCGGGGGTGTACTGGTGCGCGATGGGGGGTTGCTCGGACGCTTGATCGAGGGCTTGTCCCAGGAGGAAAAGAAATCGTCCTCCCCGTCGCCAGCAGAGGTGCTCGAGCCATCTGAGGGAGTTCCAGCGGGGACATCTGTGATGACAACTTCTCCGGGATATCTAAATTAAACAATAATACTGGTTAGCACGTACTAAAGCCACTTCCGTCGGGATTGGTTCCACTAACTGTTGCGCATCCAGCGCAGCGCGCCTCTTTAGTTCCTCCTTATACTTGACAGCTGCATTGCATGTGTATTTGACCTTGGTGTCCTTGCTCGCCAGCGCGGCGGACCCTCCGTGCGATTGGAAATACTTGGTCGCAGACTCATTTCCGCCAACCTTCATCACCCGTAGTTGCTCCCATTGCCACTCTGCATAACATATCAGCGTCGATCTATCGGCACATTTGGTTTGTGAAGAAATTGTGTGTAGGGTACGTACGATCGAGGTTTGTTGATCGGACAAAGGAGATGTGCACACCGAGATTACGGTGGTGAGCTGAACAATCAAGGCATAGGTAGATGCCGAAAGGAACTGAAGACCATGTCGGGTTCTTAGAGCCACAGTCGAAGCACACCTGAAAGCAAAAGCATCAGAATCGAGTGCCACAATCACACAGCGTATGGGGTGGGGGTGTGCGCACCTTGTTCGCGGGCTTCAGCTTGGCCTTCTCAAAGATCTTTTGAGACTGCGCCTTTGTGGCACTCATGATGGTACCGAGGAGAGATCAATGGGGAGGGAGAAGAGAAAAAGAAAAAGGGGGTTTGGGCGAGAATGTGAGAGCACTGGTAAGGCAAAAAGCATCCGGAGTCGGGAACGGCGAACGTGGACTCTGTCGACTGCTGTGCCTGGCGTAATCGCCGTACAACGCCTGCCATTTGGCCGGAGACTTTTCCGCTATCAGCCGTATTGTAATACCGTAATATAATCACGTGCAGCCGATAACGAATATCGATAGCGACCTTTCCAGGTTCAATGTTGGAGGATAATCAAGTTCAGTAGTCGACTTAAAATACTCTAACAAGTTCTAAGACGCTCGGTTTTGATTCTTCACAATGAGTTCTATCCAACTACGGGCTCTTCCCCGACTATCGCCGGCATCTCTTGTTCTCCGACCCTCTCCCCGCATTCAGACACAGATCACTCGGCTCTACGCCACACAAAACAACATAGGCAGCGGGCCTAGTATCCTTTCACCAAGGAAGAAAAGTATTACAGTCTTGTCCGACGATGGTAGAGTTAAGTGGGGCGATTTGAGTCGAGGAGAGAAGCTGGCGCGGACGACACAGCAATCCTTCAACTTCGTTATCGTGTTGGTTGGAGCAGTATTGACGGTATGAACTGCATTCATTCACGAGTCTCTGGTAAATAGTTGCTGACTACATGATCTGATTAGGGTGGAGTCTGCGTACTTTTCTATCAAGAGGTTTTGTCGCCAAACAGCAAGACATGGCAATTTGAAACAGCGGTAGGGCGCATTAAAGATAGCCCCGAGTGCATAAAATTGCTCGGTGATCGAAGAGAGATCAAGGCATATGGCGAGCAGACTTCGAGCCGGTGGGCACGGAATAAGCCTATCGCGTAAGTTCCATGGTTTGTGCATATGATATAGAACCGAAATGCTGACAATGACTAGATCATCAGTTGAAAAAGATCGACTGGGTCGTGAGCACCTTCGCATGCATTTCCATGTATGATACGATTTCGGGTTAATTTGTGATACGTGTACTAACCGTAGACTCCAGGTCGAGGGTCCCCTCAACTCCGGTGTGGTCGTCGTGCACATGATGAAGCCTTTGGATAAGAGCAATTTCGAGTACCAGCTTCTCGCGTTGGATGTGAAAGGACACTCTCGCATCATCCTTGAGAAAGCCTCAGAGAAGCCTAATGTGACCAGCGCCTTGAAGCTTTTTGGTATTCAGTGGCGCTGATCTGGCAATGATGCCAACTTCTCATTATACCCCTCTACCTTCAACCACGCTACATAGGTTCTACGCCTTCATCTGCGATGAGCATTTGAACATTGACAGCCTCTGAACTTTTGTGCATGGCACTTGCTCCAGGCTGGTCTGCGCCAGTTTGGACAAGGCGCCTACCTTGTATTTTCTAGGATCGGGCCACTGGCCATCCACTCAGGCTCCTATTTTGACCTGTAAGATGTATTATAGCTTCATGGGATTCTGACTTCAATGCGATCGTCGTCCCACATTTACTAAATACAGTCGAATTGATCTTGGGGATCTGCTGATGAATTTGCACGGGCTCCATATTCAAGGAGCAATTCCACCATACTAGCCTGTCTTTAATGTCTATTTAATTACATGATATAGAGGAACTGAGCTATAATCGTGCCAAGCGCCCAGCACAGTAAAGGTGTGTTGGGCGCTTGGCACGATTATTCCAGTATATATGGATCAACTTCATACTTAAAGGTAGCCTTGTCTCAGAATATGGCTAGGGTTTATTATTAAGAATTCGTGCTTTAATATAAGACAGCCGCATTTTATATCTACTCAATTCAGACCAAGTGAACACTATATGTAAAAGAATTTTTGGAAACTATTAACATGAATACACATAAACACATGATCATCTATAACAAACCACACTGAAGCCCATCAAATCTATACAACTCGGGGCCCATCAATAATGTCCTTAGCCTCCTCCGATCTCCACCAACTCTTGCCCTCCTGGCCGGGGTACTCGAAAGCATCCATACTCTCAGCCTTCATCTCAACACTGTAACCAGGCTCCAAGGGGGTGGAGTAGTAACCATCCTTAACGCTAGATGGGTGGATGAAGTGCTCATGGAGGTGGTCCACATACTCGAGGACACTCTTCTTTCCGGTAACAACAACGTAGTCAATTGTGCTCAGGTGCTGGGTGTACTCTGGCAGACCGACACCACCGGAGTGGGGCACAATAGGGATGCCGAACTTGCGTGCCAGCAGGAGAATGGCCAAAACCTCGTTCACACCACCGACACGGCAGGCATCGGGCTGCAGGACAGTCAAGGCACCTGCTTGCAGAAGCTGCTTGAAGATCACGCGGTTCTGGCACATCTCACCGGTGGCGACACCAACGGGGCCGTAGGGGGTGTCGGCCAGGGCCTTGCGGATGGCAGCGTGGCCGAGGATGTCATCGGGGGAGGTTGGCTCTTCGATGAACCAGGGCTTGAACTCGGCAAGTTCTTGCATCCAGGTAATAGCCTCGGGGACGGACCAGACCTAGTAATTTCACCAGTGTTAGTCTGACTCGAAAGTGTAACTGGATTAGTTCCTAGGGGGAATAACATACCTGATTGGCGTCGACCATCAAAATATTACCCTTGTCATAACCAATAGCCTCACGTGCAATACGCAAGCGAGTCTTATCATCTTCCAAGTC